GTCATGGATTGAAGGTGAGGGCGAAAGCGATTCAGGAAGTTGTCTTGTGTCTTCTGTTTGCTGAGGTAAGTATGTTTCAGTGAAAGGTGTGTCAGAGGGAGTATGTTGATCTTTATCCACCTGCTCTTCTACATCTAGCTCTTTAAAATCAATCACAGGCTCTTCACTATCTAACAGGGGGCAGATCTGCGCTGATATATCAGTGCTCTGTTCAGGTGAAGTATCTTCCTTGACTTGGTTATGAATTGGGATAAGGTCGATGGGGGAGCTTTGATCTAGACCAGGCTCAGGTGGGTCACTAGGAGTTGGTGAGCACAAATACTGGACATGTTCTTTTTTAGGAGGAAAAATGAACTCCACTCTGACTACAACACATGTTGCGTCGATGACCAGAAGACCACTGCTGCTGTCAGATTCTGTGTCTCTCTTGAGCTCCAATCGCCTCACTTCAACATCAAGAGGATGACTGCAAACATCAGGGCTATTTTCTGTACGATCATCATTCAGATCTGTACCTGGTTTACCCTCCTCCCAAGTAGCCTTCAAATAGCAAGGTGAGGGATTGTCACTCTTGACTCGGCCCATGTAACTAGGCTCCCTCCATAAGGGATACTTGACTGACACAGGAGCCAGTGTTTGCATCCTTTTTCTCCTGGATACAGGGGATGAAGCACCAACCTGGGTGCCTTCTGGCAAGGCAACTTCACTGTCTGTCATACTGGGTAGGCTTTGACGGTCTCTTTCTTCTCCTTGAAGGCTTGGTCTGCTCTGAATGGCCCTGAGAAGCTCCTCCCTGTGGGCTGCTACCTGCTCACTTCCCATCCAGTCTAGCGCCCCCTTCAGTTTAGGTTTGAGATTGCTGTCTCTTATGTAGGCAGGGGTCTGGGCTGGAGCACTGGACTCATTCTGGAGTGATGGCACAACAGAATCAACTTCACCTGCAAGCTTATGCGATTCATTAATCTCACCACACTCCTCTAGGCCTCTAGACACACTGTTTGACACAGTTGTCAGAGGTGAGGTGGTGGAAAGTGGCAGGGAAAGGGGTTTTAGTGGTTCTTCAGGAGAACTTGACAACCCTGCCGTTCCACCCATGCGAGACACCAAGCAAAATATGGTCTCCCCTCCTCTGCTTTTCTTTAGGCTGACTTTCCTTTCCATGGTGGCACTGAGGTTGGCCGTCTCACAGAGGTTGGCCATCTGAGGCTGTTGTGGGGACTGCAGCAGATTTGAGAGGCTATCAGACCGGATGTTCTGTGGATGGGCAGAAGAGCCTGTCCATTGACCAACTACAGCATGTCCTTGCTGCCTGTGCCCTCCAGGATCAGACCAGGTCCTCTGCTTCCACTCCTCTTTCATCAACTTCTCTCCCCCTCCCCTCTCCCTATGAAAGTCTAGTACAGAGTAGTCTTGCTTCCTTGGAGTAGGCAGTGTGCAGTATGTGTGTCTGCTAGCTCCCTGAAACCACACTGCGTACACAGAAGCCACTGCTTTTATAGTGGTATATTTCTCAGCATGTTGCATTACTGTTGAAATGTTATGTGTGGCGTTATAAGGCGGAGGTGGAATGTAGCCTGGAGGTTGACTAAACACCCTCTTCTGGTAGCTTGTCTCATTCTCCTTGGTGTCTGATGGGTATGTTGTATCAGGAATGACAGGCTGAGACAAACTGTGGGACATAGTTTTCTGTGTGTCCCTTCTCTCCCACTGTCCCCATTCTCTCGGCTGAGGTAGTCCTGCCAGATGTATTGCACTTGCTCTGGGTTCTGTTCCACCTCTGTTGCCCCGTGAATCTTTCTCCAGGACTCTCTCACACTCCTGCGGCCCCTGGGCTCCCCACAGCCCTGCCTCCAGGCGTCTCCTCCTGGGGAGTGAGTGGCTGTAGCGCGCCGCCCAGGCCTCCAGCTCCCGATAGCTAGTGTCGCTCAAACTCCTCCTGGCTGGCTCCCTCCTGTAGCGGACAGGACTACAGGGCTCCCACCTCCTCTGCAACCCCTCCCTCTGCATCCTCCTCTCACACTCCCTTTCCCTCTCCCTAGCTGCTGCTCTATGAGCCTCTACCACCAGCCATTCTCTCTCTCTTTTCTCTTGAGCCTGATAGTCCCTTAAACCGTGGAGCTGTCGGGGCTGGTTGTCTAGAGCAAAGGGGAAATGAGGGGCAGAGGGCGACAGATCTTGATCAGTCCAGTTTGTATAGTCCTGTAGGACCCCTCCTGTCCTAGAACCTGGTACTGTCCAACAGCTGGGCTCCCTGCCCCGGTCTAGCCGCTCACAAAGGTACGGTTGAAAATCTGCTGCCTGATGCTTGTCCTGATATCTGTGGAAATAACAGGGTAGGAAATAAAACATGGAGATTACCCCCATACCGAGCATTGCAGGACACAGTGTAGTAACATGTTACAAGGACATCTAATAACCCATATAGGCAATAAAGAACATATTGCATACTATAGTCAATTCTGGTTAATCCATCTTTACTTGTAAGTCAAATTTATTTTTGTATGAATACAAACAACCTTATTAACATGATCTTTATGCGATACTATTGCAGGCAGGTTTCTTTTGCTTAGGATTATAAACATTCTGCTCAGCTTAAGAACATTCTGCCCTGCTTCTGTTTGCAAACAAAGATACATCAAAACAAACTAAACAGACTATAGCTATTTGTTTAGGTTTCTCACCCGACAAGCTTTCACAGAGACAAACACACTTTCACTTTGAAACAGCTTACAGTGAACTGAACTCACGCATGTGCAAAGTTTCGTCCAGGAACAGTCCCAAATTTGGCATACAGGGGTGGTTGCCCATCACCAGCCCAGAACTCCATCACACCAGGTTTGAAACCATGGACTGACTTTTGACTTCTGAAATGATTGTAGAGGGAAAAATTATGTTATTGTTGTATCCCTAATGTATGCCTTTTAACTACGGAATAGCTCTTAGCATTTTGAAAAATATGTTTTCTCTATTTATCAAATGAGATGCAGTTTCACTATTGAAAACTACACTTTTATAGTCCAGACATGCATACATATGTCAAACTTTAGATCAAACCAACAAGTGTGGGTTTGTATAAATATTAAATAAAAATATAGTTATAGCACATAATAATCCAACGACTGTCATATCACACATACCGCTGGTCAGCGCGTCTGGATGAAGGTCCTTGCTGTTAGGGTATGGTCTGATGCTGTCCACGCCAACTGGGCAACTTCTTTAAAAAGAGAATGTTATTGAGCCCCCCCTCCTCATACCACACACCCTCACTCCCCTGTCAGCGCCAGAGAGGCCTTCCTCCTCTTGTGCACATCCAACATTCCCAGTCAAAACATCACAGTGGAATTCTTTAATTAAGGTATTTTAAAAGGCACAGTCTCCTGGTCACAACAAACATCCCCCACACAGTCACATTCCCTGGGCTGACATATAGCAGGATGAGAGAAGTGGGAACATGGACTGTGTCTGTACATACACACGGACCAATGTGGCACAGCAGTTCAAAAAACAACATCTGCTCCCAAATGCTTACTTCAGCGTTTTTTGGCTGAACTCAATTGTTTGGGGGCGACAAAGGCTGTCTGCCATGAATTTATTGGGACTGAATATCTGAAACAATTGGGGTCAGATTGAGGATTAGGGACTGCAGGGGTGGAAGATTTGAGGATGACACTATACAAGATGATATCTTTCCAATGATGTCTTCCTAAATAACTTGATTGTCATGTTTGCTTGTACAATGCTGAAATGACACTGATGGTTGACATGCTTCACTTTGTGTGTGCATGGTTGATGTGCTTAAAAGTACTGACATTGCAAAACATTGCAAAAAAGTAAAAAAGCATTATAAGAAGCATTACAACAGGTCATCAATTATAATGGCAAAGCAGACAAGGAGATTATGTTGCTAAAAAGTTTAAAACATTTCATTTACTTTCTTTCTTGGAAGTTTTGCTGCTCAATCAATCATTTGACAATTTAAAAAATATGTATTTATCTTACAGACACAATAGGCATTTGAAAGTAATGCATATAACATTGTATTTTATGTTGTACCACAAGTTACTTCTCGTCCAACTTGCATTGGGCATTATTGTTACAATTAAGGTCTATATCAATGTTGATCAAATGATTATTACACACACAGTGAATGACAGTTTCTCATGTGGGGACTCTGTGGATCACTGGTGGAGAGCAGACTCTGAATATAGATAGGGATCTGTTGTTTTGTCGGATGAGCTATAGCACAGAGAGAGATGGAGAGGGAAAGACTGCCGGTCTCGCTTTCTTTGAAACTCTCCAGCGGAACAAACAGGCTTTTCTTTTCTGAACAGAAACTCTGCACATCAGCAGAGAGCAGGAGAGAGAGGGGATGCAGTATGTACAGGCGGAGGGAGTGGGGGCCGATCTGTCCATGTTGACAAAAAAGTTATGTAAGTGGATGGTCATGGTATAAACAATATTTTCCCAGTAATCAACAACCCCTTCAACCTACACAATATAGCACTTCATCAAACCGGGTCAAACACAACTTCACATGATTTGACTGTAGTAACCTGACAAAGACAGGAAAAGTATCTGTGCACTGATTTTACTGCCCCCAAAGTATTATTTTATTTATGTTTCTTACTTGACCATGAAGACCTATTGGTGTATATATTGTGTAAAATAACAGTTGGGAATACTAAAAGCAGAGTGAGGAGCCTTTGCTCTTTTGTGTCTATTCAAAAGTCTCTCCTTTGGTATCCAGCACCTACAAAAAGTGTTTGTATGTGTGCATGTTCTGTCTTTTCTCTCTGACCATAGTAATGTATCAGGGTGTATGTGTTCTGGCAGTAAAATACTCAGTAACAGTCATGTACTTGTCTCAGAGAGGATGTCTAGAAGACTACCTCTTGACCAGAGGATTCAGAGAGTCAGGCACTGTTGTGTTATTCCCCTCCAAGTCTCAACCTATTCAACTGTTCATCACAGTCTCCCAACCCTATCCAGTCTCATTGTGGTCACTGTTTCCCTCTCTGAGTAGCGCGGTAGATGTTGATGTTCTGTGTGGGGTCGCGGTGCACCAGCTCTACATGGAACCTCTGTGGCAGAGTGTCTCTGTAGAAGCCAGGTGTCCTGTGCTCTCCTCGCATCTTGGATGAGAGGTATGCCACAGCCCCGTCCTTGCACAGGTGAGCCAGCGTGTCCAGAAGGAGGGGGTAAGTCTCAGCCAGGTACACAATATCTGCACCCAGCACCAGGTCCCAGTCTGAGGGGAAGCTGGCCTGGTACTGGCCCCAGGAGAGGGGGAGGACAGAGGGGGCGAAAGAAGGCCAGCCGGAAGATGGCATGTTTGCAGAGACATTGCTTTGCAGTTGAGGGACAACAAGGGGGAGGTCTGTCAAGGTCACATCCGCTCCTGTGAGAGTGGGAAATATGAGGTAAATACCCCATAAATGATTGCGTGATTTAAACCTTTTTTAGTGTTTCAAAGTCTTTGAAAAGTGCATTTGTAGGCTAATGTTTGTGACATGATGGAACAGTGTGATGGGAACAGCTATTAAAAATATATTAATGGATATAACAAAATTTAACAATTATGATTCAGGCTACTGAAAACAGTGGCTGCTACTGAACATCATTACCGACCTCTACTGGATGGACAAAGAATGAACCAACATATTACGCAATCGTGCTGCCAAAATGCCAACAATGCTAGTCCCTGCGCCCAACTCAATGATACGCTTTCCCTTCAGGTGGAGAGTTTTCCTCAAAATAGCCGCATAGATTAAGCGCGCATGTAACAAACAGTACGGTAAACACAACAGGCATCTCATTGCAGTCTTTGCATAAGACTACTGTATTAAATGCACTACTAATCAACAAAACGTTATTTATCATGTGCTGAAAAACTGCAGTCCATGTAGCCAGTCACTGTAATAATGGAGTCAATCGTAAACACGCCGAGGATGGCTGATCTTTAACTCTTGACCGATGAATTTGTGCACGTTATCGTCAAAAATGAACCAGCAAATAAACCGTCGTCTACAGAGAACATACCTTGTGGGATTGACCCGGAAAAAAAATGTTCTCGTTTACATGTTTTCATGTTATGAAAATATACAAAATATTAATATCAATGATGATTAGATTTAGTTTTATCGAGGTTTAAAAAACGATTCTCCTTTATAGAGGTCTTCAATGAAAATGAGGACTTTTATTATGAAAGTGTTGACCCGAAAGTGTTTTGTCACCACCATCTTGCCAAAGACAGTACAGTATGAAGACAGGCAGAAACTGCTTCTCCAATAGAAATCCCCGATCACACTTGTAGGCGATGTCATGGCGACGTTGGCTAGCTAAGCTCATGCGCAGAAACACAGGTCTAACAGTCGTCTCGAGCCAAACTGCGCATGTGCATGACGATAAATCAAAGGCAGTCCTTCGATATAAAGTTGTTTTTGACAAGAATAAAAACGTGTCAGTTTGTCACTTTCCCATAGTTGGAGTAATAACATGTTCAACTATTTAACACATTGTCTCCAATATAGGTTGTATGGAGGACTAAAAGTGCCACAATTAAATAAATAAATACACCATTAAATAATTACTTAAATGTGTCATTAATTAATTCTAATTAGAATTAAATACATAAATGTGTAATTAAATGTATCATTAATTAATTCAAATACCGATTCATTTTATGTAAAATACATATATAATTATTTCACTATTTACATTTACATTTCATGATCCTGCATTGCAGTGATTCATGAATTACTTAAAACTGTCAAACTGACCCATCAAAGTCAGTGGGCGGGGCTAACGCGAATCTAGTCTGATCCATTGCTTTGGTCTGAAGTAGAGTAGGCCAACCTGGATAGAGACAATGGAGGATCTCCGTGAACTTTCCAGGGAGTTGGTTAGAGACATTTTAAACTTAGCAGAGGATGTAGAAGCAGGACCTGCTGACATTATCCGGAATTGATTTGTCTTGGCTTGATGCAGAGGGTAACCAATCAGGCGTTAGGTTCCGCCTACCAACTTTTGATGGGTCAGTTTGACAGTTTTAAGTAATTCAGGAAGCACTCCAACGCAGGACCATGAAATGTAAATGTAAATAGTGAAATTATTATATATGTATTTTACATAAAATGAATCGGTATTTGAATTAATTAATGACACATTTAATAACACATTTATGTATTTAATTCTAATTTTAATTAATTAATGACACATTGAAGTAATTATTTAATGGTGTATTTATTTATTTAATTGTGGCACTTTTAGTCCTCCATAAGGTTGTGCCTTTAGATTTCGAGAAAATTAAGAACTAAGGAATAATTTTTCACTTCTCTCGTTGACTTCTCAAACCCCAAACCCCGGCCGGGTCTGCTTGGAGGTTTCCAGGGTTAGAGTAGTGCAGAAGTTGTCATATATGCTGAGGCAGTGAAGAAAGTAGAGGAAGATGGGTCAAGGGGGAGGGATCCTGAAAGGAGTGGTGTGAGTAGTAGATCTGTAGCAATACAGAGGGATAAACCAACAAGTGATATGTTTCAGTAAGATTGGATTTTTGGCATTTATAGCAATGGTTATCAACTGTACTGCAGGGATGGAACGTAAATCGCAGAAAATAGAGGTTGTGGTGGCAGCTGCAGAGAGGTTTTGGGTGTGCGAGACTTGACTTCAGAAGAGTTACAGGGTGTGTTAAGTGGTGGTGTCCCATTCTTTCAGGCTTAGGCCTAAAGTAGGACTAAATAGATTTAAATAGTGGAGTGTGATATATATATGTTTTATTCTTAATTTTTTGTGAGTGTAGTGTTAGATGGTAGGGTATTTGTTTATTTTAAATTTTTTTAAAGCAAAATATAAGGGAGTTGTACTCCAGTCTAGTAGGTGGCGGTAATGCAACATTTATTGGATGCCAACCGCCATTAAACCTCATTGAAGAAGAAGAAGAAGAAGAAGAAGAAGTGGCTGCATTACAGGTGGAGATGGGGGATATGCCATTGCAGATTAGGAGACAGCGGCTGGCAATGAATTATTGGGTCAACCTAGAAGGATTTTACAGGCATGCTGAGAACATGAGAGAAGACCGAACACAAGCTTTGGGTGGGTGGGTAATACCCAGGCGAAGGAGATGGGACTGTATGGAAGGGAGTTCAGTCCAACGGTAGCTATTTCTGTAATTCCACCATGGCTACTCCCACCTCCAGTAGTTGATCTAGAAGTGTTGGAGAGACTACAGAAAGATAGGGAGAGTGTTGATCCATTTGATTTGTTTAAGAGATGTCTGGATACTGTGTATCAGGATTTTGTGGCCATTTACACAGATGGTTCAAAAGATCCAAGGACAGGACGTACTGGGTCAGCATTTGTAGTGCAGGAATGTGGGGTGGAAGTCAGGAAACGTATTACAGATCATCTGGCTGTATATATGGCGGAGCTGATGGCCATACTGTTGGCCTTGCAGTGGGTGGAGGAAGTCAAACAAGACTGAGTAGTTATTTGCTCTGATTCATGTGCAGTGTTAATGAGTCTCCAGTCCTTTAGCTCACAAGGCAGACAAGACGTCCTTTATGAGGTGCAACAAACCCATGGCAGGATTAAACAGATGGGTATACAGATAAGATTTACTTGGGTCCCAGCCCATGTGGGGGGTGGAGGGGAATGAGGCAGTAGATGTAATGGCTAAACAAGCTCTTAGTAGTCGGGATGTTGATGTTGAAGTTTCAATTAGCAAGGCAGAGGCAAAAATACTGATATATACAGTGATGGTGCAGAGATGGCAGGAGCAGTGGAATAGAGATAATAAGGGAAGGCATTTATTTCAAGTACAGAGGAAAGTCGGGGAGGGGAGGACGGCAGGAAGGGACAGAAGAGAGGAGGCTATTTTTACAAGATTAAGGGTGGGACACAGCCAGTTGAATAAGACATTAAATGTGATAGGAAAGCATCCAACAGGAAAGTGTGATTATTGTCAGGAAACAGAGACCTTGGAGCATGTATTGCTACAGTGTGGCCAGTATCAGAGGGAAAGAGAGAGGATGAGATCTAGTATGAGGGAGAAGGGGATACAGGAAATTAGTTTAAAGAGTATATTGAGTAGAACGTCATTAGATATAGTTTCAAATATGTTGTTATCTTTTTTAAGAGCAACGGGGCTGTCAGGTAGGATTTAGTTTCTCCGTCTCTGGCCCACACTCCAGTACAGTAGGTGGCGGTAATGCACCATAACGTTGGATGCCAACCGCCGATAAACCCCACCGAAGAAGAAGAAGAAGAAAAAAAAGTGTATTTACGTTTCCACGTAGCTAGAGAAGGCCGTTCTTTTACCACCGACCCGCTCTCCCCTTTCCATTTTTCATTGAAAACAAACGGTATCGGTCATATTTTATGGTTTTATTTATGTATTTCGTGAAAGCGACAGATAGAGAACAAAGTATATGAAGATAGAAAAGGAAAGAACCCCTCGATTAGCCGGTGGGCGAGCGTGCCTGTTGTTTTGCTGGCTAGCTAACTTTTCTTGTATTGTAACTTACTAAAAGTAAACTAGATAGCTAGGTTCTCGTCGTAGCTACTGCCACTGGTTGTTATTTGATAGCTGTACATCCTTCTTGTGTAAATTAATCATGGCAACTAGGCGCCTGACCGATGCCTTCTTATTAATGCGGAACAATGCAATCCAAAATCGGCAGATATTGGCTGAGCAAGTGAGTACATACGACCCCCGTCGTACTCTGAGTACACGTAGCAATGCTGCGGTGAGTCTAACGTTAATCGTCTGGATTTGACATTTGATTTGTGTGTGTTATGATAGCTAACACATTCAGTGTTAGACGTAACTTGGTTAAGTATTTCTTAGCTAACTGGCGAGTGACTATCTACCAAACATTAACCTGATGTTGGCTAATGCTGCGTTTAGCCGTCAATCTAGAAGGCAGCAGCTAGCTAGGTAACTAGCTGTCAAGCAATGTTGCTGTCAAGCTAGATGCGCACATTTACATTGAGTCATGTCAGAGAGGCATGCATTTGGAATACTGATGCCCCCAACTTGCATTTCCTGTCTAGCCAACATATTTGACCAGCTCAGTTTGCTACCAATCATCAAAGAGCGTGCATTTTCCTTTGACACGATAGTCAATTGAAGCAATGCATTTGTCATTGTAAGAAACTAAGTAAAAGATCAAGGTAGAACATGAAATACATTTTTCGGGGCAGTGTTCAATACTTGATAAAGAAGTCACAACCACAGTGCATGCTGGAATGAGTTGGGTGGTCTTTTGTCAAATGTAACAATTGACATGTTACATTTCGTGAGGTGTTGTTTGTTGATAGTGTGTGGCCTCTGTATTTGCCCCTTTGCCTTAGTGAGTTGCACGTCTACCTCAAAAACCTCCCCATTAGGCTAGATGGTGCTGTGGTCTCAGTTATAGATTTAGTTGATCCTGTGCTTGGTAAACTGTTCTTTTAAACTTATTTAATAAACGTTAGATTAATATGGTTGTTACTAAGATATTTGTTTGCTAGAATTTAGAATACCTAGTTTGCACTGTTGGTCATTGTTACATTTCAAACATCCTGGACTGATACATTTTATTTTAAATTATTGACCAGGATGCAGGTTCTTTTACAAATACTGTATATGTAAGTCTATAATATGTTGTAGCCTAATTTCGTTTGTATAGTTTCAAAACTCTAAATTGTTTGTAGTTTTCCCTTTCAGTCCCTCATTAATTCATTAATTCACCCTACTTCTGGGCTCGAAGGCGTTTTGGCTGTGGGACGGTTATTGTGTGCAGCAGCTTCCTAGTAGATTTCAATCCAGACTTTGAAATTCCTGACTTCGTTTCATTCACCTGATCGTGGATAGTAGCTTGGATAGGCTACTCAGAATTTTGTTGGCACTGATAGCACCAACTATCAAATGTTTGTTTGGATCAAGAGCAAATCTGGTGGTTACTAGGCTTTGAGTTTATCTGATTGATATAGCTTAGGTGCTCCTTGTTTTTATGGCACTGTCTCTTGTATGGTGTTCTACATGCTCACGCTGAGTGATCTGCATATCAAAATCCTCTTATAATGTTAATCTTTGTCCTGCATCTTTCCTTTCTCTAGGCCTATATGAAATGGTTCTGCGGTTAGGCTAATCATTTGGGGATCTGGGACATAAGCTAGCCCTATATCTTTGCCTTCACACACGCTCTTATGTCACACTTCACTGACCCAATGTATGTAGGCCTAGCTCCTGAAGATAAGCGTCTTTACCTCAATAGGTTGCTACTATTTTTGTCACCATTTTGGAATTGATCTCAGAGGGGTTAAACGTCCAATGCAGCCATTTTTATCTCAATATCAAATAATTTATGGGTAACAATTAAATACCTTACTGTGATTGTTTTCAATTAAAATGGTAAAAAAAGAAACAAATAGTTTCTTAGCAAAGAGCCATTTCTCAAGCAATAATTTTGCTAGAACTGTCTGGGAGTGGTCTGAGTGGGGAGGGGGGAAAACTTAAAACTAGCTGTTATTGGCAGGGATCTACTTCATCTACTTACCCAGAGTCAGATGAACTTGTGGATACAATTTTTATGTCTCTGCGTGCAGTTTGATGGAAGTTACTAACTAGAGTTAGCGCAATGACTGGAAGTATATGATAACTGCTAGCATGCTACAGTAGTAGATACCATAGACTTCCAGTCATTGCTCTAACGCTAGTTAGCATTGGCTCGCGAAACTACCTCTAACTTCCTTCATACTGGATGCAGAGACAAATGGTATCCATGAGTTCATCTGACTCTGAGGAAGTAGCTAAAGGGCTTCATTGCTAAAATCCTGAAGTATCCCTTTTAACTAATTCAGTGGCTGTGGATCCAACAGTCGGCGAGTGAAGTCAGGGGATGTGCATCTGCGACAGCCGAAAGATGGATACTATAGTGGTTTACCAACACCAAGGCTCAGATCAACATGGCAGTGTCAAAATAGCTATTATTGATTAGGTTTTTCTTTATAAATGTCTATACCCCCATATCACACACTCACGAACTGAAAACATAACCCTGTGTAGCTCAGTTGGTAGAGCATGGCGCTTGCAACGCCAAGGTTGTGGGTTTGTTTCCCACGGGGGGCCAGTATGAAAATATATGCACACTAACTGTAAGTCGCTCTGGATAAGAGCGTCTGCTAAATAATAATAATAATAATATGCCATTTAGCAGACGCTTTTATCCAAAGCGACTTACAGTCATGCGTGCATAAATTTTTGTGTATGGGTGGTCCCGGGGATTGAACCCACTACCTTGGCGTTACAAACGCCATGCTCTACCAGCTGAGCTACAGAGGACCACTAACTAAATGACTAAAATGTAAAATGTAAATAAAGTGTAAAATTAATTGGTTAGAGAGGTCTCAAATATCACTTTCATTTGAATCCCCTGTAGCTTTAGTATCACAGAAAAATTGGTTCCTGTTTCAATCACTTCTTTGGCCACGTTCTCTTGGGTCAAACAAAAACACCCCAATGATTGGTTGACAAATGGTGCCTCCCACAATGGAGGTGATGGCTGCATGGTGCGGTTGGTAAGAAGCAACTGCAGCGACTTGAATCTGACTTCATCAAAAACGTCATGACCTTTGATCACATGATTTTTGTAAAGTTCATGCTTCTTTATACCCATAACGCAACACACTTTGAAAGGCGGAGACCGACGTTGGTCAACGTCTTGACAAAAGTGATCAGCTCGAACGTGACCCCCGTGCGGAGAACAGGCTACTAGCGTGAAGTTAGATCAAAGTTAGATCAAGCTGACTCGATGTCTGCAAGATCACATAATGATCACAGTATTCTACATAACAGAACCGAATATAATAGCATAGTGTAACGTTACTGTAAGACACCCCAAAAAAATATCATCTCTCATGAGGCCAAAACTCAACTGTGTGCGTCTCTAGGCAAAATACACAGGTAGACTATGCTACAGTTTGTTAACAACATCTTCTCTAAAATTTGCTCCCTGTACATTCTTCAAAACAACACTGTAGGCTACTTCTAAACAACACTAACTCAAGATCAAAATGTATATCCCCATTAAACTGATTGAGATCAAATGGTTGGTTACTATGGGTAAAACTTAAAGAATTATCATTGACAATTAAACGCTGTGGTGTTTTTGTCTTACAGTAACGTTGTGCTATTATATTCGTTTCTGTTATGTAGAATACTGTGGTCATTATGTGAGATCTTGCTGACATTGATTCAGCTTGATCTAACTTTATTAAACAAGCATAATTCGCCTGAGTAGCCTGTTCTCTGCACATAGAGAATATACAATCAGTGGCCAGTTTATTAGGTACACCACCCCGTTCACGAAAATGGTTCGCTCCTACAGACGGTGAGTCTCGTGGCCGTGGGTTGCTATATAACGCAGGCATCCAGTTACTGTTCGATTGAATGTTAGAATGGGCAAAACAAGTGACTTAAGTGACTTTGAGCGTGGTATGATCGTCGGTGCCAGGCGCGCTGGTTCCAGTATCTCAGAAACTGGGCTTTTCACGCACAACAGTGTCTAGGGTTTACCGAGAATGATGCGACAAACATTGTCAGCGGCGGTCCTGTGGGGGCGAAAACAGCTTGTTGATGAGAGGTCGTAGGGCAATGGCAAGAATCAACAGGCGGGCCACAAACAGGCAAATAACGGCGCAGTACAACAGTGGCGTGCAGAACGGCATCTCGGAACGCATATCTCGTCGGTCCTTGTCACAGCTGGGCTATTGCAGCAGACGACCACACCGGGTTTGACTCCTATCAGCTAAAAACAAGAAGCGGCTCCAGTGGGCACGCAGTCACCAACACTGGACAATTGAGGAGTGGAAAAACATTGCCTAGTTTGACGAAACCCAGATCCTGTTGCATCATGCTTATGGCAGTCAGGATGTGGCTTAAGCAGCAAGAGTCCATGGCACCATCCTGGTGTCAACGGTACAGGCTGGTGGCAGTGGTGTAATGGTGTGGAGAATGTTTTCCTGGCACACGTTAAATCATTTGATACCAATTGAGCAACATTTCCATGCACAAAGAATTCAAGCTGTTCTGGAGGCAAAGGGAGGTCTGACCCAGGACTAGTGTACCTAATAAACATACGTAGAACGTGATCCGCAAATGCCAGAGTCTTCGGGAAGCTCTGGATCTTTTAGTCGGCGGACTAAAGATCCTGAAAAAGTCAGATCCGCAGCCACAGCTTAACTAATTTACCAACTTGTGATGTCCCCAGGCAGGCCAAAACTCCATCCCACCAAAACAAGCTGACATTTCAGACGGTCTTTTCAAACCGCTCGTACACTAAAAGGGCATTATCATCATTTTCACAATTTAACAGTATTATTCCGAACATATATACACACACACACACACACACTACCAGTCAAAAGTTTGGACACACCTACCCATTCAAGGGTTTTTCTTTATTTTTACTATTCTTTACATTGTAGAATAATAGTGAAGACAAACTATGAAATAATATATGGAATCATATAGTAACCAAAAAAGTGTTAAGCAAATCAAAATATATTTTATATTTGAGATTCTTTGCTTTGACAGCTTTGCACAATCTTGGCATTCTCTCCAGCTTCATGAGGTAGTCACCTGGAATTCATTTCAATTAACAGGTGTGCATTCTTAAAAGTTAATTTGTGGCATTTCTTTCCTTCTAAATGCGTTTGAGCCAATCAGTTGTGTTGTGACAAGGTAGGGGGGGTATACAGAAGATAGCCCTATTTGGTAAAACACCAAGTCCATATTATGGCAAGAACAGCTCAAATAAGCAAAGAGAACAGTCCATCATTACTTTTAAGACATGAAGGTCAGTCAATATGGAACATTTCAAGAACTTTGAACGTTTCTTCAAGTGCAGTCGCAAAACCCATCAAGTGCTATGATGAAACTGGCTCTCATGAGGACTGCCACAGGAATGGAAGACCCAGAGTTACCTCTGCTGCAGACGATAAGTTCATTAGAGTTACCAGCCTCAGAAATTGCAGCCCAAATAAATGCTTCACACACTTCAAGTCACAGGCACATCTCAACATCAACTGTTCAGAGGGGACTGTGTGAAGCATGGTCGAATTGCTGCCAAGAAACCACTACTAAAGGACACCAATAATAAGAAGAGACCTGCTTGGGCCAAGAAACACGAGCAATGGACATTAGACCGGTGGAAATGTGTCCTTTGGTCTGGAGTCCAAATTTGAGATTTTTGGTTCCAACCGCCGTGTCTTTGTGAGACGTGGTGTGGGTGAACGGATGATCTCCGCATGTGTATTTCCCACCGTAAAGCATGGAGGAGGAGGTATTATGGTGTGGGGGTGCATTGCTGGTGACACTGTCTGTGATTTATTTAGAATTCAAGGTACACTTAACCAGCATGGCTACCACAGCATTCTGCATCTATATGCCATTCCATCTGGTTTGGTCTTAGTGGGACTATATTTGTTTTTCAACAGGATAATGAACCAACACACCTCCAGGCTGTGTAAGGGCTATTTTACCAAGAAGGAGAGTGATGGAGTGCTGCATCAGATGACCTGGCCTCCACAATCCCCCGACCTCAACCCAATTGAGATAGTTTGAGATGAGTCGGACGGCAGAGTGAAGGGAAAAGCAGCTAACAAGTGCTCAGCATATGTGGGAACTCCTTCAAGACTGTTGGAACAGCATTCCAGGTGAAGCTGGTTGAGAGAATGCAAAGAGTGTGCAAAGCTGCCATAAAGGCAAAGGGTGGCACTTTTTTGTTTACTACATGATTCCATATGTGTTATTTTATTGTTTTGATGTCTTCACTATTGTTCTACAATGTAGAAAATAGTAAAAATAAAGAAGAACCCTTGAATGAGTAGGTGGGTCCAAACTTTTGACTGGTAGTGTGCATATATAAACTCAGCAAAAAAAGAAACGTCCCTTTTTCAGGACCCTGTCTTTCAAAGATAATTCGTAAAAATCAAAATAACTTCACAGATCTTCATTGTAAAGGGTTTAAACACTGTTTCCCATGCTTGTTCAATGAACCATAAACAATTAATGAACATGCACCTGTGGAACGGTCGTTAAGACACTAACAGCTTACAGACGGTAGGCAATTAAGGTCACAGTTATGAAAACTTAGGACTCTAAAGAGGCCTTTCTACTGAAAAACACCCAAAAGAAAGATGCCCAGGGTCCCTGCTCATCTGTGTGAACGTGTCTTAGGCATGCTGCAAGGAGGCATGAGGACTGCAGATGTGGCCAGGGCAATAAATTGCAATGTCCGTACTGTGAGACGCCTAAGACAGAGCTACAGGGAGACAGGACGGACAGCTGATCGTCCTCACAGTGGCAGACCACGTGTAACAACAATCCCATTGAGCACTTCTGGGACCTGTTGGATCAGAGGGTGAGGGCTAGGGCCATTCCCCCCCAGAAATGTCCAGGAACTTGCAGGTGCCTTGGTGGAAGAGTGGGGTAACATCTCACAGCAAGAACTGGCAAATCTGGTGCAGTCCAGGAGGAGGAGATGCACTGCAGTACTTAATGCAGCTGGTGGCCACACAAGATACTGACTGTTACTTTAGATTTTGACCCCCCCTTTGTTCAGGGACACATTATTCAATTTCTGTTAGTCACATGTCGGTGGAACTTGTTCAGTTTATGTCTCAGTTGTTGTATCTTGTTATGTTCATACAAATATTTACACATGTTAAGTTTGCTGAAAATAAACACAGTTGACAGTGAGAGGACGTTTCTTTTATTTAGTTTATATCACAGGAAAATCACATGTTTGACTGCACTGGGCCTTTAATGTTTTGGCCCAATATCCAGTTATTTGTTCCTCACAATTTTTATAGATTTCTCAAAGATACCCTTTAAAGGGGGATTTCACAGGGTTGAAGAACCTCAATTCATTGACATAAAATTAATTATTTTAGACTTTTCTTCAGTCAGTCACAGAATCTGGTGACTCAAAATGAGACATTTTGGAACGTGTATGATCCCTCTTTAAACAGTGTCTGTGCGAGTGCATGCAAAATGTCTCTGTGGGAAGCTGATCACTGCTTTTTGTCTGGGGCTCACTTACTTTCACTGCTGTCTCACTTCATCTCACCTCTCCCTCTCTCCTCATTGAATGGGACTTCGCTGGGGTCTGCCAATCCCATTAGGAGCTTGATGAGGTACTGTCCAATCTCCTCATATCCAAACTGTACTTTCAGTCACAAGGGACATTTTTTAACCGTGCTTTGTATGGGTTGGAAAGTTTGCAAACAATGTTTCAAATGGGTAGTGATAACTGTGTAATATGTATGATTTTGCCATCAGTTGGCTGATGACCGCATGGCCCTGGTCTCAGGGATCAGTCTGGACCCAGAAGCTGCCATCGGAGTCACCAAGAGACTGCCGCCCAAGTGGGTAGATGGGGTAGTTGAGGTAAGAAACAATCACATGCTCTTAACTACTTCAGTATGAAAAGTTTATTACTAGTCTTCAAATGCTTAGTTTCACCATCATAAACAATGAAACTATTGAGCTATAGATACTTTAGAAAATGTCGGCCTAATATGTATTAGCCTATATAAAATTCCTAAATCCAATGTCAGTCGTCTTTCTTTAAAATTGATTTTTTACTTGGAGCTTTGGATCTTTCAATGTCTTGTTTTCTCGTGCCTCGTGTTAATCCTGTGGTTGCGTGGGCTTTCAGATTCAGTATGAAATCACACGGGTCCGGCAGAAAATGAAGGAGCTGGCTGCCCTTCATGACAAGCACATGAACCGTCCTACCCTGGATGACAGCAGTGAAGAGGAGCATGCCATAGAGATCACCACTCAGGAGATCACACAGGTAGGCCAGTGACAGCGATGGGAGTCTATACAAAAAACCCCATTGAAAGAACTTTGAAGAGAAGTCACATTTATTATTACTACATAGGAAACTTGCTGAGGCAAAATGTGACACACCTCATAAGTGTCCTTCTGGAAAAGCCAACGCCTATGCAGTGGTGTAAAGTACTTAAGTACAAATATTTTTGTAGTACTACTTAGATCGTTTTTTTGGGTATCTATACTTCACTTTACTATTTATATTTTTGACAACTTTTACTCCACTACATTCCTAAAGAAAATAATGTAGTTTTTACTCCATACATATTCCTTGACACCCAAAAGTACTCGTTACATTTTGAATTCTTAACAGGACAGGAACATTTTCCAATTCCCTGATCATCCCTACTGCCTCTGATCTGGCGGACTCACTAAACACAAATGCTTCATTTGTAAATTATGTCTGAGTGTTGTAGTGTGCCCTGGCTATCCGTTAAAAAATGCAATAATACATTTTTGGTGCCGTCTAGTTTGCTTAATATAAGGAATTTGAACTCTTACTTTTGATACTTAAGTATATTTTAGCAATTGCATTTACTTTTGATACTTAAGTATATTTTAGCAATTGCATTTACTTTTGATACTTAAGTATATTTAAAACCAAATACTTTAGGGGCTCCCGAGTGGCGCAGCGGCCTAAGGGACTGCATCGCAGTGCTAGAGGCATCACTACAGACCCTGGTTCGATCCCGGGCTGTATCACAACCGGTTGTGATCGGGAGTTCCATAGGGCGGCGCACAATTGGCCCAGCGTCTTCCGGGTTTGGGGAGGGTTTAGCCGGTGGGGCTTTACTTGCTCATTGCGCTCTAGCGACTCCTTGTGGCGGGCCGGGCACCTGCAGGCTGACTGCGGTCGTCAGGTGAACAGTGTTTCATTTTACATTTTAGTAATTTAGCAGACGCTCTTATCCAGAGCGACTTACAGTTAGTGAGTGCATACATTTTTACTCCGACACATTGGTGCGGCTTGCTTCTGGGTTAAGTGGGCAGGTGTTAAGAAGCGCGGTTTGGCGGGTCATGTTTCGGAGGACGCATGACTCGACCTTCGCCTGCCGAGCCCGTTGGGGAGTTGCAGTGATGAGACGATCGAAATTGGGGTAAAAAAATAATAATAAATACTTGTAGACTTTTATTCAAGTAGTATTTTACTGGGTTACTTTTACTTGTAATTTTTTTATCAAATTATCTTGACTTTTACTCAAGTATGACAATTGGGTACTTTTTCCATAACTGCGCCTATGAGTTCCTAACTATTATTGTTATGAATAGTCATTTGTTAGATAGTATGATCTGATTTATATTTAAGACTTAACGTTTGTGGCTTTTATAAGGGCCTACAGTATATAGAGCCTGCTGATGTAATACTGTATGTCAACAATTATTGTCCATTCTTGTTATATAGTAGAATAAGATATATATTTTTCAGTGAGCATTTCTCCGTGTTCTCATTTACTTGGTTCTGTGTAGATGATGATAATTATTTATTTTGAATTTAAATTGTACAAAGGTCAAAGTTTTTTTGTCTTATGGCAAAGATTTATTGAGTGCTCTCTCCTTTGTCTATGTAGATGTTCCACCGATGTCAGCGTGCAGTGACCGGTCTGCAGTCTCGCTGTGGGCACTGCACAGAGCAGGAGGAGAGGCTGCTGAGAAATGTGGTGTCCTCTTTGGCAGGGAGCCTGCAGGAGCTGTCCACCAACTTCAGACACACGCAGTCCAGCTACCTAAAACGTAAGCAAGCACTCACTCAGTATTTACTCCTACACCTTGCAACTATCTTTTCAAATGTTTTTGTATTTCTATTAGTTTCCAGTCTTCCATCCCTCACTTCTCTCTCTCCTTACACAAACCTGCGCGCGCACACACACACACACTCTCTACATTTATCTTTGTTTTCACCTCCACCCTCATATCATATGTCTCTTTTTATTGTCATAATGTTGATGCTTTCTGTTACAGGCATGAAGAATCGTGAGGAGAGATCCAAGCACTTTTTTGACTCTGGTCCTCTAATGGAGGAGGATGAAGACATAGCACTATATGAAATGGTGAGCTTGGAACGGACAGTGTATTTTGACATTTACCTGATCAGCATAGGTGCTCATGCATATCTCTCAGGAAAAATATAATATCCTGGTGAAATTAATATAGAATATATTAATGCATAGACAAATGTATGTCTTGTTTTTGCAAAATGTAACAAGAATGTGAGTTCCATGAAGTTGACTTGTTGAAGCCTAATGAAAATCAATGGGTGTTGTGCTTTATCTCAATGTAACAGAGGAAGTCACCCTTACATTTTAACAATACTCATCTGATACCACATTATTTATTTGGATAACCACCTAAATGTTTACATACCTTCTATTTTGTCCTGAGATGGGCAAAATAACATTTACTTTTAAAGGATTCCTCTTTTGGTGTGAGAAACAATAAAATATCAAGCCGTTTACTGAAGTGATGCAATTGTAATCAGTTTAAAAGGTGCAATGAGAACATTATGAATATCACACTGTTATTTACACTAGAGAAATGTTTCCTTACACAAGTTTGAATCCATTGATATGACAAAGGTTCTGTCCCAAATGGCACCCTATTCCCTACATAGTGCACTATTTTTTACCAGGGCCCATAGGACTCTGGTCAAAAGTAGTCCACTATTAAGGGAATATGGCACCATTTTGGGAAGCAGACAGTTATCTCACTGAGCCCATATCTCTGATCTCTCCCAGGGGTTTACAGATGACCAACTGGTCCTGGTAGAGCAGAACACAGTGATGGTGGAGGAACGCGAGAGAGAGGTCCGACAGATAGTCCAGTCCATCACCGACCTGAATGAGATTTTCCGAGACCTGGCAGGAATGGTGGTGGAACAGGTCTGTGAGGGAAACCCTATTCAGTGTTCGGAAACACGACAATTATATGGAAATAATGTTTAGGCTATACAATACAACAGTCCTTTTATCCATCATTTCATTTGACTCTGCAGTAATAGGAATAATATCTGATTTACATCACTATCAAACTGTATATGTTGTGTATATACAGTGCCTTCGGAAAGTATTCAGACCCCTTTACTTTTTCCACGTTTTGTTACGTTACCTTATTCTAAAATGGATTTTAAAAATAATAATCCTCATCAATCTACACACAATACCCCATAATGAAAAAGCGAAAACAGGTTTTTAGAAATGTTTGCTAATTTATTACAAATAAAAACAGAAATACCTTATTTACATAAGTATTCAGACCCTTTGCTACAGTGAGGGAAAAAAGTAGTTGATCCCCTGCTGATTTTGTACGTTTGCTCACTGACAAAGAAATGATCAGTCTATAATTTTATTGGTAGGTTTATTTGAACAGTGAGAGACAGAATAACAACAAAAAAATCCTGAAAAACGCATGTCAAAAATGTTATAAATTGATTTGCATTTTAATGAGGGAAATACGTATGACCCCCTCTCAATCAGAAAGATTTCTGGCTCCCAGGTGTCTTTTATACAGGTAACGAGCTGAGATTAGGAGCACACTCTTAAAGGGAGTGCTCCTAATCTCAGCTTGTTACCTGTATAAAAGACACCTGTCCACAGAAGCAATCAATCAATCAGATTCCAAACTCTCCACCATGGCCAAGACCAAAGAGCTCTGCAAGGATGTCAGGGACAAGATTGTAGACCTAAACAAGGATGGAATGGGCTACAAGACCATCGCCAAGCAGCTTGGTGAGAAGGTGAAAACAGTTGGTGCGATTATTCGCAAATGGAAGAAACACAAAATAACTGTCAATCTCCCTCGGCCTGGGGCTCCATGCAAGATCTCACCTCGTGGAGTTGCAATGATCATGAGAACGGTGAGGAATCAGCCTAGAACTACACGGGAGGATCTTGTCAATGATCTCAAGGCAGCTGGGACCATAGTCACCAAGAAAACAATTGGTAACACACTACGCCGTGAACAACTGAAATCCTGCAGCGCCCGCAAGGTCCCCCTGCCCAAGAAAGCACATATACATGCCCGTCTGAAGTTTGCCAATGAACATCTGAATGATTCAGAGGAGAACTGGGTGAAAGTGTTGTGGTCAGATGAGACCAAAATCGAGCTCTTTGGCATCAACTCAACTCGCCGTGTTTGGAGGAGGAGGAATGCTGCCTATGACCCCAAGAACACCATCCCCACCGTCAAACATGGAGGTGGAAACATTATGCTTTGGGGGTGTTTTTCTGCTAAGGGGACAGGACAACTTCACTGCATCAAAGGGACGATGGACGGGGCCATGTACCGTCAAATCTTGGGTGAGAACCTCCTTCCCTCAGCCAGGGCATTGAAAATGGGTCGTGGATGGTTATTCCAGCATGACAATGACCCAAAACACACGGCCAAGGCAACAAAGGAGTGGCTCAAGAAGAAGCACATTAAGGTCCTGGAGTGGCCTAGCCAGTCTCCAGACCTTAATCCCATAGAAAATCTGTGGAGGGAGCTGAATGTTCGAGTTGCGAAACGTCAGGCTCGAAACCTTAATGACTTGGAGAAGATCTGCAAAGAGGAGTGGAACAAAATCCCTCCTGAGATGTGTGCAAACCTGGTGGCCAACTACAAGAAACGTCTGACCTCTGTGATTGCCAACAAGGGTTTTGCCACCAAGTACTAAATCATGTTTTGCAGAGGGGTCAAGTACTTATTTCCCTCATTTAAAATGCAAATCAATTTAAAACATTTTTGACATGTGTTTTTCTGGATTTTGTTGTTGTTATTCTGTCTCTCACTGTTAAAATAAACCTACCATTAAAATGATAGACTGATAATTTCTTTGTCAGTGGACAAACATACAAAATCAGCAGGGGATCAAATACTTTTTTCCCTCACTGTATGAGACTCGAGATTGAGCTCAGGTGCATCCTGTTTCCATTGATCATCTTTGAGATGTTTCTACAACTTGATTGGTGTCTACCTGTGATAAATTCAATTGATTGGACATGATTTGGAAAAGGCACACACCTGTCTATATAAGGTCCCACAGTTGACAGTGCATGTCAGAGCAAAAACCAAGCCATGAGGTTGAAGGAATTGTCCGTAGAGCTCCGAGACAGGATTGTGTCGCGGCACAGATCTGGGGAAGTGTACCAAAACATTTCTGCAGCATTGAAGGTCCCCTAGAACACAGTGGCCTCCATCATTCTTAAATGGAAGAAGTTTGGAACCACCAAGAATCGGGGGAGAAGGGCCTTGGTCAGGGAGGTGACCAGGAACCCAATGGTCACTCTGACAGAGCTCTAGCGTCTTCTGTGGAGATGGGAGAACCTTCCAGAAGGACAAACATCTCTGCAGCACTACACCAATCAGGCCTTTATGGTAGAGTGGCCAGACGGAAGCCACTCCTCAGTAAAAGGCACATGACAGCCCGCTTGGAGTTTGCCAAAAGGCACCTAAAGACTCTCAGACCATGAAAAACAAGATTCTCTGGAATGATTAAACCAAGATTGAACTCTTTGGCCTGAATGCCAAGTGTCACGTCTGGAGGAAACCTGGCACCATCCTTACGGTGAAGCATGGTGGTGGCAACATGCTGTGGGGATGTTTTTCAGCGGCAGGGAATGGGAGACTAGTCAGGATCGAGGCAAAGATGAACGGAGCAAAGTACAGAGAGACCCTTGATGAAAACCTGCTCCAGAGCGTTCAGGACCTCAGAATTGGGCGACGGTTCACCTTCCAACAGGGCAACGACCCTAAGCACACAGCCAAGACAATGCAAGAGTGGCTTCGGGACAAGTCTCTGAATGTCCTTGAGTGGCCCAGCCAGAGCCCGGACTTGAACCCGATTTGAACATCTCTGGAGAGACCTGAAAATGGCTGTGCAGCAACGCTCCCCATCCAACCTGACAGAGCTTGAGAGGATCTGCAGAGAAGAATGGGAGAAACTCCCCAAATACAGGTGTGCCAAGCTTGTAGCGTCATACCCAAGACGACTCCATGCTGTAATCGCTGCCAAAGTTGCTTCAACAAAGTACTGAGTAAAGGGTCTGAATACTGTAAATGTCATATTTCCGTATTTTTAATAAATAAGCAGAAATGTCTAAAAACCTGTTTTTGCTTTGTCATTATGGGGTATTGTGTGTAGATTGATGAGGGGGGGAAAAATAATTTAATCAATTTTAGAATAAGGCTGTAACGTAACAAAATGTGGAAAAAGTCAAAGGGTCTGAATACTTTCCGAAGGCACTGTATATGACTTTGTATGTCTTCACAATCTGATTATTTATTTATCCAATATCAGGGCACAGTACTTGACAGAATTGACTTCAATGTGGAGCAATCGTGTGTCAAAACAGAAGAGGGGTTAAAACAGTTACAAAAGGTAAGAACACAACATTAAAGATTGTTGATGTTTCAGCCCAATTGGTGATTATGTCCACGAAAAAGGGAAAGATGTTATCTTGCACGCAAACTTAGTTATAACATTTTCTCTCTTTGTTCTCTTACAGGCTGAACAGTATCAGAAGAAAAACCGAAAGATGCTGGTCATTTTAATTCTTACTGTTATAGTTGTTGTTCTAATACTTATTCTATTTGGGACAAAGTTCTAGTGATTAATTCCTTTGCTTTTGGTATGTCTGTGTGTATGTTTGGTGTGCATCTATATGTGCTTGGATGAGGGTCTTCTCTGTACTTTAAACGATGCTGACTATCTGTCCAACTTTCCAATCAACATCTGAAGAATCACCCCAATCTCTCGCTGTATGGCTCATGGAGATGTGTTGAATGCATGCTCCCTAAAAGAGAGCGAGGACAGCCAGGGTGAGTTCCTATTTCACTTTGCAACTGGCCTGCACACATGCCCACTGTCCGCCCCAATACCCTCTTGAACATGACCATATACTCCATGTGTCATGGTTCCTGCTGCAAACAAACACAAAAAACTCTCAAATTCCCTCGTGGAAGACTACTGATTAATTGTCATGGCCACACATTTTGCTTGTTTTTCAAGCTTGTGTGAGAGTAAACATCATCTGTCCAGTTTTATTGTAAGCTATAGCTGTAAGCCCTGCCCTCCCATGTCTGTGTTTTCAAGAGAAGAATTCTGACAACTCAGCTACTGCACAGATGAATATTGAAGGTCTATGAACAAGGAACATTTGTGTCTCGTGGTGTTGCTACAGGACCCTGGTCAGTGCAGAGACTTCATTCCTTTTTGCATTTGATTCCTTTTTCACTTTATCATGGTTCCTTTTTTAAAGAGGGAGAAATGACAAAAGGTTTGCGTGTCTCTCAGTGACTGAAGAACTACAGTAGCTGATTCATTGAATACCAAAACAACCTTTTGGATTAAGAGCTGTAGTTGACCATCCTAAGTTCATGTCTCTGTACCAACAGTAGTATCTTTCATGAATTTGCACATTTAGATCACTTGATGACTGCTTTCTTTTGTTTCATGACCCTCTCTATTGTCTGATATCGCTAACTGACACATTTTTTTTACATTTTAGTCATTTAGCAGATGCCCTTATCCAGAGCGACTTACAGTTAGTGAATACATGTTTTTTTTTTTTTTTTTTCATACTGGCCCCCCGTGGGATCAGTTGAGTTTATTCTTGTGTCTTTTATCCCTCACAGTTTGCACATATCGAAAGACTGATGGGTTTGGTTTCATGGCTGTAAAACGGTCTCCTGTATAATATGAAATTATAATTATTTATTTTGAATTTAAATTGTATAAAAGGTCAAAGGTTTTTGTCTAATATGACAAAGATGTATTGAGTAGCCTACATTGTGTCCATGGCCTAACGTATGGGGATGAACAATGTGATCAAGCCTTGATCTCAGAAATTACTTTGCCCATTCCACTACAAAATCAATTAAAAGTTGAGAGTACCTTTTTCTCACACTACTGTTTCTTATGAAGAATGGTCCTTTTCTGGAAAGATGTGTGACCCATTTCATGTATGCTCAAGTGTTTTTTTACTGTCCCAAATGGCACCTTATTCACTAAATAGTGTACTACTTTAGACTACGGCCCATAGAGAATAGGGTACCATTTGAGAAAGAATCATGGACAGAATTGTCCATTAACAAAACATTGCCCAAGTTCAGTTATATATAGATATACTGTACCATGGCATTGTTGAATACTATTTTCTGATTGGCTTTAAGGGCATTCTAAAGCGTGCATTATTTTCCTTTATAAACTGGGTGGTTCAAGCCCTGAATGCTAATTGGCTGAAAGCTGTGGTATACCACAGGTATGACAAAATATTCATTTTTACTTCTCTAATTACGTTGGTAACGAATAATGGCAATAAGGCACCTCCGGTGTTTGTGGTATATTGCCAATATACCATGGCTAACGGCTGTATCCTGGCACTCTGCGTTGCATCATGGTTAAGAACAGCCCTTAGCCATGGTATGTTGGCCATATACCACACCCCCTCGGGCCTTATTGCTTAAATAATGCACGGTATATTTGCATGGTAGAATTCAATGGCTATAGTTAATTTTTACATGTTTTGTTTGAGCTGCTTTTGAAAGGAAAAAGTATAATTGAAAACCGTATTGGTATTGTTGAATTCGATGTTCATAATAGCAAGCTAGGACTGATGGTTTGGTTAGCTAAATTTGCAAGTCTGTTTGTTTGGTTACCACGGAAACTACTGTCGCTATCTAGTACACGCACATTGAACACATTTCTACCCGCAAATGAACACATTTCTAGTGACTAATGTGTTCAATTATAGCCATGGTATAAAAGGAATAATCAACTTGGTGCTCTGTGTTCTCTGGAAAATAATGCGCGTCGTGGTACACACCTTCCACCTCGTTTATTATTTTCCATATAACTCATAGCCCCTCGTTGATTAGCCCTAATCTTTGGTTTTACACACACTTCAATGGTAAATCAGCATTGTTCATGTTGTGATGTTTTGTGTGTGAAAAAAAAAAAACCTGCTACGTCCTTATGGTATATTAGCTTATGTTTTTGTTTTTTTTGTGGATATTAGCAGTAATAATAAAAATAAATACGTGTATTGCATTGGGTTTGTTGCAGCAGTTTCAGAGATCCAAGAAAACTATGCAAAAGGAAGGTTAGATAGTCTTTCCCACTTTGATTTTACGGGGGAAATGAACAAAACTGACTGATTTAAGAAATCTATTTCACACACTATGTATAACCACTTCACATAAATATGGAAAGCCCATCCCATTCAACCTCAGCTGTGACACTTCTCTATGGAAAGCAGGATGTGCGATAAAGTGCATCAATCCATCGCTTCGTCCAAAGATGGCGAATGTGGTGCTCGAGTTCAAGGCTTCTGCCGGAGATTCGGAGCCCCAAAATCGCCCGGTCCTCATTGTCGGTCAACTGAATAACCTACAGCAAGCAAACTGGACCCAAGTCAAAGGGAAATTGCAGCCAGCTGTCAGCGAAAAGGTGAGGAGAAAAAGAAAAAAAAAGCAGGGCTAATCGCGTTAAAACGGAGGGTCCCTGGAGTTCTCCGGCAAGCACTCAACTGTCCTCTCGCGCTAGCTTTGCAAGCTAGCTGGCTAGCCTGTATCAGTAACTTTTTTCTAGCTAGTAATTATACTATGACAAAATGTTTAATTTTACGCTTTGTATTTTGTGAAGTAGTTCAATGGTTAATGCATTGCTCCGTACATTGAATCTAACTTAATGCTAACAAAGTTCGATAGCTCGCTAACTAGCTTAGCTATCACAAATTAAGTGTGTTTTCAGAAGTGTCGCCGCCATTAATTTTCAAGGAGGGCGGGTGATTGTGGGAAAGTGAGCATTAGAACCCTGCTAGCAGAGCCTATCAAAAGTTGAACTCTGCTCTACTTTATGCAAATTTAAAGTGGAGCGTTGGAGAGAAGCGTTCTGGTCAAAACCAGTGGAGGCTCCTCCGAGGAAGGGGAGGACCATCCTACTCAGGTAATTTGAATAATAATCCAAATTGAGATACATTTAAAAAGTTATCCTTTTTAGATAAAAACTATAATAAATATATTCACGTCTCCAAATAACTGATTTAAAACACTGTTTTGCAATGGTCTACAGTAGCCTCAACAGCACCATCTAGGTTAGCACCATGGTATAGCCGGAGGACAGCTATTTTCTGTCCTCTGGGTACATTGACTTCAATACAAAACCTAGGAGGCTCATGGTTCTCACCCCTTTCCATAGACTTACACAGTAATTAGGACCACTTCCGGAGGACGTCCTCCAACCTATCAGAGCTCTTGCAATATGAACTAACATCTTGTCCATCCAATCAAAGGATCAGAAAATGAATCTAGTACTGAAAGCTACAGCCAGCTAGCACTGCAATGCATAAAGTGTTGTGTAGTTGAATCAAAAAGCGAGAAAGACACATTTCTTCAAAAATTAAGGAGAAGCAGCAGAGTGATAGAGAGAGCTAGCTATATGTCGTTGTATATTTTCTTCTTAGTTTACCTTTCCACTTACTTAGCTAATTCAGCTAATTTAGCCTACTCAACAACCTGATTCAAACAGAGAGGAATGCTAGATATTTATTTTAGCTAGCTGGCTAAGGCTATCTATCAAAACACGGATCTATGTGTGTGGCGATCAAGATTACTGATTAATTATTTTTACTTACTTTGTTACTACTGATTTGTTTTTCTGAGTGATTCTTCATTTTAGTCATTAGTTTGACTTGCTAGTGCTGGCCGCAATTGTGTTTTTTGTTCATGACTGAAGGCACATGCACAAGAGGGAAGTACACGCACGCGAACCATGCATACTAACCGAAGTCTTGCAGGTGTTTATATGGTTTTGCACATGTGCCAGATGATAGAAATTTAAAATTCAGTACCGATGCTCTAAAAAGTCGGTTAAACAATACTTTCCTGTGGATATTTTGTTTCAAATTCTAAGCAGCTGAAAGACCAACAACACAGACAATCGGCAGAGTAAGTTCAAATAATTGTATTCAACATTCCGGCTTGTAGAGGACCAGAGAGGACCATTTCCGGAATCAAACACTATCATGTTCAAGATGGTGTATTTCGAAATTCACCACCTGGTCCCCAGGCAACGACTAACCTAGCTATTATTCCTCGTGACATAACTTAATGTTTGGTCCAGCCAGCTGACTTTGGAGTCTCTTCAGATCTTTTGCAGCTAATTGGTATTTTGCGCCATCAGATATTTTGCCAAAAATTGGGCTGCCCGTGTAAACACAGCCTTTGGCTCCTATTTGGTCTTCTGCTTTGCAAAAATCTCTATCACAGCACTGTAGGTGAATTGGTCAACAATTTGTTGCCACACAGCATCAGACAACTTATGTCATATGCCTTCATTAGTTCTACTGTATTCAGTACTTATGTGATCATCACAATGTAGCCAATGATTGTCACTCACTCTTTTAACCCTTATTTTATCAGGTAAGTTGACTGAGAACACGTTCTCATTTACAGCAATGACCTGGGGAATAGTTACAGGGGAGAGGAATGAGCCAATTGGAAGCTGGAGATGATTAGGTGTCCATGATGGTATGAGGGCCAGATTGGGAATTTAGACAGGACACCGGGGTTAACACCGTTACGACAAGCACCATGGGAGCTTTAGTGACCACAGAGAGTCAGGTCACCCGTTTAACGCCCCATCTGAAAGACTGGACTCTACACTGGGCAATATCCCCAATCACTGCCCTGGGGCATTTAGATTTAAAAAAAAATTGACCAGAGGAAAGAGTGCCTCCTACTGGCCCTCCAACACCACTTCCAGCAGCATCTGGTCTCCCATCCAGGACCAACCCTGCTTAGCTTCAGAGGCAAGCCAGCAGTGGGATGCAGCATGGTATGCTGCTGTGTTAACAAGTGAATTGTGTTTTTTTTTATATCCAGATCTGGCAGGATGCCCTCAGTGCTCTGAACCCTAACCCTACGGACAGCTGCCCTCTTTACTTGAGCCATGCAGCCGTGGCAGCCCTGCCCTCCCGGGTTAGCAGACACAACAGCCCCTCCTCTGCCCACTTCCTCTCCCGTCTGGTCCGCACCTGCCTGCCTAGAGGGACGAGCCGATGCATCCTGGTCAGTCAGTTCAACGTACTCACTGGGATTAAAAGGCTAATTTGGAGCTATACAGGGCCGGTTTCCCAGACACTGATTAAGCCTAGTCCTGGATTTAAAAGCACTTTCAATGGAAATTATACATTGAGAATGTGGCGGGAAACAGGCCTGTGGAGTTTACGGCGCTGCTGACCTTATCTGCCATTATGCATTAGACACCAGACATTTATTATTAGATCCTTAGTGTTAATGTGATCATTAAGCCATAGATCAGCCCCTACAGCTTTCCAAATTCTCAAACAAATCTAGGTTACCTACATGTGGTTTTACTTCTAAGACAATATGCCAATGCCTGCTTTGTGATTGACACACTGTATTGATCATTTTAGACTGACCGTTGTTACATTTTGTTATCAGACAGTAAAAGTGTGTTTGTTCCTGTCTGTTCAGATGGTGTGTGAGCAGTCTGATGTGTTTGCCTCGGCCTGTGCCATCTCACGGGCCTTCCCCATATTCTCCCGTCGCTCTGCCTCCTCCCGCAGGACCGAGAAGACTCAAGTCACTGTGGAGTTTATCACTGTTGGCGAAGACAACGGACCTCTGACCCTCACTGTACTGCAGGTACCTCTAACTTCTATAATAGTGAATTGTGTGTATCTGTCTCATTGCCTGAGCCATTGTGGACTTGAGCTTCAGGCCTATATCAGCCACTGTTGTTGCTGCCACGGACTGGTTATGTTGCTGGCTGACCAAACTGACTCCAAGATCTAGATGGAGTGCTTCTATGATATGATTTACTGAACAAATGTCCCATGTGTTGTTTTGTCTGTGGTGGTTTGTACATGCATTAATGTAGATCTAAAGTACCTTTACATGTTATGTGTACTGATGTATGCTTTGGTTCATGCCAGTGTCTTGCCAATGCTGCGGATGGAGTGAGACTGGCAGCACGGATTGTGGATGCACCGTGCAACGAGATGAATACTGATCACTTCTTAGAGGCAAGTGAGAGCCTAATGGTATTATCATCTGCACCCCAAATGGCACCCTATTCCCTACATAGTGCACTGCTTTTGACCAGAGCCCTAATGTGCTCTGCTCAAAAGTAGTGCACTATATAGGTTATAGGGTGCCATTTAGGACGCGGACATCAACGCAATCAATAGGACCCAAATAATGTCACCAAAATCAACAGTTACATCTTTAAACAACTTATTTTAAACCATATATACTCTATTTGACTGGGTATGTCTTTTTGTCTTCAGGAGATTAAGGCAGTGGGGACTGAACTGGGCATTACTCCTGTTATCATTCGTGGAGAGGAACTGAAACAGAAAGGATTTGGAGGTACTGTATCAGGAGAAGAAGGCTTGTTATAATGGCCATGCATCCAAAGCCTTGGCTATGTGTTATGCTTCTATTTGAAGCCATTTTAGTGATGGATTGGGACTCCAATCTGTTGGGTTCTTTGCTTGCCATCACACAGACTAATGTGTGGGCCAGTTAGAAAAGCCTTTTTCAAACTTGCTATACTCTTGTGCGGTGTTTAAACAACAACAGAAATAAATACATACTGTATGTATCGGGTCACGTGTGGACTACACACTTTCTTCCACTTCCCTTGGAGTTTTCTTGGTACATTGCTGTGAAAAAGTATTTGCCCCCTTTCTGATTTTCTCTATATTTGCATATTTTTGATACTGAATCAGATCTTCAACCAAAACCTAATATTAGATAAAGGGAACCTGAGTTTACAAATAACAAAAAAAAGTTTTGCAACACCTAATTCCCCTGTGTGAAAAAGTAATTGCCTCCTTACACTCAATAACTGGTTGTGCCACCTTTAGCTGCAATGACTGCAACCAAATACTTCCTGTAGTTGTTGATCAGCCTCTCACATCGCTGTGGAGGAATTTTGGCCCGCTCTTGCATGCAGAACTGCTTTAACTCATTGACATTTGTGGGTTTTCAAGAATGAACTGCTCGTTTCAAGTCCTGCCACAACATCTCAATTGGGATTAGGTCTGGACTTTGACTAGTCCATTCAAAAACTTAAAATGTGTTGCTTTTTAGCCATTTTCATGTAGATTTGATTGTGTGTTTTGGATCATTGTCTTGCTGCATGAACCAGCTGCGCTTCAGCTTCACCTCACAGACGGATGGCCTGACATTCTCCTGTAGAATTATCTGATACAGAGCAGATTTCATGGTTCCTTCTATTAAGGCAAGTCGGCCAGGTCCTGAGGCAGCAAAGCATCCCCAAACCATCACACTACCACCACCATGCTTGACCATTGGTATGAGGTTCTTACTGTGGAATGCAGTGTTTGAATTCTGCTCTGTATCAGAGAATTCTGTGAGCTGAAGTTGAAGCGCAGCTCGGTCATGCAGCAAGACAATGATCCAAAACACACAAATCAAGTCTACATGAAAATGGCTAAAAAGCAACACATTTGAAGTTTTTGAATGGACTAGTCAAAGTCCAGACCTAATCCCAATTGAGACGCTGTGGCAGAACTTGAAATGAGCAGTTTATGCTTGAAAACCCACAAATGTCGCTGAGTTACAGCTGTTCTGCATGGAAGAGTGGACCAAAATTCCTCCACAGCGACGTGAGAGACTGATCAACAACTACAGGAAGCGCTTGGTTGGAGTCATTGCAGCTAAAGGTGGCACAACCAGTTATTGAGTGTAAGGGAGCAATTACTTTTTCACACAGGGGAATTGGGTGTTGCATAACTTTGTTTATGAAATACATTAAGTATAATTGTTGTGTTATTTGTTCACTCAGGTTCCCTTTATCTAATAGGTTTTGGTTGAAGATCTGATAACATTCAGTATCAAAAATATGCAAAAGTAGAGAAAATTAGCAAGGGGGCAAATACTTTTTCATGGCACTGTAGGTTCGTTCGGTGGTTCTCCTCTTCATTTGTCTTTGAATGTACAACGTTTCTATTCTGCTTTGTTACTTTCTCAGCAAAGCTAGCTAATTTAATGGGACCCAAGAGATTTAGGCAAAAAGTAATGTCAAATTAAATCGTTTTCCTACATTGGAACAAAGTGTGTATTCTGGTTTGTTATGAGTTGTCATGATGCACATACACTCATCATGGTTCTTTGACTGATAACACAATATTAGTTTCTGTGGTCATCAACTCGATCACTTTGGACTGTTTGGGCCCTCAGGAATCTATGGAGTGGGCAAGGCAGCGGTGAACCCTCCTGCCCTGGCAGTCCTGAGTCACAAACCAGATGGTGCCACCCAGACTATTGCATGGGTGGGCAAAGGCATCGTGTACGACACTGGAGGCCTCAGCATCAAGGGAAAGGTAAAAAGGCATGCTTGTGGCTGTTCAGTTGGGCTGCATCCCAAATAGCACCATATTCCCTATAGTGCACTACTTTTGAACAGAGCCCTATCTGGGCCCTGGTCAAAAGTGGTGCACAATAAAGGGAATAGACTGCCATTTGGAACGGGTCCTTAATGGGATTATTCTGTCCAATTAAATGGATGTTAGGGAGTTGCCAGCCAAATAACTATTAAATTACAATGTGGTAAAGGATGAATGTACTTTTTTTTTTTTTTTGCATCAAGACCAACATGCCTGGGATGAAGAGAGACTGTGGTGGGGCAGCAGCCATTTTAGGAGCGTTCAAAGCTACTGTTAAACAGGTGAGGTCTACTGTACCTACTACCCCTGGTTACTCTTTCAAATCAACCTCTTATTTGAAACATAAGATCCTGTTAGGAGAGCTGTTGAAGTTGTGTGCAAACCTTTTGAAATATGTCTTTATTTCAGGGCTTCAAGGACAATCTCCATGCCATATTCTGCCTGGCGGAGAATGCAGTCGGACCCACTGCCACGCGGCCAGATGACATCCACACTCTCTACTCTGGAAAGTGAGTAGCCGTTGGGGGAGCATTTAAACCAGTTAGGCAAGGTAATGGGAAACGGGCTAATATGATGGCAACCTGAGGGAGGTAATTCAAGATTTTCCTTCTGATGGGCTTTGTGTGGGAAAGAAACAATTGGCTGACATTTGAGCAAGGATTCATTATTACGTTATTGGCTTACATTTAGTTTGTTTGTGGTTGATTTATGGTTTGAATAGCCTTTTGTTCTCTTTTTGCTGCCTTTCTGATTGAAGAATTGATGGCCTGAATAATAGTTTGTTCTCTTGTTTTGCTAACTTTCTCACAAAGGACAGTGGAGATCAACAACACTGATGCTGAAGGCAGGCTAGTGCTCTCTGATGGTGTGGTGTATGCCAGCAAGGACCTCTCTGCTGACATCATCCTGGATATGGCCACTCTGACAGGGGCACAGGTGTGTGACGGGCGGCCTCCTCTAGGGCCACAGCACTGCAGCTTTGGCAACAACATTCGCCTACATTACTTTGATGTCACACACTTCTTTAATCACTTGTCATTGTGCAGCAAGCAATTTATATAATTTTGCTCTTATAGAATAGATTTAGGCCTCTTACATTTGATATATTTTTATTTCTATAAGATTGAGTCGGTCAAAAAAATTCAGAAGTGATGGTTTGGTAATAAATGTTAGCTCAATCGCTATGGTATTTTTTTATTGGTAAATTTACAAACATATATAATGATATATAATATATAATGAAACTTGTATCCCATTATTGTATGTGGTGAAATAAGTATAGCCAGTTATAATTGTAATGGCTTTGCAGATAATAACAAAAGAATAACAATATTTAAACGGCTCGAAGAGAATGAATGTAATATCTATTGTTTACAGGAAACTCATTCAACAATTCTAGATGAAGTTGCGTGGAAAAAGGAATGGGGGGGCGAAATATACTTCTCCCATGGGCAAAGAAACTCAAAAGGGGTGATGATATTAATTAACAGTAATTTCGATCCGAATGTGCAAATTGTCCAAACAGATACGCAAGGTAGATTGATTGTTTTAAATATGTTATTGGACCATAAACAGATATGGCTCATTAACCTTTACGGACCAAGTAATGATGATCCACACTTCTTTGACAATATATATAATACATTTTCAACTCTGCAAGCAATTCAAGACTCTATTATTATGGTTGGAGATTATAATACCGTTTTAAATAGCTCAATGAACCGTAAAGGAAATCACACTACAAACAATCACCCTCATGCTCTTAAGGAAATGGTGAATGTCATGGATACATTAGAACTAGTAGATATATGGAGGCTTAACTATCCTGATCTAGTGAGATATACATGGCGGAGACTCAATCAAGCTAGTCGTCTTGACTTCTTTCTTTTTCGTTGGCACCAAAAGTTTAAAAAGTGTTGATAGGGGACAGAATGCGGTTGGACCATCATATACAGTGGGGAAAAAAGTATTTAGTCAGCCAACAATTGTGCAAGTTATCCCACTTAAAAAGATGAGAGGCCTGTAATTTGCATCATAGGTACACGTCAACTATGACAGACAAAATGAGGAAAAAAAATCCAGAAAATCACATTGTAGGATTTTTAATGAATTTATTTGCAAATTATGGTGGTAAATAAGTATTTGGTCAATAACAAAAGTTTCTCAATAATTTGTTATATACCCTTTGTTGGCAATGACACAGGTCAAACATTTTCTGTAAGTCTTCACAAGGTTTTCACACACTGTTGCTGGTATTTTGGCCCATTCCTCCATGCAGATCTCCTCTAGAGCAGTGATGTTTTGGGGCTGTCGCTGGGCAACACGGACTTTCAACTCCCTCCAAAGATTTTCTATGGGGATCTCACCTCGTGGGGCATCAATGATCATGAGGAAGGTGAGGGATCAGCCCAGAACTACATGGCAGGACCTGGTCAATGACCTGAAGAGAGCTGGGACCACAGTCTCAAAGAAAACCATTAGTAACACACTACGCCGTCATGGATTAAAATCCTGCAGCGCACGCAAGGTCCCCCTGCTCAAGCCAGCGCATGTCCAGGCCCGTCTGAAGTTTGCCAGTGACCATCTGGATGATCCAGAGAAGGAATGGGAGAAGGTCATGTGGTCTGATGAGACAAAAAGATAGCTTTTTGGTCTAAACTCCACTCGCCGTGTTTGGAGGAAGAAGAAGGATGAGTACAACTCCAAGAACACCATCCCAACCGTGGAGCATGGAGGTGGAAACATCATTCTTTGGGGATGCTTTTCTGCAAAGGGGACAGGACGACTGCACCGTATTGAGGGGAGGATGGATGGGGCCATGTATCGCGAGATCTTGGCCAACAACCTCCTTTCCCTCAGTAAGAGCATTGAAGATGGGTCATGGCTGGGTCTTACAGCATGACAACGACCCGAAACACACAGCCAGGGCAACTAAGGAGTGGCTCCGTAAGAAGCATCTCAAGGTCCTGGAGTGGCCTAGCCAGTCTCCAGACCTGAACCCAATAGAACATCTTTGGAGGGAGCTGAAAGTCCGTATTGCCCAGCAACAGCCCCGAAACCTGAAGAATCTGGAGAAGATCTGTATGGAGGAGTGGGCCAAAATCCCTGCTGCAGTGTGTGCAAAACTGGTCAAGACCTACAGGAAACGTATGATCTCTGTAATTGCAAACAAAGGTTTCTGTACCAAATATTAAGTTCTGCTTTTCTGATGTATCAAATACTTATGTCATGCAATAAAATGCAAATTAATTACTTAAAATTCATACAATGTGATTTTCTGGATTTCTGTTTTAGATTCCGTCTCTCACAGTTGAAGTGTACCTATGATAAAAATTACAGACCTCTACATGCTTTGTAAGTAGGAAAACCTGCAAAATCGGCAGTGTATCAAATACTTGTTCTCCCCACTGTATGTGTATATACACTGCTCAAAAAAATAAAGGGAACACTTAAACAACACATCCTAGATCTGAATGAATGAAATAATCTTATTAAATACTTTTTTCTTTACATAGTTGAATGTGCTGACAACAAAATCACACAAAAATTATCAATGGAAATCAAATTTATCAACCCATAGAGGTCTGGATTTGGAGTCACCCTCAAAGTGTGTGAAGCACACTACAGGCTGATCCAACTTTGATGTAATGTCCTTAAAACAAGTCAAAATGAGGCTCGGTAGTGTGTGTGGGCTCCACGTGCCTGTATGACCTCCCTACAACGCCTGGGCATGCTCCTGATGAGGTGGCGGATGGTCTCCTGAGGGATCTCCTGCCAGACCTGGACTAAAGCATCCGCCAACTCCTGGACAGTCTGTGCTGCAACGTGGCGTTGGTGGATGGAGCGAGACATGATGTCCCAGATGTGCTCAATTAGATTCAGGTCTGGGGAACGGGCGGGCCAGTCCATAGCATCAATTCCTTCCTCTTGCAGGAACTGCTGACACACTCCAGCCACATGAGGTCTAGCATTGTCTTGCATTAGGAGGAACCCAGGGCCAACCGCACCAGCATATGGTCTCACAAGGGGTCTGAGGATCTCATCTCGGTACCTAATGGCAGTCAGGGTACCTCTGGCGAGCACATGGAGGGCTGTGCGGCCCCCCAAAGAAATGCCACCCCACACCATGACTGACCCACCGCCAAACCGGTCATGCTGGAGGATGTTGCAGGCAGCAGAACGTTTTCCACAGCGTCTCCAGACTCTGTCACGTGCTCAGTGTGAACCTGCTTTCATCTGTGAAGAGCACAGGGCGCCAGTGGCGAATTTGCCAATCTTGGTGTTCTCTGGCAAATGCCAAACGTCCTGCACGGTGTTGGGCTGTAAGCACAACCCCCACCTGTGGACGTCGGGCCCTCATACCACCCTCATGGAGTCTGTTTCTGACCGTTTGAGCAGACACATGCACATTTGTGGCCTGCTGGAGGTCATTTTGCAGGGCTCTGGCAGTGCTCCTCCTGCTCCTCCTTGCTCAAAGGCTTAGGTAGCGGTCCTGCTGCTGGGTTGTTGCCCTCCTACGGCCTCCTCCACGTCTCCTGATGTACTGGCCTGTCTCCTGGTAGCGCCTCCATGCTCTGGACACTACGCTGACAGACACAGCAAACCTTCTTGCCACAGCTCGCATTGATGTGCCATCCTGGATGAGCTGCACTACCTGAGCCACTTGTTTGGATTGTAGACTCCGTCTCATGCTACCACTAGAGTGAAAGCACCGCCAGCATTCAAAAGTGACCAAAACATCAGCCTGGAAGCATAGGAACTGAGAAGTGGTCTGTGGTCACCACCTGCAGAACCACTTCTTTATTGGGGGTGTCTTGCTAATTGCCTATAATTTCCACCTGTTGTCTATTCCATTTGCACAACAGCATGTGACATTTATTGTCAATCAGTGTTGCTTCCTAAGTGGACAGTTTGATTTCACAGAAGTGTGATTGACTTGGAGTTCCATTGTGTTGTTTAAGTGTTCCCTTTATTTTTTGAGCAGTGTATATATTTGCAAGAAAAAAAACATATGGGGATTGGAAGTGATGCAGACAATTACATTGATGGAAGTTACAATCTATCTGAAATATTAAAGCTGATCTACCCCCTAAAAAAAAGAAGAAAAAGAAAAAAAGTTAGCTCAAGGGAGTCACACCACAAGACATTAGTCATCACATTGTTGAAACACTCATAAAAGCCAGTTGGGACTGTTTTACAGTCACTGCACTTTGATCAGAGTAAAGGTTAACAGGGCTTGTGACCGACATAATACCTACTAACAAAAGTTTAACTTTTCGTTGATCTTTGCACTTACTGACATTGTCGTGAGCTAAAGCTAAAACTCTCCACATTCTCTATGAGAAACTCAAAACAACGGTTATCAAGGGTGTTTGTGTCACACAAAATTGTTAGGCCTACAAAATTTGAGATTTTCCTTAGAACAGTCGTTCTCTAGCCTATCTCGAAACACACCTCGTGCAGTTGATGATAACGCCACATCCTGTGGTAACCCTCATGATGTGCTGATTTGGCTAATTCTGAAAAACACCACATGATGCACCACATTTAGATTTTTTTGGGCTACCCAGTGAAGTAGCTAGTCGCAAGTGAAACATTTGTCACTGAGGTGTGATCAGCACAAAATTGGGGCTGATTTTTGTTGCTCACCAGGAAAGGTTTGAATCTATACTGAACAAACTCTATACTGAACAAAAATATAAATGCAACAATTTCAAATCCAATCCAATTTTATTTTTCACATGCGCCGAATACAACAGGTGTAGACCTTACCGTGAAATGCTTACTTACAAGCCCTTAACCAACAATGCAGTTCAAGAAATAGAGTTAAGAAAATGTTTAATAAATAAACTAAAGTAAAGAATATAAAAAATAAATACAGAATAAAATAACAATAACGAGGCTATATACAGGGGGTACCGAGTCAATGTGTGGGGGTACAGGTTAGTCGAGGTAATTTGTACATGTAGGTAGGGGTAAAGTGACTATGCGTAGATAATAAACAGCGAGTAGCAGCAGTGTAAAAACAAAGGAGGGGAGGGGTGGTATCAATGCAAATAGTCCAGGTGGCCATTTGATTAATTGTTCAGCAGTCTTATGGCTTGGGGGTAGAAGCTGTTAAGGAGCCTTTTGGACCTAGACTTGGCGCTCCGGTACCGCTTGCCGTGCGGTAGCAGAGAGAACAGTCTATGACTTGGGAGTCTTTGACAATTTTTTGGGCCTTCCTCTGACACTGCCTAGGATATAGGTCCTTGATGGCAGGAAGCTTGGCCCCAGTGATGTACTGGGCCATACGCACTACCCTCTGTAGCGCCTTACGGTCGGATGCCGAGCAGTTGCCATACCAGGCGGGGATGCAACCGGTCAGGATGCTCTCGATGGTGCAGCTGTATACATTTTTGAGGATCTGGGGAAAAAGGTGTTTTCGTGCCCTCTTCACAACTGACTTGGTGTGTGTGGACCATGATCGTTTGTTGGTGATGTGGACACCAAGGAACATGAAACTCTCGACCCTGATCCATGATCAGCTCCTTTGTCTTGCTCACGTTAAGGAAGAGGTTGTTGTCCTGGCAACACACGGCCAGGTCTCTGACCTCCTCCCTATAGGCTGTCTCATCGTTGTCGGTGATCAGGCCTACCACCTGTTGTGTCGTCGGCAAACTTAATGATGGTGTTGGAGTCGTGCATGGCCACGCAGTCGTGGGTGAACAGGGAGTACAGGAGAGGACTGAGCACGCACCCCTGAGGGGCCCCCGTGTTGAGGATCAGCGTGGCAGATGTGTTGTTGCCTACCCTTACCACCTAGGGGTGGCCTGTCAGGATCCAGTTGCAGAGGGAGGTGTTTAGTCCCAGGGTCCTTAGCTTAGTGATGAGCTTTGAGGGCACTATGGTGTTGAACGCTGAGCTGTAGTCAATGAACAGCATTCTCACATAGGTGTTCCTCTTGTCCAGGTGGGAAAGGGCAGTGTGGATTGCGATTGAGATTGCGTCATCTGTGGATCTGTTGGGGCGGAATTTGAATTGGAGTGGGTGTAGGGTTTCCAGGATGATGGTGTTGATGTGAGACATGACCAGCCTTTCAAAGCACTTCATGCTACGGGGCGGTAGTCATTTAGGCAGGTTACCTTCACTTTCTTGGCACAGGGACTATGGTGGTCTGCTTGAAACATGTAGGTATTACAGACTCGGTCAGGGAGAGGTTGAAAAATGTCAGTGAAGACACTTGCCAGTTGGTCCGTGCATGCTCTGAGTACACGTCCTGGTAATCTGTCTATCCCCGCAGCCTTGTGAATGTTGACCTGTTTAAAGGTCTTGCTCACATCGGCTATGGAGAGCGTGATCACACAGTTGTCCGGAACAGCTGGCGCTCTCCTGCATGCTTCAGTGTTGCTTGCCTCGAAGCTAGCATAAAAGGCATTTGGCGCGTCTGGTAGGCTAACGTCTGGTAGGCTCGCGGCTGGGTTTCCCTTTGTAGTCTGTAATAGTTTGCAAGCCCTGCCACATCCGACGAGCGTCAGATGTGGACATCAGTTCATATAAGGACATCAGTCAATTGAAATAAATTCATTAGGCCCTAGTCTATGGATTTCACATGAATGGGAATACAGATATGCATCTGTTGGTCCCAGATACCTTTAAAAAAACAGGTTCGGATGTGGATCAGAAAACCAGTCAGTCTCCTTTGCATAGATCAGGCTGTTGATTGTGGACTGTGGAATGTTGTCTCACTCCTCTTCAATGGTTGTGCGAAGTTGCTGGATATGGGCGGGAACTGGAACACTGTTGTACACATCAACCAGAGCATCCCAAACATGCTCAATGGGTGACATGTCTGGTGAGTATGCAGGCCATGGAAGAACTGGAACATTTTCAGCTTCCAGGAATTGTGTACAGATCCTTGCGACATGGGGCCGTGCATTATCATGCTGAAACATGAGGTGATGGCGGCGGATGAATGGCACGACAATGGGCCCCAGGATCTTGTCACGGTATCTCTGTGCATTCAAACTGCCATCGATAAAAAGTGATTGTGTTCCTTGTCCGTTGCTTATGCATGACCATACCATAACCCCACCACCACAATGGGGCACTCTGTTCACAATGTTGACATCAGCAAACCGCTCGTCCACACAACGCCATATATGTGGTGTGCGGTTGTGAGGCCGGTTGGAAGTACTGCCAAATTCTAAAACGACGTTGGAGGCAGCTTATGGTAGAGAAATGAACATTCAATTCTCTGGCAACAGCTCTGGTGGACATTCCTGCTGTCAGCATGCCATGCCAATTGCACGCTCCTTCAAAACTTGAGACATCTGTGGCGTTGTGTTGTGACAAAACTGCACATTTTAAAGTGGCCTTTTAGTGTCCCCAGCACAAGGTGCACCTGTGTAATGACCATGCTGTTTATCCAGCCACACCTGTCAGGTGGATGGATTATCTTGGGAAAGGAGAAATGCTCACTAACAGAGATGTAATCAAATTTGTGCACAACATTCTAGAGAAATAAGCTTTTTGTGCGTATGGAATATTTCTTGGATATTTTATTGCAGTTCATGAAACATGGGACCAACACTTTACATGTTGCGTTTATATTTTTGTTAACTGTATATTCAATATAAACATATCACCATACAGTTGAAGTTGGAAGTTTACATACACTTAGGTTGGGGTCGTTAAAACTTGTTTTTCAACCACTCCACAAATGTCTTGTTAAGAAACTATAGTTTTGGCAAGTCTGTTAGGACATCTACTTTGTGCAAGACACAAGTAATTTTTCCAACAATTGTTTACAGACAGATTATTTCACTTATCACAATTCCAGTGGGTCAGAAGTTTACATACACTAAGTTGACTGTGCCTTTAAACAGCTTGGAAAATTCCAGAAAATTATGTCATGGCTTTAGAAGCTTCTGATAAGCTAATTGACATCATTTGAGTCAATTGGAGGTGTACCTGTGGATGTATTGCAAGGCCTACCCTCAAACTGAGTGCCTCTTTGTTTGACATCATGGGAAAATCAAAAGAAATCAGCCAAGACCTCAGAAAAGAAATTGTAGACCTCCACAAGTCTGGTTCATCCTTGGGAGCAATTTCCAAAGGCTTGAAGGTACCACGTTCATCTGTACAAACAATAGTATGCAAGTATAAACACTATGGGACCACGCAGCCGTCATACCGCTCAGGAAGGAGACGCGTTCTGTCTCCTAGAGATGAACGTACTTTGGTGCGAAAAGTGCAAATCAATCCCAGAACAACAGCAAAGGACCTTGTGAAGATTCTGGAGGAAACAGGTACAAAAGTATCTATATCCACAGTAAAACGAGTCCTATATCGACATAACCTGAAAGGCCGCTTAGCAAGGAAGAAGCCACTGCTCCAAAACCACCATAAAAAAAGCCAGACTACGGTTTGCAACTGCAAATGGGGACAAAGATCGTACTTTTTGGAGAAATGTCCTCTGGTCTGATGAAACAAAAATAGAACTTTTTGGCCATAATGACCATCGTTATGTTTGGAGGAAAAAGGGGGTGGCTTGCAAGCCGAAGAACACCATCCCAACTGTGAAGCACGGGGGTGGCAGCATCATGCTGTGGGGGTGCTTTGCTGCAGGAGGGTCTGGTGCACTTCACAAAATAGATGGCATCATGAGGAAGGAAAATTATGTGGATATATTGAAGCAACATCTCAAGACATCAGTCAGAAATTTAAAGCTTGGTCACAAATGGGTCTTCCAAATGGACAATGACCCCAAGCATACTTCCAAAGTTGTGGCAAAATGGCTTAAGGACAACAAAGTTAAGGTATTGGAGTGGCCATCACAAAGCTGACCTCAATCCTATAGAAAATGTGTGGGCAGAACTGAAAAAGCGTGTGCGAGCAAGGAGGCCTACAAACCTGACTCAGTTACACCAGCTCTGTCAGGAGGAATGGGTGAAAATTCACCCAACTTATTGTGGGAAGTTTGTGGAAGGCTACCCGAAGCGTTTGACCCAAGTTAAACAATTTAAAGGCAATGCTACCAAATACTAATTGAGTGTATGTAAACTTCTGACCCACTGGGAATGTGATGAATGAAAGAAAAGCTGAAATAAATAATTAGCTCTACTATTATTCTGACATTTCACATTCTTAAAATAAAGTGGTGACCCTAACTGACCTAAGACAGGGAATTTTTACTAGGATTAAATGTCAGGAATTGTGAAAAACTGAGTTTAAATGTATTTGGCTAAGGTGCATGTAAACTTCAGACTTCAACTATATGTCTTCTCACCTTCTTTCACTTTAGTGAATAACCATAGTTTGTGTATAACAAATGACGATATGAGTATATGTTTCTAAAAATGGTTGAATTTGTGTGTGGCTCTCCTAGGGGATTTCCACAGGGAAGTACCATTGTGCTGTGATGACCAACAGTGAGCAGTGGGAGACGGCATGTGTGAGGGCGGGCCGCAGCAGTGGAGACCTGGCTCATCCCCTGGTCTACTGCCCAGAGCTGCACTTCAACGAGTTCACCTCAGCCGTGGCAGACATGAAGAACTCTGTGGCTGTGAGTGGCACCACTACTCCACAGTATGCCCAGTCTCTAGCAGGTCCTAATCCTGGATCTGAGTACAATCAAGGAGCTTCTACAGCCTATTGTGATTGTTGATCATTTTCCTTCAGCCAATTTATATATATTTTTCTGGATAAGAGTGTCTGCTAAATGACTAAAATGTAAATGCATGATTTTGCTGTGTCTGTGAAAGGACAGGGAAAACGCCACGAGCTCCTGTGCCGGCCTCTTCATCGGCTCTCACCTGGGTTTTGACTGGCCTGGCGTCTGGGTCCATGTGGACATAGCCTCCCCCGTCCATGCTGTGAGTGACTGGATATTTTAGTTTAGTGGAGGCGGTTTCCTGGACACAGATTAAGCCTAGTCATGAACTAAAAAGCAAACCCAATGGAGAATCCTCACATAAAAAAATGCTTTTTAGTCCAGCATTAGGCTTAATGTGTCTGGAAACCGCTCTTTAAAGTGTTTCATTCAATATTTAGAAAGTATAGACTAGACATGCTCTATTAAATCAATTTCAGCCCCTCACAGATCTCGACTGACTCGTATAAACAAAGGATCTTCCTCTGTATACTTTATCTATCTAGTGCTTACAGATCGGTGAAAAAATGTGTAGGAGCTAGAGCTAAGGGAAGGGGGGCTGGGATCCAAAATATAGTTGAGTCATGGTGTAACCTGTCCTCTCTCGCGTTTTCCCTCCCTTTCTCTCTGCAGGGGGAGCGCGCTACCGGCTTCGGCGTGGCTTTGCTCATGGCCCTGTTCGGCCAGGCCTCAGATGACCCCATGCTCAACCAGGTGTCTCCTCTGGGGGCTGCTTGCATAAATGCTGCATCCAGGGACCCGATGGAGCGCGACTGCAAGAGGAGGAGACTGGTGTAAAACCTCCAAGCAGCTACCTTTGGACTTACCAACTGCACAGCCTCACCGGACCCACACACCTCCACTCTTTACGCTGACATACACTGATCACCTAGAAAGCATTTCCAATCCTCAATTCTTATTCGACTCCTTCACAATGCAGTGAATAAAATGTGAAAAAAGAGCAGGTGGCTAGAACTTCTCTCAAATTTGTTCACGTTGTATTTAAATGACAGTCTTTTAATTTTGTCTCAGATGGCCCACAAAGAATTGGGAGGGATGATGAATATGCAAATGTTTATAGCATGTTTTACACTTGAAGGTTTTGCCTTCCTTAAATGAATTACCAGAGCGTTAAGTGAGTGAGAAAGGAAATGGTTGCATATCCCAGAACCAACGTGTATCTGTGATCAGGGTTGTGAGAGAGAGCTTTCAATTTTGTGCAGATGAGGGATATACATTTTAAAATATAGTATACATCTAATCTCTTTTTTTATTGTCCTATCATGATGGAACGATCCCCAACCCTATATCCTAGAAACCCACCTGAGCGACCCATACACCAAAGAGAAGTCCAATCTGTTTTATGGACCTGCTGTGAGTTGCCTAAACAGAAAAATAAATGCGGTCAGAAACCTACTTGAGCAGCACCGCACCCTCAAGATTCTGAGCCTGCCTGGCAGGGTTGGTCCTACAAAGCCAGAGCCCCCTGATGGTAGAGCATTATATACAAGGAAATTCTCAAAGCTGCTAATGAGAACCTTGACAACCTTGTACCTAGCCGGTGGGGATTCTGGTGGGTTACCTCCACCCAGGTAGTGGCAGTGCTGGAAACACTAGCTGCAGTAACCCATGGGGAGGGGGTCACACTCTGACAATCAGAGAGGGGGCTTATTATTGTGGCCCAGGTGGCACAAAATAATCAAAGGTCTGACTGCACGGAGATGCTTGGTAAAAATGGTTACAACGGGGGACCAGAGTGTTTGTGTCTCAGGTGAAGAGGGTGGATCTGATCTCCGTCACCTAGGACTTTACATAGATTAAATAGATTAATCAAATCTCACATTGTTGTCAATTTTTTGCTCAATCTTGCATGCTTTCTCGAAAAGCTGTAACTGTATATGCATTCGTAAATCGGGTCCTTTCTTGAGTTGGGCTCTGGGATGTAACAACCGTTGAGCATCTGATCTTATGGTTGATTGTGGAGGAAAGGGGTTGAGTATGTGCGTGTGTGTTTATCCCCATCTGTTGCAAGGGGGTAAGGATGTTAGGGAGAATATAGGATGAACCACAATAATTGTTTGCTAAAATAATAATTGCTTGTCAAAAATGTAATGTAATACAATGGCTATCCGGGTTATAGGTTAAAATCCTACACATGAACTGCCGACATGATTACGCATATTAATTGATAATGATGGAAAATAAGATATGCAAGATATTTGAATAGATATATATTTTTAAATAGCTATATACACTGCTCAAAAAAATAAAGGGAACACTAAAATAACACATCCTAGATCTGAATGAATTAAATAATCGTATTAAATACTTTTTTCTTTACATAGTTGAATGTGCTGACAACAAAATCACACAACAATTATCAATGGAAATCAAATTTATCAACCCATGGAGGTCTGGATTTGGAGTCACCCTCAAAATTAAAGTGGAAAGGTCATACAGGCTGATCCAACTTTGATGTAATGTCCTTAAAACAAGTCAAAATGAGGCTCAGTAGTGTGTGGCCTCCACGTGCATGTATGACCTCCCTACAACGCCTGGGCATGCTCCTGATGAGGTGGCGGATGGTCTCCTGAGGGATCTCCTCCCAGACCTGGACTAAAGCATCCACCAACTCTTGGACAGTCTGTGGTGCAACGTGGCGTTGGTGGATGGAGCGAGACATGATGTCCCAGATGTGCTCAATTGGATTCAGGTCTGGGGAACGGGCGGTCCATAGCATCAATGCTTTCCTCTTGCAGGAACTGCTGACACACTCCAGCCACATGAGGTCTAGCATTGTCTTGCATTAGGAGGAACCCAGGGCCAACCGCACCAGCATATGGTCTCACAAGGGGTCTGAGGATCTCATCTCGGTACCTAATGGCAGTCAGGCTACCTCTGGCGAGCACATGGAGGGCTGTGCGGCCCCCCAAAGAAATGCCACCCCACACCATGACTGACCCACCGCCAAACCGGTCATGCTGGAGGATGTTGCAGGCAGCAGAACGTTTTCCACAGCGTCTCCAGACTGTCACGTGCTCAGTGTGAACCTGCTTTCATCTATGAAGAGCACAGGGCGCCAGTGGCGAATTTGCCAATCTTGGTGTTCTCTGGCAAATGCCAAACGTCCTGCACGGTGTTGGGCTGTAAGCACAACCCCCACCTGTGGACGTCGGGCCCTCATACCACCCTCATGGAGTCTGTTTCTGACCGTTTGAGCAGACACATGCACATTTGTGGCCTGCTGGAGGTCATTTTGCAGGGCTCTGGCAGTGCTCCTCCTGCTCCTCCTTGCTCAAAGGCTTAGGTAGCGGTCCTGCTGCTGGGTTGTTGCCCTCCTACGGCCTCCTCCACGTCTCCTGATGTACTGGCCTGTCTCCTGGTAGCGCCTCCATGCTCTGGACACTACGCTGACAGACACAGCAAACCTTAATAATAATAATAAATAATAATAATATGCCATTTAGCAGACGCTTTTATCCAAAGCGACTTACAGTCATGCGTGCATACATTTTTGTGTATGGGTGGTCCCGGGGATCGAACCCACTACCTTGGCGTTACAAGCGCCGTGCTCTACCAGCTGAGCTACAAAGGACCACAAACCTTCTTGCCACAGCTCGCATTGATGTGCCATCCTGGATGAGCTGCACTACCTGAGCCACTTGTTTGGATTGTAGACTCCGTCTCATGCTACCACTAGAGTGAAAGCACCGCCAGCATTCAAAAGTGACCAAAACATCAGCCTGGAAGCATAGGAACTGAGAAGTGGTCTGTGGTCACCACCTGCAGAACCACTTCTTTATTGGGGGTGTCTTGCTAATTGCCTATAATTTCCACCTGTTGTCTATTCCATTTGCACAACAGCATGTGACATTTATTGTCAATCAGTGTTGCTTCCTAAGTGGACAGTTTGATTTCACAGAAGTGTGATTGACTTGGAGTTCCATTGTGTTGTTTAAGTGTTCCCTTTATTTTTTGAGCAGTGTATATATTTGCAAGAAAAAAAACATATGGGGATTGGAAGTGATGCAGACAATTACATTGATGGAAGTTACAATCTATCTGAAATATTAAAGCTGATCTACCCCCTAAAATGTTTAAAAAAAAATAATGTTGGCTCAAGGAAGTCACATCACAAGACATTAGTCATCACATTGTTGAAACACTCATAAAAGCCAGTTGGGACTGTTTTACAGTCACTGCACTTTGATCAGAGTAAAGGTTAACAGGGCTTGTGACCGACATAATACCTACTAACAAAAGTTTAACTTTTCGTTGATCTTTGCACTCACTGACATTGTCGTGAGCTAAAGCTAAAACTCTCCACATTCTCTATGATAAACTCAAAACAACTGTTATCAAGGGTGTTTGTGTCACACAAAATTGTTAGGCCTACAAAATTTGAGATTTTCCTTAGAACAGTCATTCTCTAGCCTATCTCGAAACATACCTCGTGCAGTTGATGATGACGCCACATCCTGTGGTAACCCTCATGATGTGCTGATTTGGCTAATTCTGAAAAACACCACATGATGCACCACATTTAGATTTTTTTGGGCTACCCAGTGAAGTAGCTAGTCGCAAGTGAAACATTTGTCACTGAGGTGTGATCAGCACAAAATTGGGGCTGATTTTTGTTGCTCACCAGAAAAGGTTTGAATCTATACTGAACAAACTCTATACTGAACAAAAATATAAATGCAACAATTTCAAATCCAATCCAATTTTATTTTTCACATGCGCCGAATACAACAGGTGTAGACCTTACCGTGAAATGCTTACTTACAAGCCCTTAACCAACAATGCAGTTCAAGAAATAGAGTTAAGAAAATGTTTAATAAATAAACTAAAGTAAAGAATATAAAGAAATAAATACAGAATAAAATAACAATAACGAGGCTATATACAGGGGGTACCGAGTCAATGTGTGGGGGTACAGGTTAGTCGAGGTAATTTGTACATGTAGGTAGGGGTAAAGTGACTATGCGTAGATAATAAACAGCGAGTAGCAGCAGTGTAAAAACAAAGGAGGGGAGGGGTGGTATCAATGCAAATAGTCCAGGTGGCCATTTGATTAATTGTTCAGCAGTCTTATGGCTTGGGGGTAGAAGCTGTTAAGGAGCCTTTTGGACCTAGACTTGGCGCTCCGGTACCGCTTGCCGTGCGGTAGCAGAGAGAACAGTCTATGCTACCGCAGTCTATGCTACCCACAGCATCATGCTGTGGGGGTGCTTTGCTGCAGGAGGGTCTGGTGCACTTCACAAAATAGATGGCATCATGAGGAAGGAAAATTATGTGGATATATTGAAGCAACATCTCAAGACATCAGTCAGAAATGTAAAGCTTGGTCACAAATGGGTCTTCCAAATGGACAATGACCCCAAGCATACTTCCAAAGTTGTGGCAAAATGGCTTAAGGACAACAAAGTTAAGGTATTGGAGTGGCCATCACAAAGCCCTGACCTCAATCCTATAGAAAATGTGTGGGCAGAACTGAAAAAGCGTGTGCGAGCAAGGAGGCCTACAAACCTCACTCAGTTACACCAGCTCTGTCAGGAGGAATGGGTGAAAATTCACCCAACTTATTGTGGGAAGTTTGTGGAAGGCTACCCGAAGCGTTTGACCCAAGTTAAACAATTTAAAGGCAATGCTACCAAATACTAATTGAGTGTATGTAAACTTCTGACCCACTGGGAATGTGATGAATGATAGAAAAGCTGAAATAAATAATTAGCTCTACTATTATTCTGACATTTCACATTCTTAAAATAAAGTGGTGACCCTAACTGACCTAAGACAGGGAATTTTTACTATGATTAAATGTCAGGAATTGTGAAAAACTGAGTTTAAATGTATTTGGCTAAGGTGCATGTAAACTTCAGACTTCAACTATATGTCTTCTCACCTTCTTTCACTTTAGTGAATAACCATAGTTTGTGTATAACAAATGACAATATGAGTATATGTTTCTAAAAATGGTTGAATTTGTGTGTGGCTCTCCTAGGGGATTTCCACAGGGAAGTACCATTGTGCTGTGATGACCAACAGTGAGCAGTGGGAGACGGCATGTGTGAGGGCGGGCCGCAGCAGCGGGGATCTGGCTCATCCCCTGGTCTACTGCCCAGAGCTGCACTTCAACGAGTTCACCTCAGCCGTGGCAGACATGAAGAACTCTGTGGCTGTGAGTGGCACCACTACTCCACAGTATGCCCAGTCTCTAGCAGCTCCTAATCCTGGATCTGAGTACAATCAAGGAGCTTCTACAGCCTATTGTGATTGTTGATCATTTTCCTTCAGCCAATTTATATATATTTTTCTGGATAAGAGTGTCTGCTAAATGACTAAAATGTAAATGCATGTTTTTGCTGTGTCTGTGAAAGGACAGGGAAAACGCCACGAGCTCCTGTGCCGGCCTCTTCATCGGCTCTCACCTGGGTTTTGACTGGCCTGGCGTCTGGGTCCATGTGGACATAGCCTCCCCCGTCCATGCTGTGAGTGACTGGATATTTTAGTTTAGTGGAGGCGGTTTCCTGGACACAGATTAAGCCTAGTCATGAACTAAAAAGCAAACCCAATGGAGAATCCTCACATAAAAAAATGCTTTTTAGTCCAGCATTAGGCTTAATGTGTCTGGAAACCGCTCTTTAAAGTGTTTCATTCAATATTTAGAAAGTATAGACTAGACATGCTCTATTAAATCAATTTCAGCCCCTCACAGATCTCGACTGACTCGTATAAACAAAGGATCTTCCTCTGTATACTTTATCTATCTAGTGCTTACAGATCGGTGAAAAAATGTGTAGGAGCTAGAGCTAAGGGAAGGGGGGCTGGGATCCAAAATATAGTTGAGTCATGGTGTAACCTGTCCTCTCTCGCGTTTTCCCTCCCTTTCTCTCTGCAGGGGGAGCGCGCTACCGGCTTCGGCGTGGCTTTGCTCATGGCCCTGTTCGGCCAGGCCTCAGATGACCCCATGCTCAACCAGGTGTCTCCTCTGGGGGCTGCTTGCATAAATGCTGCATCCAGGGACCCGATGGAGCGCGACTGCAAGAGGAGGAGACTGGTGTAAAACCTCCAAGCAGCTACCTTTGGACTTACCAACTGCACAGCCTCACCGGACCCACACACCTCCACTCTTTACGCTGACATACACTGATCACCTAGAAAGCATTTCCAATCCTCAATTCTTATTCGACTCCTTCACAATGCAGTGAATAAAATGTGAAAAAAGAGCAGGTGGCTAGAACTTCTCTCAAATTTGTTCACGTTGTATTTAAATGACAGTCTTTTAATTTTGTCTCAGATGGCCCACAAAGAATTGGGAGGGATGATGAATATGCAAATGTTTATAGCATGTTTTACACTTGAAGGTTTTGCCTTCCTTAAATGAATTACCAGAGCGTTAAGTGAGTGAGAAAGGAAATGGTTGCATATCCCAGAACCAACGTGTATCTGTGATCAGGGTTGTGAGAGAGAGCTTTCAATTTTGTGCAGATGAGGGATATACATTTTAAAATATAGTATACATCTAATCTCTTTTTTTATTGTCCTATCATGATGGAACGATCCCCAACCCTATATCCTAGAAACCCACCTGAGCGACCCATACACCAAAGAGAAGTCCAATCTGTTTTATGGACCTGCTGTGAGTTGCCTAAACAGAAAAATAAATGCGGTCAGAAACCTACTTGAGCAGCACCGCACCCTCAAGATTCTGAGCCTGCCTGGCAGGGTTGGTCCTACAAAGCCAGAGCCCCCTGATGGTAGAGCATTATATACAAGGAAATTCTCAAAGCTGCTAATGAGAACCTTGACAACCTTGTACCTAGCCGGTGGGGATTCTGGTGGGTTACCTCCACCCAGGTAGTGGCAGTGCTGGAAACACTAGCTGCAGTAACCCATGGGGAGGGGGTCACACTCTGACAATCAGAGAGGGGGCTTATTATTGTGGCCCAGGTGGCACAAAATAATCAAAGGTCTGACTGCACGGAGATGCTTGGTAAAAATGGTTACAACGGGGGACCAGAGTGTTTGTGTCTCAGGTGAAGAGGGTGGATCTGATCTCCGTCACCTAGGACTTTACATAGATTAAATAGATTAATCAAATCTCACATTGTTGTCAATTTTTGCTCAATCTTGCATGCTTTCTCGAAAAGCTGTAACTGTATATGCATTCGTAAATCGGGGTCCTTTCTTGAGTTGGGCTCTGGGATGTAACAACCGTTGAGCATCTGATCTTATGGTTGATTGTGGAGGAAAGGGGTTGAGTATGTGCGTGTGTGTTTATCCCCATCTGTTGCAAGGGGGTAAGGATGTTAGGGAGAATATAGGATGAACCACAATAATTGTTTGCTAAAATAATAATTGCTTGTCAAAAATGTAATGTAATACAATGGCTATCCGGGTTATAGGTTAAAATCCTACACATGAACTGCCGACATGATTACGCATATTAATTGATAATGATGGAAAATAAGATATGCAAGATATTTGAATAGATATATATTTTTAAATAGCTATATACACTGCTCAAAAAAATAAAGGGAACACTAAAATAACACATCCTAGATCTGAATGAATTAAATAATCTTATTAAATACTTTTTTCTTTACATAGTTGAATGTGCTGACAACAAAATCACACAAAAATTATCAATGGAAATCAAATTTATCAACCCATGGAGGTCTGGATTTGGAGTCACCCTCAAAATTAAAGTGGAAAGGTCATACAGGCTGATCCAACTTTGATGTAATGTCCTTAAAACAAGTCAAAATGAGGCTCAGTAGTGTGTGGCCTCCACGTGCATGTATGACCTCCCTACAACGCCTGGGCATGCTCCTGATGAGGTGGCGGATGGTCTCCTGAGGGATCTCCTCCCAGACCTGGACTAAAGCATCCACCAACTCTTGGACAGTCTGTGGTGCAACGTGGCGTTGGTGGATGGAGCGAGACATGATGTCCCAGATGTGCTCAATTGGATTCAGGTCTGGGGAACGGGCGGTCCATAGCATCAATGCTTTCCTCTTGCAGGAACTGCTGACACACTCCAGCCACATGAGGTCTAGCATTGTCTTGCATTAGGAGGAACCCAGGGCCAACCGCACCAGCATATGGTCTCACAAGGGGTCTGAGGATCTCATCTCGGTACCTAATGGCAGTCAGGCTACCTCTGGCGAGCACATGGAGGGCTGTGCGGCCCCCCAAAGAAATGCCACCCCACACCATGACTGACCCACCGCCAAACCGGTCATGCTGGAGGATGTTGCAGGCAGCAGAACGTTTTCCACAGCGTCTCCAGACTGTCACGTGCTCAGTGTGAACCTGCTTTCATCTATGAAGAGCACAGGGCGCCAGTGGCGAATTTGCCAATCTTGGTGTTCTCTGGCAAATGCCAAACGTCCTGCACGGTGTTGGGCTGTAAGCACAACCCCCACCTGTGGACGTCGGGCCCTCATACCACCCTCATGGAGTCTGTTTCTGACCGTTTGAGCAGACACATGCACATTGTGGCCTGCTGGGAGGTCATTTTGCAGGGCTCTGGCAGTGCTCCTCCTGCTCCTCCTTGCTCAAAGGCTTAGGTAGCGGTCCTGCTGCTGGGTTGTTGCCCTCCTACGGCCTCCTCCACGTCTCCTGATGTACTGGCCTGTCTCCTGGTAGCGCCTCCATGCTCTGGACACTACGCTGACAGACACAGCAAACCTTAATAATAATAATAAATAATAATAATATGCCATTTAGCAGACGCTTTTATCCAAGCGACTTACAGTCATGCGTGCATACATTTTTGTGTATGGGTGGTCCCGGGGATCGAACCCACTACCTTGGCGTTACAAGCGCCGTGCTCTACCAGCTGAGCTACAAAGGACCACAAACCTTCTTTGCCACAGCTCGCATTGATGTGCCATCCTGGATGAGCTGCACTACCTGAGCCACTTGTTTGGATTGTAGACTCCGTCTCATGCTACCACTAGAGTGAAAGCACCCGCCAGCATTCAAAAGTGACCAAAAACATCAGCCTGGAAGCATAGGAACTGAGAAGTGGTCTGTGGTCCACCACCTGCAGAACCACTTCTTTATTGGGGGTGTCTTGCTAATTGCCTATAATTTCCACCTGTTGTCTATTCCATTTGCACAACAGCATGTGACATTTATTGTCAATCAGTGTTGCTTCCTAAGTGGACAGTTTGATTTCACAGAAGTGTGATTGACTTGGAGTTCCATTGTGTTGTTTAAGTGTTCCCTTTATTTTTTGAGCAGTGTATATATTTGCAAGAAAAAAAAACATATGGGGATTGGAAGTGATGCAGACAATTACATTGATGGAAGTTACAATCTATCTGAAATATTAAAGCTGATCTACCCCCTAAAATGTTTTTTTTTTAAAAAATAATGTTGGCTCAAGGAAGTCACATCACAAGACATTAGTCATCACATTGTTGAAACACTCATAAAAGCCAGTTGGGACTGTTTTACAGTCACTGCACTTTGATCAGAGTAAAGGTTAACAGGGCTTGTGACCGACATAATACCTACTAACAAAAGTTTAACTTTTCGTTGATCTTTGCACTCACTGACATTGTCGTGAGCTAAAGCTAAAACTCTCCACATTCTCTATGATAAACTCAAAACAACTGTTATCAAGGGTGTTTGTGTCACACAAAATTGTTAGGCCTACAAAATTTGAGATTTTCCTTAGAACAGTCATTCTCTAGCCTATCTCGAAACATACCTCGTGCAGTTGATGATGAACGCCACATCCTGTGGTAACCCTCATGATGTGCTGATTTGGCTAATTCTGAAAAACACCACATGATGCACCACATTTAGATTTTTTTTGGGCTACCCAGTGAAGTAGCTAGTCGCAAGTGAAACATTTGTCACTGAGGTGTGATCAGCACAAAATTGGGGCTGCTTTTTGTTGCTCACCAGAAAAGGTTTGAATCTATACTGAACAAACTCTATACTGAACAAAAATATAAATGCAACAATTTCAAATCCAATCCAATTTTATTTTTCACATGCGCCGAATACAACAGGTGTAGACCTTACCGTGAAATGCTTACTTACAAGCCCTTAACCAACAATGCAGTTCAAGAAATAGAGTTAAGAAAATGTTTAATAAATAAACTAAAGTAAAGAATATAAAAAATAAATACAGAATAAAATAACAATAACGAGGCTATATACAGGGGGGGTACCGAGTCAATGTGTGGGGGTACAGGTTAGTCGAGGTAATTTGTACATGTAGGTAGGGGTAAAGTGACTATGCGTAGATAATAAACAGCGAGTAGCAGCAGTGTAAAAACAAAGGAGGGGAGGGGTGGTATCAATGCAAATAGTCCAGGTGGCCATTTGATTAATTGTTCAGCAGTCTTATGGCTTGGGGGTAGAAGCTGTTAAGGAGCCTTTTGGACCTAGACTTGGCGCTCCGGTACCGCTTGCCGTGCGGTAGCAGAGAGAACAGTCTATGCTACCGCAGTCTATGCTACCCACAGCATCATGCTGTGGGGGTGCTTTGCTGCAGGAGGGTCTGGTGCACTTCACAAAATAGATGGCATCATGAGGAAGGAAAATTATGTGGATATATTGAAGCAACATCTCAAGACATCAGTCAGAAATGTAAAGCTTGGTCACAAATGGGTCTTCCAAATGGACAATGACCCCAAGCATACTTCCAAAGTTGTGGCAAAATGGCTTAAGGACAACAAAGTTAAGGTATTGGAGTGGCCATCACAAAGCCCTGACCTCAATCCTATAGAAAATGTGTGGGCAGAACTGAAAAAGCGTGTGCGAGCAAGGAGGCCTACAAACTCACTCAGTTACACCAGCTCTGTCAGGAGGAATGGGTGAAAATTCACCCAACTTATTGTGGGAAGTTTGTGGAAGGCTACCCGAAGCGTTTGACCCAAGTTAAACAATTTAAAGGCAATGCTACCAAATACTAATTGAGTGTATGTAAACTTCTGACCCACTGGGAATGTGATGAATGATAGAAAAGCTGAAATAAATAATTAGCTCTACTATTATTCTGACATTTCACATTCTTAAAATAAGTGGTGACCCTAACTGACCTAAGACAGGGAATTTTTACTAGGATTAAATGTCAGGAATTGTGAAAAACTGAGTTTAAATGTATTTGGCTAAGGTGCATGTAAAACTTCAGACTTCAACTATATGTCTTCTCACCTTCTTTCACTTTAGTGAATAACCATAGTTTGTGTATAACAAATGACGATATGAGTATATGTTTCTAAAAATGGTTTGAATTTGTGTGTGGCTCTCCTAGGGGATTTCCACAGGGAAGTACCATTGTGCTGTGATGACCAACAGTGAGCAGTGGGAGACGGCATGTGTGAGGGCGGGCCGCAGCAGCGGGGATCTGGCTCATCCCCTGGTCTACTGCCCAGAGCTGCACTTCAACGAGTTCACCTCAGCCGTGGCAGACATGAAGAACTCTGTGGCTGTGAGTGGCACCACTACTCCACAGTATGCCCAGTCTCTAGCAGGTCCTAATCCTGGATCTGAGTACAATCAAGGAGCTTCTACAGCCTATTGTGATTGTTGATCATTTTCCTTCAGCCAATTTATATATATTTTTCTGGATAAGAGTGTCTGCTAAATGACTAAAATGTAAATGCATGTTTTTGCTGTGTCTGTGAAAGGACAGGGGAAAACGCCACGAGCTCCTGTGCCGGCCTCTTCATCGGCTCTCACCTGGGTTTTGACTGGCCTGGCGTCTGGGGTCCATGTGGACATAGCCTCCCCCGTCCATGCTGTGAGTGACTGGATATTTTAGTTTAGTGGAGGCGGTTTCCTGGACACAGATTAAGCCTAGTCATGAACTAAAAAGCAAACCCAATGGAGAATCCTCACATAAAAAAAATGCTTTTTAGTCCAGCATTAGGCTTAATGTGTCTGGAAACCGCTCTTTAAAGTGTTTCATTCAATATTTAGAAAGTATAGACTAGACATGCTCTATTAAATCAATTTCAGCCCCTCACAGATCTCGACTGACTCGTATAAACAAAGGATCTTCCTCTGTATACTTTATCTATCTAGTGCTTACAGATCGGTGAAAAAATGTGTAGGAGCTAGAGCTAAGGGAAGGGGGGCTGGGATCCAAAATATAGTTGAGTCATGGTGTAACCTGTCCTCTCTCGCGTTTTCCCTCCCTTTCTCTCTGCAGGGGGAGCGCGCTACCGGCTTCGGCGTGGCTTTGCTCATGGCCCTGTTCGGCCAGGCCTCAGATGACCCCATGCTCAACCAGGTGTCTCCTCTGGGGGCTGCTTGCATAAATGCTGCATCCAGGGACCCGATGGAGCGCGACTGCAAGAGGAGGAGACTGGTGTAAAACCTCCAAGCAGCTACCTTTGGACTTACCAACTGCACAGCCTCACCGGACCCACACACCTCCACTCTTTACGCTGACATACACTGATCACCTAGAAAGCATTTCCAATCCTCAATTCTTATTCGACTCCTTCACAATGCAGTGAATAAAATGTGAAAAAAGAGCAGGTGGCTAGAACTTCTCTCAAATTTGTTCACGTTGTATTTAAATGACAGTCTTTTAATTTTGTCTCAGGTGGCCCACAAAGAATTGGGAGGGATGATGAATATGCAAATGTTTATAGCATGTTTTACACTTGAAGGTTTTGCCTTCCTTAAATGAATTACCAGAGCGTTAAGTGAGTGAGAAAGGAAATGGTTGCATATCCCAGAACCAACGTGTATCTGTGATCAGGGTTGTGAGAGAGAGCTTTCAATTTTGTGCAGATGAGGGATATACATTTTTAAAATATAGTATACATCTAATCTCTTTTTTTATTGTCCTATCATGATGGAACGATCCCCAACCCTATATCCTAGAAACCCACCTGAGCGACCCATACACCAAAGAGAAGTCCAATCTGTTTTATGGACCTGCTGTGAGTTGCCTAAACAGAAAAATAAATGCGGTCAGAAACCTACTTGAGCAGCACCGCACCCTCAAGATTCTGAGCCTGCCTGGCAGGGTTGGTCCTACAAAGCCAGAGCCCCCTGATGGTAGAGCATTATATACAAGGAAATTCTCAAAGCTGCTAATGAGAACCTTGACAACCTTGTACCTAGCCGGTGGGGATTCTGGTGGGTTACCTCCACCCAGGTAGTGGCAGTGCTGGAAACACTAGCTGCAGTAACCCATGGGGAGGGGGTCACACTCTGACAATCAGAGAGGGGGCTTATTATTGTGGCCCAGGTGGCACAAAATAATCAAAGGTCTGACCTGCACGGAGATGCTTGGTAAAAATGGTTTACAACGGGGGACCAGAGTGTTTGTGTCTCAGGTGAAGAGGGTGGATCTGATCTCCGTCACCTAGGACTTTACCATAGATTAAATAGATTAATCAAATCTCACATTGTTGTCAATTTTTGCTCAATCTTGCATGCTTTCTCGAAAAGCTGTAACTGTATATGCATTCGTAAATCGGGGTCCTTTCTTGAGTTGGGCTCTGGGATGTAACAACCGTTGAGCATCTGATCTTATGGTTGATTGTGGAGGAAAGGGGTTGAGTATGTGCGTGTGTGTTTATCCCCATCTGTTGCAAGGGGGGTAAGGATGTTAGGGAGAATATAGGATGAACCACAATAATTGTTTGCTAAAATAATAATTGCTTGTCAAAAATGTAATGTAATACAATGGCTATCCGGGTTATAGGTTAAAATCCTACACATGAACTGCCGACATGATTACGCATATTAATTGATAATGATGGAAAATAAGATATGCAAGATATTTGAATAGATATATATTTTTAAATAGCTATATACACTGCTCAAAAAAAATAAAGGGAACACTAAAATAACACATCCTAGATCTGAATGAATTAAATAATCTTATTAAATACTTTTTTCTTTACATAGTTGAATGTGCTGACAACAAAATCACACAAAAATTATCAATGGAAATCAAATTTATCAACCCATGGAGGTCTGGATTTGGAGTCACCCTCAAAATTAAAGTGGAAAGGTCATACAGGCTGATCCAACTTTGATGTAATGTCCTTAAAACAAGTCAAAATGAGGCTCAGTAGTGTGTGGCCTCCACGTGCATGTATGACCTCCCTACAACGCCTGGGCATGCTCCTGATGAGGTGGCGGATGGTCTCCTGAGGGATCTCCTCCCAGACCTGGACTAAAGCATCCACCAACTCTTGGACAGTCTGGTGGTGCAACGTGGCGTTGGTGGATGGAGCGAGACATGATGTCCCAGATGTGCTCAATTGGATTCAGGTCTGGGGAACGGGCGGTCCATAGCATCAATGCTTTTCCTCTTGCAGGAACTGCTGACACACTCCAGCCACATGAGGTCTAGCATTGTCTTGCATTAGGAGGAACCCAGGGCCAACCGCACCAGCATATGGTCTCACAAGGGGTTCTGAGGATCTCATCTCGGTACCTAATGGCAGTCAGGCTACCTCTGGCGAGCACATGGAGGGCTGTGCGGCCCCCCCAAAGAAATGCCACCCCACACCATGACTGACCCACCGCCAAACCGGTCATGCTGGAGGATGTTGCAGGCAGCAGAACGTTTTCCACAGCGTCTCCAGACTGTCACGTGCTCAGTGTGAACCTGCTTTCATCTATGAAGACCACAGGGCGCCAGTGGCGAATTTGCCAATCTTGGTGTTCTCTGGCAAATGCCAAACGTCCTGCACGGTGTTGGGCTGTAAGCACAACCCCCACCTGTGGACGTCGGGCCCTCATACCACCCTCATGGAGTCTGTTTCTTTTTTTTTTGAGAACTCTGTTTATTAAGTTTTACACACACACAGACAAGACAAAGCAATATAAATAATATACTCAACTAGACAAAAATACAAATAATACATATAAAAAAAATAAAAAATAAAAAAATAATAACTTTAAAGATACCATACTTTAGACAAGTTAAACACACCAGGCAGAAGGCTACAAAAGGTTAAAGGGCAATCTATAGTATAGGGACAGAGCAAATACCTCACCATTGTTCCTGTAAACAGTTAAGGGATGGGGTGGAGAAATGCAACCACTCACAGACAGTCAAGGCCACAGACCAATGATCCACTGGACCAAAAATAAAAAGTTACAATGCTTTAAAATAAAAAATGAATATTGATAATTTTATGTAGGCGGTGAACAGAATTTAAAAAATAAAAATAACTGGGAAAAACAAGCTCACACCTTAGTCTCTGCCCGGGCGAGATGAACAGGGCATCCGCAGGTCACAATCAATAAGCACATCAACCATAATGCCCCCCACCCCCACCCCAGAAAAAAAACACAGAGAAATGCTCATCCAACCCCTAAGTCACAGGGGGGGGTCAAATACAGACTTATTTTGGTTTTAATAGGAATGCTATCAGAGGATGGACTGTTTAAAGTAAGACCGGAATGGAGCCCAAGCCTCATTAAACAGTTTGGGGTTCCCACGTGAATTGAATTTAATTTTTTCTAGTTTTCAGAGAGCACAACACATCTCTCACCCAATATTTATAAGATGGGGGGAGCTGCCATCTTCCAGTTCTGTAGTATTAGCCGTCTAGCTAAAGAGTTGTATAAGCAACAGTGTCCGACTGGATTCTTGACAGGGGGGGTGCTTATGGGCAGTACTCCAAAAAGGGCTGTAGGGGAGAGGGATCTATAACAGTGTTATATATATCAGAGAAACATTTAATATTAATTCCCAGAAACCTGACAGTTTTATGACAGCCCCAGAACATATGCAACAGTGTGGCCGGTTCAATTTTACATCTGACACAGGTAGGATCAAAATCAGAGAATATTCTTCCAAGTCTGGCCCCAAGACCAGTGGATACGGTGAACCACCTTGAATTGAATGAGGCTGTGTCTAGTGCTAAAAGAGGCACGACATGCCACCCTGCGCCAGCACAGATTCCAGGTGTCTTCCCCAAGTTCCTCCCCCAAATCCTTTTCCCATCGAGTCTTTAAGGCACCAAGAAGGGTTCTTAAGTCATGAATGATTGCATATACATCTGAAATTGCGCCCCATAGGAAGCTTGTTCAGCTCCAGGATGCTCTCTATAGCTGTATTCAACAGGCCCTATGGGGAAATTCAGGTGTGTTAGCTCTGACAAAGTTCCTAGTCTTGGAGAGATAGCGGAAAAAGTGGGATTGGGGGAGGTTGAACCTTTCCTGTAGCTGAGCAAAAGAGGCAAATGTATCATCAACTAATAATTGGGCTAGTGAGGAGAGGCCTAGTGAGTGCCAGATGTCAAAAGCCCCATCGTTCAAAGATGGAGGAAATAAAATGTTCTGATTGATTGGGCCTGATAGAGAAAAGCCTCGGAGGCCAAAGGCTAAGCGGAACTGATTCCAAATTTTAAGAGACTGCTTTACAATTGGGTTGACACACCTTTTGCCTAGGGACACTGGGAGAGACGAGCACAACACAGAAGAAAGTGCAGCAGGTTTACACGATTCAGACTCCATCTGGACCCAGATTGGTCTAGGGCCAGTAGGATCAGTCTGCAGCCAGTACAGAAGGGCTCTGAAATTTGCAGCCCAATAGTATGTCTGAAAATTTGGTAGAGCTAAACCCCCCAATGACTTAGGCTTCTGTAAATGTTTTTACCAATCCGTGGTACCTTGCCATCCCAAATAAATGCATGAATGTTTGATCCAGTGAAATAAAAAAAAGATTTTGGAATAAAAATGCGGTAGACATTGAAATAAATATAGAAATTTGGGGCAACACACTCATTTTAATGACATTAATCCTTCCGATAAGAGAAAGAGGTAGCCTTTCCAAAAGAAAAAGATTGTTTCAAACGTCTGTAAAGAACCAAGTTTTCCTGAAACAGTTTGAATATTTCCTTTCACTTTGACCCCCAAATAGTGTTTGCCCCGGACAATCAAAAACTGAAGCTTGAAAAAAGGCATTTTTAAAGCACCTTGTTTACGGAAAAAAGCCACTCTTGCCTGATTCACTGTACCCAAATTGACCCAAAAAACCTTTTAGAAAATAAGGCGGTGGAAAAGGGGGTTCGGGGTTTTGAGATAAAAAAAAGGGGGTATCCGCATATAGCGAGACTTTCTCTTGACCCGTCCGGATTATTCCTTAAAATGGATCATTAGAGCGTAATCCCCTGGCGAATTTTCGTTGCCAAAAAAACAAAAAGGGGGAAGGGGACACCCTGTCTGGATCCGCGGTGAAAGGGAAATAGTCAGAGAAAAGTTGTTATTCCGTACCAAACCCGGGGGAAAAATAAAAAATTTTTATCCCCGCAATAAATTTGGGGGCCCAAAAACCCAAATCTATAATGTGGTGTTGGAAAACCCCCACTCAACGCGGTCAAACGTTTTTTCTGCATAAAGTGAACCCCCCACCCTGGGTCCTCCACCGGGGGAGTCAGTATATTCAAAGGGCCAATTTGAAAAAAAAGCTTTTTTTCCACAACCCAGTTGGCGAGTGTATTACTTGAGCGCGAGCCTTCCTCGGAGGGCAAAGTTGGCTAGGATTTTGTAATCACAGTTTAAAAACAATTTGGGGCGAAAGGATCCACTTCCAGGGGGTTTTTGTTTTTTTTTTAAAATAGTAATAAATTAAACTTGATAAGACTGGGCGGTAGTTGGGATTAAGGGCACCTGCAATGTCGAGACAAAAAGGGGGCAAAGCCGAAGAAAACGTCCTGAAAAATTGGGTTTGGGAAAAACCATCGGACCCTTTATTTCCCGTTTTCTTGCGGACATCCCTGTTCAATCTCCTAAAGTGAAATTCTCTTTAATGTCAGGGGTGTCTTATCATTAAAGCATTCAGGCCATTAAAAAAAGGACTCACAAAGGGTCTTTAGGGATTAGAGTGTATAGCGCAAATAAAATTGTTTGAATTGTCTTGATCTTTTATGTAAACTGTGGTGGCACCAACGGGGTCCTTATTTTTGGGGTTAAACTGAGGCCTAGTTTACGGATCTGATGTGCAAGGGTTTACTGGGCCCTTTTCGCCTTGTTCAAACCCCCGTCCGACCGCAAGATAGCTGTTCAGTTGCCTGGTAAAAGCCATCAAATTCAGATTGGAGTAGTTTTGGCGTCTTTTTGCGACAGAGGGGAAGGGAAACCCTGGCATACTCTCGTCCAATTGGGGTAGGTTCGTCAGGGGCCCGAAATCGCTGAGAGGAACTCTTTTTGGGGCGTATAAGAAAAATTTGGCCACGGAGGTTGCTTTTGGGGCTCCCATATGGGGAGAGCAGGGAAAACCCGTGTTGAAAAAGTTTTTCTAGGAAAAAAGGGGATTTTGAAGAAATAAATTGACAAAAATCCTTTCTGAGGTAAAAAGGGGGTTAAAAAAAGGGCCCTTGATAAAACTAGGAGGGGCGCTGGGGAAACTCTGTTCAAGCATAAAGGGGAAAGGGCCCCAAATACAATCTCTTTTAAGTACCTGCCGAAGGTTAGGGAAAAGTTTTTTTTTCCAAAAAGAATAAACAATCCGGGGGGGTATTTTTTATAACATGAGAATAAAGAATTGTCCCTTTTGTAGGATGTAGGAAACGCCCGGCCCCAACATGGGAATTTTTTTTGAAAAAAGGGTGAATAAGTGGGACTTTGATGGGGGCCGTATTTTTCTGAGGGCTTTTTCAAGAACTGGGGGCTTTTGCAGGTTGAAATCCCCCCCCAAAACAATAAATGGGAAACTAAAATTGGTTAGCAAAAAAAAGGAAAAATGAAAAATTTTGTCTCCCAATTGGGGAAAAAACACAGCCAAAACAAGAGGGGGAGAAAAAAATTTCCGGGTTACATGACTTTTCGTCCCCTTATCAGCGATAACCTCAAAACCCAAAAAGGGGTGCTTTCAACCAAAAGGCAGCCCCTCTGTTTACTATGAAAGTTAGAGTGGACACTTGACCACCCATCCACCATCCTAAAGTGCTCACCGTCCCAAGTGATTCTTTTGAAAAGCAACTTTTCTTCAACCTTTAAGTGTTTCAACACCCTTACGTTTCACTGGATTAAACCCCTTTTTTGTTCCACGAAAAGTATTTTTGCTTGTTTCGGGCCCCCTGGGGATTCCGTTATACAACCCCGCATTAGAGCATAAATGGAAAAACAATGACCCCCAGAAAACCCCCGAATAACTTTTTCAAGAAAAGTAGGGGTAGATTTTTGGGAAAAAATCCCAAAAAAAAAAAAAAAACGAATAAAAACATTAGAACTGAACAATTTAAACCCCTCCCCCCCCCCCCTCCCCCCCCCCCAGCGTACCTCCCAAAAGAGGTAAAGCCTAAAAGGCATGTCTCTTCGCACTAAATTTTGGAGGTGCGGTCTTAAAAACCCAAACCCACGTCCCGCCTTTAAAGTCGGTTTGTTAGTGGTCAAACACAAAAAAAGATAATCATTTTTTTTAAAAAAAATTAAGGTGCCCCTTTTCGACAAATTTCAAAAGCACCACTTGTAGATGTATATAATTATATTCCCAGTCTTATAACAGGCATTTGAGAGAGAAAATAAAGACAATAAATAGAATGTGTAAGGCTCTCAGCCGAAAACCTAATTGAAGTAAGGAAAATAGTAGTAAGACATCAAAAATGATAATAATATTATTATTATAATAGTTGTCTAGTTGAATGCTGAGACAGCTTACAAACCAAGACCAAAAAACTACGTGTGCGCAACGTTTAACGCTTGCTGGGCATAAATGACGCTCTGAGCCTTAAAATTAAGTGAAGACCCCAAAAAAACGTTGTCGCCTCGGGAAGCATTTACTGTTTACTGGGTCAATGCAACGGATTGCAGTAAGCAAATAACCAAGAATATTTTGAGTCACTGAGACACTATGTAAACAAACTGAATAGGTGAGCAAGACAGCCTAGAAAACACAGGAGTATAGTAAAACCGCAATACAATGAGATTTAAAATGACTGAATGCTTGTAAGGCAAGCACACTGGTGATCAAAACATTTAGATCACATCAAATAAGCCTGAATGGGTACGCCCAACCCCCCAAAACTATACAAAATTAGCATGTTGTAGCTAAACATAGTTGTACCACAGGTGGGTTACTTACTATCCACAGTTCGCTAGCAACAGTTGCTGAGCTATGAGCAAGTTCAAGACTTCTTGATGTGACGTTGAATGTGAGAGAGAGCCTCATCCGGAGATTCAAATGTGTAGTCTTTACCATCATGAGATAGCCATAAACGGGCCGGGAATCGCAGTCCGTACTTCACACCTGGATGGTCCCGAAGTAGTCGTTTGGCCTGCCCAAAAGGCTGCGCGCTGCCTGGAAACAGTGGGGGAGTAGTCCTGGGTAGATGGAGAAGCTCTGTCCTTGAAAGCTCAGAGTGGTATTGCGGGCTCGTCGGAGAATCTCCATCTTCTCATGGAAAAAGTGCACTCGAAAGAATTATGTCACGGGGCCTCTCCCCATCCCGGGGCTTTGGGCGCAGCGACCGGTGGGCACGATCAATCAGGGGCTTTTCATCCAAGGCTAGAACATCCTTCAGCAGCCCAGAAACGAAATCCGTGGCGCGAGGCATTTCCGCTGACTCTGGGACTGATACAAGTCTCAGGTTATTGCGGCGAGGAGAATCCCTCCAAACTTACACAGCTCTCCTTCACCTTTTTCAAGTCCGCAGCTAGGCGTTTCACGTCAGCCTCCAGGGATGTAGTTAAGTCGGAGACATTTGTAGCGAAGGTCTCCAGTGCTGCAATCGTTGTAGTGTGCGACTCCATTGTTGTTTTGAGTGATGCGATTGCCGGCACTGTCTCGTTCCGCAGGATGGTTAGATCTGCTTTTAAAGTATCAGAAACCTCCTTTATTCGGGCCTCAATCGTAGCAACCACCTCCGTTTTCATTTCAACTATCTCAGAGCGTAGTAGTTTGATGGCCTCGAGAATGTTCACTTCAGCGCCGCCAGGCCAAGCCGCCCCCCCGGGTAGAGTATCAGTCCCGGGTCGTCAGGCTCAGGGGAGGGCGGTGATGAGAGTGTGTCTTGTAGGCCGGGTTTTCTCAAAGTCATGCTTTTGGCCTTATGTTTCGTCGACATGCTGATATTTGGAAGTAAAGTAGTCTTGGTTTTTACGGGAAGGGATCACCCAAAATAATATATGAAAATAAATACGGTTTTGCTGCAAAATTCACATAAACTTTAAAAATACCACGGGAGCAAACGGAAAACACGTCAGTCGCACATGGCGTCCCTCCAATCAACCCTCATGGAGTCTGTTTCTGACCGTTTGAGCAGACACATGCACATTTGTGGCCTGCTGGAGGTCATTTTGCAGGGCTCTGGCAGTGCTCCTCCTGCTCCTCCTTGCTCAAAGGCTTAGGTAGCGGTCCTGCTGCTGGGTTGTTGCCCTCCTACGGCCTCCTCCACGTCTCTGATGTACTGGCCTGTCTCCTGGTAGCGCCTCCATGCTCTGGACACTACGCTGACAGACACAGCAAACCTTCTTGCCACAGCTCGCATTGATGTGCCATCCTGGATGAGCTGCACTACCTGAGCCACTTGTTTGGATTGTAGACTCCGTCTCATGCTACCACTAGAGTGAAAGCACCGCCAGCATTCAAAAGTGACCAAAACATCAGCCTGGAAGCATAGGAACTGAGAAGTGGTCTGTGGTCACCACCTGCAGAACCACTTCTTTATTGGGGGTGTCTTGCTAATTGCCTATAATTTCCACCTGTTGTCTATTCCATTTGCACAACAGCATGTGACATTTATTGTCAATCAGTGTTGCTTCCTAAGTGGACAGTTTGATTTCACAGAAGTGTGATTGACTTGGAGTTCCATTGTGTTTGTTTAAGTGTTCCCTTTATTTTTGAGCAGTGTATATATTTGCAAGAAAAAAAACATATGGGGATTGGAAGTGATGCAGACAATTACATTGATGGAAGTTACAATCTATCTGAAATATTAAAGCTGATCTACCCCCTAAAATGTTTTTTTTTTAATAATGTTGGCTCAAGGAAGTCACATCACAAGACATTAGTCATCACATTGTTGAAAACACTCATAAAAGCCAGTTGGGACTGTTTACAGTCACTGCACTTTGATCAGAGTAAAGGTTAACAGGGCTTGTGACCGACATAATACCTACTAACAAAAGTTTAACTTTTCGTTGATCTTTGCACTCACTGACATTGTCGTGAGCTAAAGCTAAAACTCTCCACATTCTCTATGATAAACTCAAAACAACTGTTATCAAGGGTGTTTGTGTCACACAAAATTGTTAGGCCTACAAAATTTGAGATTTTCCTTAGAACAGTCATTCTCTAGCCTATCTCGAAACATACCTCGTGCAGTTGATGATAACGCCACATCCTGTGGTAACCCTCATGATGTGCTGATTTGGCTAATTCTGAAAAACACCACATGATGCACCACATTTAGATTTTTTTGGGCTACCCAGTGAAGTAGCTAGTCGCAAGTGAAACATTTGTCACTGAGGTGTGATCAGCACAAAAATTGGGGCTGCTTTTTGTTGCTCACCAGAAAAGGTTTGAATCTATACTGAACAAACTCTATACTGAACAAAAATATAAATGCAACAATTTCAAATCCAATCCAATTTTATTTTTCACATGCGCCGAATACAACAGGTGTAGACCTTACCGTGAAATGCTTACTTACAAGCCCTTAACCAACAATGCAGTTCAAGAAATAGAGTTAAGAAAATGTTTAATAAATAAACTAAAGTAAAGAATATAAAAAAATAAATACAGAATAAAATAACAATAACGAGGCTATATACAGGGGGTACCGAGTCAATGTGTGGGGGTACAGGTTAGTCGAGGTAATTTGTACATGTAGGTAGGGGTAAAGTGACTATGCGTAGATAATAAACAGCGAGTAGCAGCAGTGTAAAAACAAAGGAGGGGAGGGGTGGTATCAATGCAAATAGTCCAGGTGGCCATTTGATTAATTGTTCAGCAGTCTTATGGCTTGGGGGTAGAAGCTGTTAAGGAGCCTTTTGGACCTAGACTTGGCACTCCGGTACCGCTTGCCGTGCGGTAGCAGAGAGAACAGTCTATGCTACCGCAGTCTATGCTACCCACAGCATCATGCTGTGGGGGTGCTTTGCTGCAGGAGGGTCTGGTGCACTTCACAAAATAGATGGCATCATGAGGAAGGAAAATTATGTGGATATATTGAAGCAACATCTCAAGACATCAGTCAGAAATGTAAAGCTTGGTCACAAATGGGTCTTCCAAATGGACAATGACCCCAAGCATACTTCCAAAGTTGTGGCAAAATGGCTTAAGGACAACAAAGTTAAGGTATTGGAGTGGCCATCACAAAGCCCTGACCTCAATCCTATAGAAAATGTGTGGGCAGAACTGAAAAAGCGTGTGCGAGCAAGGAGGCCTACAAACCTCACTCAGTTACACCAGCTCTGTCAGGAGGAATGGGTGAAAATTCACCCAACTTATTGTGGGAAGTTTGTGGAAGGCTACCCGAAGCGTTTGACCCAAGTTAAACAATTTAAAGGCAATGCTACCAAATACTAATTGAGTGTATGTAAACTTCTGACCCACTGGGAATGTGATGAATGATAGAAAAAGCTGAAATAAATAATTAGCTCTACTATTATTCTGACATTTCACATTCTTAAAATAAAGTGGTGACCCTAACTGACCTAAGACAGGGAATTTTTACTATGATTAAATGTCAGGAATTGTGAAAAACTGAGTTTAAATGTATTTGGCTAAGGTGCATGTAAACTTCAGACTTCAACTATATGTCTTCTCACCTTCTTTCACTTTAGTGAATAACCATAGTTTGTGTATAACAAATGACAATATGAGTATATGTTTCTAAAAATGGTTGAATTTGTGTGTGGCTCTCCTAGGGGATTTCCACAGGGAAGTACCATTGTGCTGTGATGACCAACAGTGAGCAGTGGGAGACGGCATGTGTGAGGGCGGGCCGCAGCAGCGGGGATCTGGCTCATCCCCTGGTCTACTGCCCAGAGCTGCACTTCAACGAGTTCACCTCAGCCGTGGCAGACATGAAGAACTCTGTGGCTGTGAGTGGCACCACTACTCCACAGTATGCCCAGTCTCTAGCAGGTCCTAATCCTGGATCTGAGTACAATCAAGGAGCTTCTACAGCCTATTGTGATTGTTGATCATTTTCCTTCAGCCAATTTATATATATTTTTCTGGATAAGAGTGTCTGCTAAATGACTAAAATGTAAATGCATGTTTTTGCTGTGTCTGTGAAAGGACAGGGAAAACGCCACGAGCTCCTGTGCCGGCCTCTTCATCGGCTCTCACCTGGGTTTTGACTGGCCTGGCGTCTGGGTCCATGTGGACATAGCCTCCCCCGTCCATGCTGTGAGTGACTGGATATTTTAGTTTAGTGGAGGCGGTTTCCTGGACACAGATTAAGCCTAGTCATGAACTAAAAAGCAAACCCAATGGAGAATCCTCACATAAAAAAATGCTTTTTAGTCCAGCATTAGGCTTAATGTGTCTGGAAACCGCTCTTTAAAGTGTTTCATTCAATATTTAGAAAGTATAGACTAGACATGCTCTATTAAATCAATTTCAGCCCCTCACAGATCTCGACTGACTCGTATAAACAAAGGATCTTCCTCTGTATACTTTATCTATCTAGTGCTTACAGATCGGTGAAAAAATGTGTAGGAGCTAGAGCTAAGGGAAGGGGGGCTGGGATCCAAAATATAGTTGAGTCATGGTGTAACCTGTCCTCTCTCGCGTTTTTCCCTCCCTTTCTCTCTGCAGGGGGAGCGCGCTACCGGCTTCGGCGTGGCTTTGCTCATGGCCCTGTTCGGCCAGGCCTCAGATGACCCCATGCTCAACCAGGTGTCTCCTCTGGGGGCTGCTTGCATAAATGCTGCATCCAGGGACCCGATGGAGCGCGACTGCAAGAGGAGGAGACTGGTGTAAAACCTCCAAGCAGCTACCTTTGGACTTACCAACTGCACAGCCTCACCGGACCCACACACCTCCACTCTTTACGCTGACATACACTGATCACCTAGAAAGCATTTCCAATCCTCAATTCTTATTTGACTCCTTCACAATGCAGTGAATAAAATGTGAAAAAAGAGCAGGTGGCTAGAACTTCTCTCAAATTTGTTCACGTTGTATTTAAATGACAGTTTTTTAATTTTGTCTCAGATGGCCCACAAAGAATTGGGAGGGATGATGAATATGCAAATGTTTATAGCATGTTTTACACTTGAAGGTTTTGCCTTCCTTAAATGAATTACCAGAGCGTTAAGTGAGTGAGAAAGGAAATGGTTGCATATCCCAGAACCAACGTGTATCTGTGATCAGGGTTGTGAGAGAGAGCTTTCAATTTTGTGCAGATGAGGGATATACATTTTAAAATATAGTATACATCTAATCTCTTTTTTTATTGTCCTATCATGATGGAACGATCCCCAACCCTATATCCTAGAAACCCACCTGAGCGACCCATACACCAAAGAGAAGTCCAATCTGTTTTATGGACCTGCTGTGAGTTGCCTAAACAGAAAAATAAATGCGGTCAGAAACCTACTTGAGCAGCACCGCACCCTCAAGATTCTGAGCCTGCCTGGCAGGGTTGGTCCTACAAAGCCAGAGCCCCCTGATGGTAGAGCATTATATACAAGGAAATTATCAAAGCTGCTAATGAGAACCTTGACAACCTTGTACCTAGCCGGTGGGGATTCTGGTGGGTTACCTCCACCCAGGTAGTGGCAGTGCTGGAAACACTAGCTGCAGTAACCCATGGGGAGGGGGTCACACTCTGACAATCAGAGAGGGGGCTTATTATTGTGGCCCAGGTGGCACAAAATAATCAAAGGTCTGACTGCACGGAGATGCTTGGTAAAAATGGTTACAACGGGGGACCAGAGTGTTTGTGTCTCAGGTGAAGAGGGTGGATCTGATCTCCGTCACCTAGGACTTTACATAGATTAAATAGATTAATCAAATCTCACATTGTTGTCAATTTTTGCTCAATCTTGCATGCTTTCTCGAAAAGCTGTAACTGTATATGCATTCGTAAATCGGGTCCTTTCTTGAGTTGGGCTCTGGGATGTAACAACCGTTGAGCATCTGATCTTATGGTTGATTGTGGAGGAAAGGGGTTGAGTATGTGCGTGTGTGTTTATCCCCATCTGTTGCAAGGGGGTAAGGATGTTAGGGAGAATATAGGATGAACCACAATAATTGTTTGCTAAAATAATAATTGCTTGTCAAAAATGTAATGTAATACAATGGCTATCCGGGTTATAGGTTAAAATCCTACACATGAACTGCCGACATGATTACGCATATTAATTGATAATGATGGAAAATAAGATATGCAAGATATTTGAATAGATATATATTTTTAAATAGCTATATACACTGCTCAAAAAAATAAAGGGAACACTAAAATAACACATCCTAGATCTGAATGAATTAAATAATCTTATTAAATACTTTTTTCTTTACATAGTTGAATGTGCTGACAACAAAATCACACAAAAATTATCAATGGAAATCAAATTTATCAACCCATGGAGGTCTGGATTTGGAGTCACCCTCAAAATTAAAGTGGAAAGGTCATACAGGCTGATCCAACTTTGATGTAATGTCCTTAAAACAAGTCAAAATGAGGCTCAGTAGTGTGTGGCCTCCACGTGCATGTATGACCTCCCTACAACGCCTGGGCATGCTCCTGATGAGGTGGCGGATGGTCTCCTGAGGGATCTCCTCCCAGACCTGGACTAAAGCATCCACCAACTCTTGGACAGTCTGTGGTGCAACGTGGCGTTGGTGGATGGAGCGAGACATGATGTCCCAGATGTGCTCAATTGGATTCAGGTCTGGGGAACGGGCGGTCCATAGCATCAATGCTTTCCTCTTGCAGGAACTGCTGACACACTCCAGCCACATGAGGTCTAGCATTGTCTTGCATTAGGAGGAACCCAGGGCCAACCGCACCAGCATATGGTCTCACAAGGGGTCTGAGGATCTCATCTCGGTACCTAATGGCAGTCAGGCTACCTCTGGCGAGCACATGGAGGGCTGTGCGGCCCCCCAAAGAAATGCCACCCCACACCATGACTGACCCACCGCCAAACCGGTCATGCGGGAGGATGTTGCAGGCAGCAGAACGTTTTCCACAGCGTCTCCAGACTGTCACGTGCTCAGTGTGAACCTGCTTTCATCTATGAAGAGCACAGGGCGCCAGTGGCGAATTTGCCAATCTTGGTGTTCTCTGGCAAATGCCAAACGTCCTGCACGGTGTTGGGCTGTAAGCACAACCCCCACCTGTGGACGTCGGGCCCTCATACCACCCTCATGGAGTCTGTTTCTGACCGTTTGAGCAGACACATGCACATTTGTGGCCTGCTGGAGGTCATTTTGCAGGGCTCTGGCAGTGCTCCTCCTGCTCCTCCTTGCTCAAAGGCTTAGGTAGCGGTCCTGCTGCTGGGTTGTTCCCCTCCTACGGCCTCCTCCACGTCTCCTGATGTACTGGCCTGTCTCCTGGTAGCGCCTCCATGCTCTGGACACTACGCTGACAGACACAGCAAACCTTCTTGCCACAGCTCGCATTGATGTGCCATCCTGGATGAGCTGCACTACCTGAGCCACTTGTTTGGATTGTAGACTCCGTCTCATGCTACCACTAGAGTGAAAGCACCGCCAGCATTCAAAAGTGACCAAAACATCAGCCTGGAAGCATAGGAACTGAGAAGTGGTCTGTGGTCACCACCTGCAGAACCACTTCTTTATTGGGGGTGTCTTGCTAATTGCCTATAATTTCCACCTGTTGTCTATTCCATTTGCACAACAGCATGTGACATTTATTGTCAATCAGTGTTGCTTCCTAAGTGGACAGTTTGATTTCACAGAAGTGTGATTGACTTGGAGTTCCATTGTGTTGTTTAAGTGTTCCCTTAATTTTTTGAGCAGTGTATATATTTGCAAGAAAAAAAACATATGGGGATTGGAAGTGATGCAGACAATTACATTGATGGAAGTTACAATCTATCTGAAATATTAAAGCTGATCTACCCCCTAAAATGTTTTTTTTTTAATAATGTTGGCTCAAGGAAGTCACATCACAAGACATTAGTCATCACATTGTTGAAACACTCATAAAAGCCAGTTGGGACTGTTTTACAGTCACTGCACTTTGATCAGAGTAAAGGTTAACAGGGCTTGTGACCGACATAATACCTACTAACAAAAGTTTAACTTTTCGTTGATCTTTGCACTCACTGACATTGTCGTGAGCTAAAGCTAAAACTCTCCACATTCTCTATGATAAACTCAAAACAACTGTTATCAAGGGTGTTTGTGTCACACAAAATTGTTAGGCCTACAAAATTTGAGATTTTCCTTAGAACAGTCATTCTCTAGCCTATCTCGAAACATACCTCGTGCAGTTGATGATAACGCCACATCCTGTGGTAACCCTCATGATGTGCTGATTTGGCTAATTCTGAAAAACACCACATGATGCACCACATTTAGATTTTTTTGGGCTACCCAGTGAAGTAGCTAGTCGCAAGTGAAACATTTGTCACTGAGGTGTGATCAGCACAAAATTGGGGCTGCTTTTTGTTGCTCACCAGAAAAGGTTTGAATCTATACTGAACAAACTCTATACTGAACAAAAATATAAATGCAACAATTTCAAATCCAATCCAATTTTATTTTTCACATGCGCCGAATACAACAGGTGTAGACCTTACCGTGAAATGCTTACTTACAAGCCCTTAACCAACAATGCAGTTCAAGAAATAGAGTTAAGAAAATGTTTAATAAATAAACTAAAGTAAAGAATATAAAAAAATAAATAAAGAATAAAATAACAATAACGAGGCTATATACAGGGGGTACCGAGTCAATGTGTGGGGGTACAGGTTAGTCGAGGTAATTTGTACATGTAGGTAGGGGTAAAGTGACTATGCGTAGATAATAAACAGCGAGTAGCAGCAGTGTAAAAACAAAGGAGGGGAGGGGTGGTATCAATGCAAATAGTCCAGGTGGCCATTTGATTAATTGTTCAGCAGTCTTATGGCTTGGGGGTAGAAGCTGTTAAGGAGCCTTTTGGACCTAGACTTGGCGCTCCGGTACCGCTTGCCGTGCGGTAGCAGAGAGAACAGTCTATGCTACCGCAGTCTATGCTACCCACAGCATCATGCTGTGGGGGTGCTTTGCTGCAGGAGGGTCTGGTGCACTTCACAAAATAGATGGCATCATGAGGAAGGAAAATTATGTGGATATATTGAAGCAACATCTCAAGACATCAGTCAGAAATGTAAAGCTTGGTCACAAATGGGTCTTCCAAATGGACAATGACCCCAAGCATACTTCCAAAGTTGTGGCAAAATGGCTTAAGGACAACAAAGTTAAGGTATTGGAGTGGCCATCACAAAGCCCTGACCTCAATCCTATAGAAAATGTGTGGGCAGAACTGAAAAAGCGTGTGCGAGCAAGGAGGCCTACAAAACCTCACTCAGTTACACCAGCTCTGTCAGGAGGAATGGGTGAAAATTCACCCAACTTATTGTGGGAAGTTTGTGGAAGGCTACCCGAAGCGTTTGACCCAAGTTAAACAATTTAAAGGCAATGCTACCAAATACTAATTGAGTGTATGTAAACTTCTGACCCACTGGGAATGTGATGAATGATAGAAAAGCTGAAATAAATAATTAGCTCTACTATTATTCTGACATTTCACATTCTTAAAATAAAGTGGTGACCCTAACTGACCTAAGACAGGGAATTTTTACTAGGATTAAATGTCAGGAATTGTGAAAAACTGAGTTTAAATGTATTTGGCTAAGGTGCATGTAAACTTCAGACTTCAACTATATGTCTTCTCACCTTCTTTCACTTTAGTGAATAACCATAGTTTGTGTATAACAAATGACGATATGAGTATATGTTTCTAAAAATGGTTGAATTTGTGTGTGGCTCTCCTAGGGGATTTCCACAGGGAAGTACCATTGTGCTGTGATGACCAACAGTGAGCAGTGGGAGACGGCATGTGTGAGGGCGGGCCGCAGCAGCGGGGATCTGGCTCATCCCCTGGTCTACTGCCCAGAGCTGCACTTCAACGAGTTCACCTCAGCCGTGGCAGACATGAAGAACTCTGTGGCTGTGAGTGGCACCACTACTCCACAGTATGCCCAGTCTCTAGCAGCTCCTAATCCTGGATCTGAGTACAATCAAGGAGCTTCTACAGCCTATTGTGATTGTTGATCATTTTCCTTCAGCCAATTTATATATATTTTTCTGGATAAGAGTGTCTGCTAAATGACTAAAATGTAAATGCATGTTTTTGCTGTGTCTGTGAAAGGACAGGGAAAACGCCACGAGCTCCTGTGCCGGCCTCTTCATCGGCTCTCACCTGGGTTTTGACTGGCCTGGCGTCTGGGTCCATGTGGACATAGCCTCCCCCGTCCATGCTGTGAGTGACTGGATATTTTAGTTTAGTGGAGGCGGTTTCCTGGACACAGATTAAGCCTAGTCATGAACTAAAAAGCAAATCCAATGGAGAATCCTCACATAAAAAAATGCTTTTTAGTCCAGCATTAGGCTTAATGTGTCTGGAAACCGCTCTTTAAAGTGTTTCATTCAATATTTAGAAAGTATAGACTAGACATGCTCTATTAAATCAATTTCAGCCCCTCACAGATCTCGACTGACTCGTATAAACAAAGGATCTTCCTCTGTATACTTTATCTATCTAGTGCTTACAGATCGGTGAAAAAATGTGTAGGAGCTAGAGCTAAGGGAAGGGGGGCTGGGATCCAAAATATAGTTGAGTCATGGTGTAACCTGTCCTCTCTCGCGTTTTCCCTCCCTTTCTCTCTGCAGGGGGAGCGCGCTACCGGCTTCGGCGTGGCTTTGCTCATGGCCCTGTTCGGCCAGGCCTCAGATGACCCCATGCTCAACCAGGTGTCTCCTCTGGGGGCTGCTTGCATAAATGCTGCATCCAGGGACCCGATGGAGCGCGACTGCAAGAGGAGGAGACTGGTGTAAAACCTCCAAGCAGCTACCTTTGGACTTACCAACTGCACAGCCTCACCGGACCCACACACCTCCACTCTTTACGCTGACATACACTGATCACCTAGAAAGCATTTCCAATCCTCAATTCTTATTCGACTCCTTCACAATGCAGTGAATAAAATGTGAAAAAAGAGCAGGTGGCTAGAACTTCTCTCAAATTTGTTCACGTTGTATTTAAATGACAGTCTTTTAATTTTGTCTCAGATGGCCCACAAAGAATTGGGAGAGATGATGAATATGCAAATGTTTATAGCATGTTTTACACTTGAAGGTTTTGCCTTCCTTAAATGAATTACCAGAGCGTTAAGTGAGTGAGAAAGGAAATGGTTGCATATCCCAGAACCAACGTGTATCTGTGATCAGGGTTGTGAGAGAGAGCTTTCAATTTTGTGCAGATGAGGGATATACATTTTAAAATATAGTATACATCTAATCTCTTTTTTTATTGTCCTATCATGATGGAACGATCCCCAACCCTATATCCTAGAAACCCACCTGAGCGACCCATACACCAAAGAGAAGTCCAATCTGTTTTATGGACCTGCTGTGAGTTGCCTAAACAGAAAAATAAATGCGGTCAGAAACCTACTTGAGCAGCACCGCACCCTCAAGATTCTGAGCCTGCTGGCAGGGTTGGTCCTACAAAGCCAGAGCCCCCTGATGGTAGAGCATTATATACAAGGAAATTCTCAAAACTGCTAATGAGAACCTTGACAACCTTGTACCTAGCCGGTGGGGATTCTGGTGGGTTACCTCCACCCAGGTAGTGGCAGTGCTGGAAACACTAGCTGCAGTAACCCATGGGGAGGGGGTCACACTCTGACAATCAGAGAGGGGGCTTATTATTGTGGCCCAGGTGGCACAAAATAATCAAAGGTCTGACTGCACGGAGATGCTTGGTAAAAATGGTTACAACGGGGGACCAGAGTGTTTGTGTCTCAGGTGAAGAGGGTGGATCTGATCTCCGTCACCTAGGACTTTACATAGATTAAATAGATTAATCAAATCTCACATTGTTGTCAATTTTTGCTCAATCTTGCATGCTTTCTCGAAAAGCTGTAACTGTATATGCATTCGTAAATCGGGTCCTTTCTTGAGTTGGGCTCTGGGATGTAACAACCGTTGAGCATCTGATCTTATGGTTGATTGTGGAGGAAAGGGGTTGAGTATGTGCGTGTGTGTTTATCCCCATCTGTTGCAAGGGGGTAAGGATGTTAGGGAGAATATAGGATGAACCACAATAATTGTTTGCTAAAATAATAATTGCTTGTCAAAAATGTAATGTAATACAATGGCTATCCGGGTTATAGGTTAAAATCCTACACATGAACTGCCGACATGATTACGCATATTAATTGATAATGATGGAAAATAAGATATGCAAGATATTTGAATAGATATATATTTTTAAATAGCTATATACACTGCTCAAAAAAATAAAGGGAACACTAAAATAACACATCCTAGATCTGAATGAATTAAATAATCTTATTAAATACTTTTTTCTTTACATAGTTGAATGTGCTGACAACAAAATCACACAAAAATTATCAATGGAAATCAAATTTATCAACCCATGGAGGTCTGGATTTGGAGTCACCCTCAAAATTAAAGTGGAAAGGTCATACAGGCTGATCCAACTTTGATGTAATGTCCTTAAAACAAGTCAAAATGAGGCTCAGTAGTGTGTGGCCTCCACGTGCATGTATGACCTCCCTACAACGCCTGGGCATGCTCCTGATGAGGTGGCGGATGGTCTCCTGAGGGATCTCCTCCCAGACCTGGACTAAAGCATCCACCAACTCTTGGACAGTCTGTGGTGCAACGTGGCGTTGGTGGATGGAGCGAGACATGATGTCCCAGATGTGCTCAATTGGATTCAGGTCTGGGGAACGGGCGGTCCATAGCATCAATGCTTTCCTCTTGCAGGAACTGCTGACACACTCCAGCCACATGAGGTCTAGCATTGTCTTGCATTAGGAGGAACCCAGGGCCAACCGCACCAGCCTATGGTCTCACAAGGGGTCTGAGGATCTCATCTCGGTACCTAATGGCAGTCAGGCTACCTCTGGCGAGCACATGGAGGGCTGTGCGGCCCCCCAAAGAAATGCCACCCCACACCATGACTGACCCACTGCCAAACCGGTCATGCTGGAGGATGTTGCAGGCAGCAGAACATTCTCCACGGCGTCTCCAGACTCTGTCACATGTGCTCAGTGTGAACCTGCTTTCATCTGTGAAGAGCACAGGGCGCCAGTGGCGAATTTGCCAATCTTGGTGTTCTTTGGCAAATGCCAAACGTCCTGCACGGTGTTTGGCTGTAAGCACAACCCCCACCTGTGGACGTCGGGCCCTCATACCACCCTCATGGAGTCTGTTTCTGACCGTTTGAGCAGACACATGCACATATGTGGCCTGCTGGAGGTCATTTTGCAGGGCTCTGGCAGTGCTCCTCCTGCTCCTCCTTGCACAAAGGCAGAGGTAGCAGTCCTGCTGCTGGGTTGTTGCCCTCCTACGGCCTCCTCCACGTCTCCTGATGTACTGGCCTGTCTCCTGGTAGCGCCTCCATGCTCTGGACACTACGCTGACAGACACAGCAAACCTTCTTGCCACAGCTCGCATTGATGTGCCATCCTGGATGAGCTGCACTACCTGAGCCACTTGTGTGGGTTGTAGACTCCGTCTCATGCTACCACTAGAGTGGAAGCACCACCAGCATTCAAAAGTGACCAAAACATCAGCCAGGAAGCATAGGAACTGAGAAGTGGTATGTGGTCACCACCTGCAAAACCAGTCCTTTATTGGGGGTGTCTTGCTAATTGCCTATAATTTCCACCTGTTGTCTATCCCATTTGCACAACAGCATGTGAAATGGATTGTCAATCAGTGTTGCTTCCTAAGTGGACAGTTTGATTTCACAGAAGTGTGATTGACTTGGAGTTACATTGTGTTGTTTAAGTGTTCCCTTAATTTGTTTTATAATATCTATTGTTTACAGGAAACTCATTCAACAATTCTAGATGAAGTTGTGTGGAAAAAGGAATGGGGGTGCGAAATATACTTCTCCCATGGGCAAAGAAACTCAAAAGGGGTGATGATATTAATGAACAGTAATTTCGATCCGAATGAGCAAATTGCCCAAACAGATACGCAAGGTAGATGGATTGTTTTAAATATGTTATTGGACCATAAACAGATATGGCTCATTAACCTTTACAGACCAAATAATGATGATCCACACTTCTTTGACAATATATATAATAAATTATCAACCCTGCAAGCAATTCAAGACTATTATTATGGTGGGAGATTATAATGCCGTTTTAAATAGCTCAATGGACCGTAAAGAAGATCACACTACAAACATGCTCTTAAGGAAATGGTGAATGTCATGGATACATTAGAACTAGTAGATATATGGAGGCTTAAATATCCTGATCTAGTGAGATATACATGGCGGAGACTCAATCAAGCTAGTCGTCTTGACTTCTTTCTTATGTCATTCTCGTTGGCACCAAAAGTTTAAAAAGTGTTGATAGGGGACAGAATGCGGTCGGACCATCATATAATTGGCATATACATTACTCTTACTGCATTTCCACGTGGGCGAGGATATTGGAAATGTAATCAAAGCCTATTGGATGATAACTTGTTTTTAACTAGGACAGAGGAATTTATAACAGATTTTTTCCCAACATAACATAGGTACAGCAAATCCCCTTATTGTATGGGACACCTTTAAATGTGCCTTTAGAGGCCATGCAATTCAGTACTCATCTCGAAAACAAAAGCAATTTAGGTCGAAAGAGTCCATACTAACAAAGGAAATAGAAGGTCTAACAGAACAGATAGCAATAAATACTGTAACATAGAGGCTCAGAATAAATTAGAGGAAAAACTAAAAGAAATGGAGAAAATTATTCAAGAAAGATCAAGTGCAATATATTATAAAAATAAAGCAAACTGGATGGAATATGGGGAAAAATGCACCAAATTCTTTTTTAATCTTCAACATAGGAATGCTACCAATAAATTATTTACTGAAACTGGTTACAAATGACGGAGTCACCCATGATTCACCAAATTCTATTTTGAAGGAGGAAACCAAGTACTTGTTTTCCCCTGTAGCTCAGTTGGTAGAGCATGGCGCTTGCAACGCCAGGGTTGTGAGTTCGTTTCCCACGGGGGGCCAGTATGAAAATGTATGCACTCACTAACTGTAAGTCGTTCTGGATAAGAGCATCTGCTAAATGACTAAAATGTAAAATGTTTTCATTTCAGTCTCCATCTCCTCTAACTGAAGCTAATTGTAGAGATTTTTTTTCTATTGATAATGTTAAATTAACAGCCATACAGAAAGACTCATGTGAAGGTGAAATTACAGAGGAGGAACTTCTGGATGCAATTAAAGACTTTAAGTCCGGGAAAACTCCAGGGTTGAATGGCATACCAGTCGAGGTATACCAAACCTTTTTTGATATACTGTACTCAGAAGACCGTTATTAGCATGTTTTAACCTGTGATGAGTGTGATTAGAAGGAGTCAGGCGCAGGAGGGTAAATCACAGAATACAGAGTTTATTCCGTCGTACACAGTTGCGCTGGATAGCGACAACAAAATACAGGCACAGGGGAACAATCTACCCCGGCAATACAAGGTACGGGTAGCTCCAACAAAATACAGGCACAGGGGAATAATCTACCATGGCAATACAAGGTACAAGTAGCTCCACCGAGCTACACTCAACTCACATAAAACAATCACCCACAAGGACAAGGGGGCAGAGGGAACACTTATACACAGACCAATGAGGGGATATGAACCAGTTGTGTGTAATTGACAAGACAAATGGAATGATGATATATGGAGCGGCAGTGGCTAGTAAGCCGGTGACGACGAACGCCGAAGCCTGCCCGAACAAGGAGGGGAGGCAGCCTCGGCGGAAGTCGTGACATAACCTCTCCTACGTAAATGGTAGATTATTAGACACTCAAGAAGAAGGTCTGATTTCATTATTACTGAAACAGGATACAAGTGGAAAATATAAAGATCCAGTCCATTAAAAAAATTGGAGGCCCCTTACACTTCAGTGTTGTGATGCAAAAATTCTAGCAAAATGTATAGCGCATAGAATTAAAAAGGTATTGTCGGACATTATTCATTCTAATCAGATAGGTTTTTTACATGGACGATACATTGGAGATAATATAAGGCAAGTACTGGAAACAATAGAACACTATGAAAAATCTGGGAAACCAGGCCTGCTATTCATAGCAGACTTCGAAAAGGCATTTAATAAAGTACAACTGGGGTTTATATATACAGTGGGGGGGATAAAGTATTTAGTCAGCCACCAATTGTGCAAGTTCTCCCACTTAAAAAGATGAGAGAGGCCTGTAATTTTCATCATAGGTACACGTCTACTATGACAGACAAATTGAGAAAGAAAAATCCAGAAAATCACATTGTAGGATTTTTAATTAATTAATTTGTAAATTATGGTGGAAAACAAGTATTTGGTCACCTACAAACAAGCAAGATTTCTGGCTCTCACAGACCTGTAACTTCTTCTTTAAAAGGCTCCTCTGTCCTCCACTCGTTACCTGTATTAATGGCACCTGTTTGAACTTGTTATCAGTATAAAAGACACCTGTCCACAACCTCAAACAGTCACACTCCAAACTCCACTATGGCCAAGACCAAAGAGCTGTCAAAGGACACCAGAAACAAAATTGTAGACCTGCACCAGGCTGGGAAGACTGAATCTGTAATAGGTAAGCAGCTTGGTTTGAAGAAATCAACTGTGGGAGCAATTATTAGGAAATGGAAGACATACAAGACCACTGATAATCTCCCTCGATCTGGGGCTCCACGCAAAATCTCACCCTGTGGGGTCAAAATGATCAGAAGAACGGTGAGCAAAAATCCCAGAACCACACGGGGGGACCTAGTTAATGACCTGCAGAGAGCTGGGACCAAAGTAACAAAGCCTACCATCAGTAACACACTACGCCGCCAGGGACTCAAATCCTGCAGTGCCAGACGTGTCCCCCTGCTTAAGCCAGTACATGTCCAGGCCCGTCTGAAGTTTGCTAGAGTGCATTTGGATGATCCAGAAGAGGATTGGGAGAATGTCATATGGTCAGATGAAACCAAAATATAACTTTTTGGTAAAAACTCAACTCGTCGTGTTTGGAGGACAAAGAATGCTGAGTTGCATCCAAAGAACACCATACCTACTGTGAAGCATGGGGGTGGAAACATCATGCTTTGGGGCTGTTTTTCTGCAAAGGGACCAGGACGACTGATCCGTGTAAAGGAAAGAATGAATGGGGCCATGTATCGTGAGATTTTGAGTGAAAACCTCCTTCCATCAGCAAGGGCATTGAAGATGAAACGTGGCTGGGTCTTTCAGCATGACAATGATCCCAAACACACCGCCCGGGCAACGCCCGGGCAACGAAGGAGTGGCTTCGTAAGAAGCATTTCAAGGTCCTGGAGTGGCCTAGCCAGTCTCCAGATCTCAACCCCATAGAAAATCTTTGGAGGGAGTTGAAAGTCTGTGTTGCCCAGCGACAGCCCCAAAACATCACTGCTCTAGAGGAGATCTGCATGGAGGAATGGGCCAAAATACCAGCAACAGTGTGTGAAAACCTTGTGAAGACTTACAGAAAACGTTTGACCTGTGTCATTGCCAACAAAGGGTATATAACAAAGTATTGAGACACTTTTGTTATTGACCAAATACCAAATACTTATTTTCCACCATAATTTGCAAATAAATAAATAAAAAATCCTACAATGTCATTTTCTGGCGTAAAAGTAACACCGCATTTCAGAAAAAGAACATCATACCAACAGTAAAATATGATGGTGGTAGTGTGATGGTCTGGGCCTGGGCCTGTTTTGCTGCTTCAGGACCTGGAAGACTTGCTGTGATAAATGGAACCATGAATTCTGCTGTCTACCAAAAAATCCTGAAGGAGAATGTCCGGCCATCTGTTTGTGGCCTCAAGCTGAAGCGAACTTGGGTTCTGCAGCAGGACAATGATCCAAAACACACCAGCAAGTCCACCTCTGAATGGCTGAAGAAAAACAAAATGAAGACTTTGGAGTGGCCTAGTCAAAGTCCTGACCTGAATCCTATTGAGATGCTGTGGCATGACCTTAAAAAGGCAGTTCATGCTCAAAAACCCTCCAATGTGGCTGAATTACAACAATTCTGCAAAGATGAGTGGGCCAAAATTCCTCCACAGCGCTGTAAAAGACTCATTGCAAGTTATCGCAAACGCTTGATTGCAGTTGTTGCTGCTAAGTGTGGCCCAACCAGATATTAAGTTGTAGGGGGAAATCACTTTTTCACACAGGGCCATGTGGGTTTGGATTTTGTTTTCCCTTAATAATAACAACCTTCATTTCAAAACTGCATTTTGTGTTATCTTTGACTAATATTTAAATTTGTTTGATCTGAAACATTAAAGTGTGACAAACATGCAAACAAATAAGAAATCAATAAGGGGGCAAACACTTTTTCACACCACTGTGTGTGTGTATATATATATATATATATATATATGTGTGTGTGTGTGTATATATATATATATATTTGCAAGAAAGAAAAACATATGGGGAATTGGAAGTGATGCAGACAATTACATTGATGGAAGTTACAATCTATCTGCAATATTAAAGCTGATCTACCCCCTTAAAAAATAATCATAATATATATTACCAGAGCATTATCACAATTCTCCTAAATTCACCATAGCTATAATGAAATCAAAATACACAGTCTTAAATGGTTAAGTAACTGAATAAGGTATTCGATCCTGTTTGGTAAGTGATGGTTCCCTTTTCTGTTTCAATGTCTTTCTTGAGCAAATTAGCTTGTTTAGGTAACAGGCAAACACATACTTTGGTTTTTATCCATAGCCTAGCCACTGAGCCAAACTTGTCATTCTGGCCATTGGGGATAACCCATGTGAATAGTAAAGCTGGATATTTGGAATAAGATATACTTTATTAGTCCACGCGAGATGGACATTTGTCTTCTGCTTTCTTGGAATTAAACATTGAGTAATCTTATATGCTTTGTCTTATTCCTTGTAAAATGATAACTGCATGAAATACAAAAGTTGACAACCTTGCCTGGTAATGTGGAATACTTTTATAAGTAGCAGGCAAGCTGTGGTCGTGTTCCCCTGCTCAGTTGTTGCACGCATCCATCAATGGTTGCCTGGCACATTGACTGTCGTCAACTTGACAGCTTGCTGTATTGTGTTTTGCTGATACGTAAAACCTATCCAGGCGTTGTAAGATCTGGCAGCAACGCCTAGGCAGAGGAACGTGCCCTATATCATTTGCAGTGGTGTAAAGTACTTAAGTAAAATTACTTTAAAGTACTACTTAAGTAGTTTTTGGGGGTATCTGTACTTTACTATTTATATTTTTGACAACTTTTACTTTTACTTCACTACATTAAAGAAAATAATGTACTTTTTACTCCATACATTTCCCCTGACACCCAAAAGTACTCGTTACATTTTGAATGCTTAGCAGGACAGGAAATTGGTCCAATTCACACACTTATCAAGAGAACATCCCCGGTCTTCCCTACTGCCTCTGATCTGGAAGACTCACTAAACACAAATGCTTTGTTTGTAAATTATGTCTGAGTATGCCCCTGACTAAAAAACAAGAAAATGGTGCGGTCTGGTTTGCTTGTGTAAGGAATTTGAAATTATTTATACCTTTACTTTTGATACTTAAGTATATTTAAAACCAAATGCTTGTAGACTTTTACTCAAGTAGTATTTTACTGGGTAACTAACTTTTACTTGAGTCATTCTCTGTTAAGGTGTCTTTACTTTAGTAAAAGTAAAGACAATTGGGTACTTTTTCCACCACTGATCATTTGAGCTTCATTGATGCAGGCAAGCCTATAAAATTGTTAACATTGTATCAATAGTGCTCTTGAATGAAACTTGCAATAAAACATGTTGTCAAGCCTGTAAAATGGTAATGTTATATTTTGGCAAGCCTCAAATTGTAACATATCAGTGTATCACTTTCTGGATGTTGCAAGTGCAGGTTCTGCCCATTTTGTATGTCCATTCGGCAATATTACCCCCTGCCCAAAATGTAACTTTTCTGAAACGATTAATCATGATTAAAGCCAAGGGCAGTGTTCCGTTGTTGGTTGATTAATTAATTAGAAGGTGCAATGTTTGTAAAACAAAATCAATTCAGCTGTTCCTATGTGTGTAGTGTACTGTAGTGAGTAACTAATCACGGGACGCCGTTTGCTATGTGGTTGTTCACTTAGGTCGAACTGCAGTGAGCACTGATCTATAAATCATCTCGTGCTGCCTGTAAAAGCAGTAATCAATGGCAGGGAAGTATAATCCTTATGACATAAAGATCAGCGAGTCTGCGCCGCGCCTGCGCCTTGTTCAGGTTGACCCTCGTGGTGAAACAGTATAAAAATCACACCCAGTTCCTAAGAAGTCATATGATTGATCTTTTTCAACATGGCTCGAGCACTGTTGTTATTCGTGTTTATGGTGTCAGGTGTCTTTGCTGGACGCTACTTTAACGAAAAACAGCCTTGCTATAGACCCAAGCTGAACAAACACGATGGATTCAGGTAACTTTAGCCGGGATGTCTTCTATCACCTAATTTGATATGTTTGCTGTCTAGTGATTACTCTCGAGCTATAAATAGTAGCTAGTTGTTGCAACATGATTGTAGTAGTAGATTTTTTTTTTTCCCCACGGCTGTGTCTACAGATAGTCAGTTATTATGTATGGGCGCAACACTGCATTTTATATATATATATATAAAAATAGCCATCTATGGGAAGTAGGGCAAGCGCATGCTTATCTTTTGCCTCTAGTGGTTTCAACTGTGTAGTGTTGATGTTTGTGTGTGTGTTGTTCAGGCGGACATTGCCTGCATGTTCTGCACTCAACTGATATTATTAGTTAGTCACTGAGTGAGTTTGTTGTCCATAATACTTACAATAATACATTACCAAACAAACTCTTTAATCCCTCCTCTCAGCCCATCCCTCCTATCACGATAGATCACCCTCGTTTGGTTTACATGTGCCATATATTTTTCAATTGTGCTGTGATGTTTTACAAACATTTTGAACCTTTCTAATTGTATAGTATCCACAGATTGTGAGCTAAAGATGACAACCTTTCTTACGAGTATTATTATATTATTTATAGACTGACTATGGCTTTATTTTACCAATCCTGAACTAGTATCCAGAAACAAGCTACATAGGGAAAATACCAGAATAAATGATCTCGTTCTCTTCGCAGCAAAATCTACAGAGCTGAGATTGTTGTATGCCCCATATGAGCTATATATAATTCTGTTGGTGACAAGAATTTTGTATAATTTAGATTCAAAAACTCGAAGTGTTGACTCGTGTTTTTTGTACCACTTCATAAACCATGTGCCATGGAATCGGTACATCGCAAATCTCTCATTTATTTTGCAACCTGTATGGCGCAGCTGTCAACATTTCTGTCCACAAATGAAACTGGTATATTTTTCTATTTATGTTAACTCCTTTCAGCCAGTTTGTATCTTTTAATAAATGGCAGGCAAACAAGTTCCGTACCTCTTTCCACTTGCCTCCATTTGTATGGTAATTCTGCTCTCAGTTGGTTATACGTTTTGGATTGAGCAGACATTCCCATATATTTTCGATAGCTGCATATGTGACAACTCCAGTTTATATTCTTCATATCATTAATAAATATAATACACATTTAACTTTTTTTCCCATAAACAATGGTTTTTATTAATCAGTATATTTGCGTTTAACCTTAACATTTATTTGATATTTTCTGGAGGATAAAACGGAAATTGTAACCAGCTTTGTATGGCTTGTTTAAGAAAGGGCGATACTATAAACAAAATGTCATTTTCAATTAGTCGGAAATGAGAAGTTGTAATCTGTATAAAGGCCATTTTTGAACAAAGGATGAGCCTCCCAATCAACACCATTATCCCAGAAACCCTAGACCCACTCCAATTTGCATACCGCCCCAACAGATCCACAGATGATGCAATCTCTATTGCACTCCACACTGCCCTTTCCCACCTGGCCAAGAGAATGCTATTCATTGACTACAGCTCAGCGTTCAACACCATAGTGACCTCAGCTCATTACTAAGCTAAAGACCCTGGGACTAAACACCTCCCTCTGTAACTGGATCGGATCCTGGACTTCCTAACGGGCCGCCCCCAGGTGGTAAGGGTAGGTAATACATCTGCCACGCTGATCCTCAACACGGGGGCCCCTCAGGGGTGCGTGCTCAGTCCCCTCCTGTACTCCCTGTTCACTCATGACTGCATGGCCAGGCACGACTCCAACACCATCAAGTTTGCCCACGACAACAGTGGTAGGCCTGATCACCGACAACTATGAGACAGCCTATAGGGAGGTCAGAGACCTGGCCGTGTGGTGCCAGGATAACAACCTCTCCCTCAACGTGATCAAGACAATGGAGATGATCGTGGACTACAGGGGGGAAAACAAGGACTGAGCACGCCCCCATTCTCATCGACGGGGCTGTAGTGGAACAGGTTGAGAGCTTGCGTTCCTTGGTGTCCACATTACCAACAAACTATCATGGTCCAAACACACCAAGACAGTCGTGAAGAGGGCATGACAAAGCCTATTCCCCCTCAGGAGACTGAAAAGATTTGGCATGGGTCCTCAGATCCTCAAATTCTACAGCTGCACCATCGAGCGCATCCTGACTGGTTGCATCACTGCCTGGTATGGCAACTGCTCGGTCTCCGACCGCAAGGCACTACAGCGGGTAGTGCGTACGGCCCAGTACATCACTGGGGCCAAGCTTCCTGCCATCCAGGACCTCTATACCAGGCGTTGTCAGGAAGGCCCTAAACATTCAGACTCCAGCCACCCTAGTCATAGACTGTTCTCTGTTACCGCATGGCAAGCGGTACCGGAGCGCCAAGTCTAGGTCCAAAAGGCTTCTTAACAGCTTTTACCCCCAAGCCATAAGACTCCTGAACAGCTAATCATGGCTACCCGGACAAGTATTTACCTCTCCATGGTTGCAGAATCTTATCTATTTTTGCATACTTTCTATTGAAATTGATTGTGAGTTCATTTATATTTTGAGATGGTGAAGTAGACATACTTGGTATTCACATCTGCCCATTTTATTGGTAATCTACAAGGTAGTGTAAACACTGTCCTCTTTAACGATCCAATACGTAATATGGTACACTTGTCATAATTAGGTTTTAGTCCAGAGAGGCTAGAAAAGTGATCAAGATCTTCAATGAGACTGGGCAGGGATCCAGATAACTTGAGTCGTCGGCATACATTGACACTTTTTTGTTATTGTTCCCTGGATTTCTAACCCCTTGATGTTCTTGTTGAATCTAATTTTAATAGTTAGCGTTTCAATGGCCATAATAAATAGATATGGAGACAACGGACAGCCTTGTTTTACTCATCTTAAAAGCTCAATACTTTCTGAGAAGTAACCATTTATTTATTATTTTACATTTGGGGTTGCTGTACATAACATTAACCCATTGTATAAGAGATTTACCGAAATTAAAGTAATCCAGGCATTTATATATAAATTCTAGTCGTACTTTATCAAATGCCTTTTCAAAATCTGCTATGAAGATCAGGCCTGCTATCTTTGTTTCATAATGTTCAATTGTTTCAAGTAATTGTCGTATATTATCTCCAATATATCGTCCATGTAAAAAACCTGTCTGATCAGGATGAACATCTGGTGTAACTTTTTTTTATTCTATGTGCTATGCATTTCGCCAGGATTTTCACATCACAACATTTTAAGTGTAAGAGGCGTCCAGTTGATTTCATTAGTAGTAATGAAATCAGACCTTGTTGAGTACCTGAAAGTCTACCATTTTTATAGGAGTAATTAAAACATGCTGATGTATCTTTTGGGTACATTAAATAAAGGTCTGATATACCTCTACTGGTATACCATCAAGCCCTGGTGTTTTTCCAGACTGAAAATATTTAATTGCCTCAAGTTCCTCTTCTGTAAGTTGGCCTTCACACCTGTCTTTCTGTAAATTGTTGTATTATTAGGAAAGAAATCCTTACAGTTAACATCATTCAGTGGAAATGGAGGAGACTGAAAAGAAAACGTATGCTTAAAATATTTTGGTTCCTCTTTTTGGTAGCATTTCTATGACGATTCCAGAGACGTTTTGTGCATTCTTCACATTTTTTTCTATCCAATTCTCATTATTTTCGTAATACATTACACTTAATCGTTCTTGAATAAGTACCTCCGATTCTTTTTGTTTTTCCTCAACCCTATTTTGTACCTATAGTACAGTTTCCATTACCATCTATCTGTGCTGTTATTTCCTTTAGTCTAGTCCCTTTTGCTCTAAACTGCTTTTGCTTTAATGATGAGTATTGTTTGGCCTCAAAGTACAATTTTAAGTGTCCCATACAATAAGGGGATCTGCTGTACCTATGTTGTGCAGGAAAAAAGTCAATTATGAATTATTTTGTCTTAGTTAAGAACAAATTGTCATCAATAGGATTTGATTAAAATGTCCAATATTCACGTGGAAATTCTGTAAGAGTTAGATGGTGGGCCGACCTCGTTAGGTCTATTAATACCTTTTATTTTTACTTTTGATACCAGCGAGAATGAGACCAGGAAGTAATCAAGACTGCTAGCATGATTTAAGCCTCCATGTATATCTCACTAGGTCAGGGTAGCCTCCATATATCCACTAGTTCCAATGTATTCGTGTTCTCCTAAAGTGCTTGAGGGTGATAGTTTGTACTGTGTTTTCCTTTACGAACCATTGAGGTACTTAAATGTGTATATAATCTCCCACCATAATAGACTCATTCGTTGCTTGTGAGCTCAATAGATTATTATCTATATTTTCGAGGAAATGTGGATCATCATTATTTGGCCCATATAGATTAATTAGCCAGATCTGTTTTTGGTCCAATAGCATATCTAAAATAATCCCTCTTTCTTGAGTATCTGTTTGCACAATCGAATCAACATTTTTATTACATTTTAGTCATTTAGCAGACGCTCTTATCCAGAGCGACTTACAGTTAGTGAATACATTTTTTTTTTTTTTTTTACTGGCCCCCCGTGGGAATCGAACCCACAACCCTGGCGTTGCAAACGCCATGCTCTATCAACTGAGCTACATCCCTGCCGGCCATTCCCTCCCCTACCCTGGACGACGCTGGGCCAATTGTGCGCCGCCCATATTAATTGGTATAATCACCCCTTTTGAGTTTCTTTGCCCATTACAAAAATATATTTCTCCCTCCAGTCCTTTTTCCACCCTACCTCATCTATATTTGGAGAGTGAGTTTCCTATAAACAATAGATATTATGTTCTTTTGTTTTTAGCCAGGTAAAAATTGAAATCTGCTAAGCCATTACAATTGTAACTGCCTATACTTATTTCCCCACTAACCATAATGATACCCATGTTTCAATTATACTTACCACAACCAGGTAGCTTAGTGGTTAAGAGCGTTGTGCCAGTAAACGAAAGGTCGCTGGTTCTAATCCCCGAGCCGACTAGGAGAAAAATCTGTCTGTGCCCTTGAGCAAGGCACTTAACCCTAATTGCTCCTGTAAATCGCTCTGGATTAGAGCGTCTGCTAAATGACTGAAATGTAAACTTACCATTAAAAAGCACCATGATGATTAAGTGTCCCTATAGCTGCAATTTTTTTAAACTTCCAATTTTCCTAATATTCCACCCACTAAACCCCCCCCCCCCATATCTCGGTCTGTCACTAAGACCATCTCCCTGACTCATGACGCACCTTTGCGTCCTAAGGTAATTGGCGTAGGCCAGAGGGAAATATGGCCAGTCCCATGAGAACATAATTCAATACTGCCACCCATCACACTACCCATAAAGGAATACCTAAGTTTAACTTACAATCGACTGCCATGGCATGAGCGCCAAGAATACATGCAGTACTGACAATCCAGAGCGCGTAAAACCAACCCTCTCGCCACCCACACACATTTTGTATTTATTCCAGGGTCGTTGCTCTATCACCTCGGCTGTTTTACACCTATATCACTAGTATCAACCATATAAAAGGTAGCGTAAAATAGCTTATATAGAATTATAAACTGGGTGGTTCGAGCCCTGAATGCTGAGCGGCGTGGTATCAGACCGTATACCACGAGTATGTCAGCATTTTATTTTTACTGCTCTAATTATGATGGTAACCAGTTTTTATAATAGCAATAAGGCACCTTGGTTTGTGGTATATTGCCAACACACAACAGCCTGAATAAAATAAAAAAATAAATGTTAACCCCTCAAGTGTTATTCAGAGGCTATCCAAAGTTTGAAATCAATTAAGCAATCAAAGCCGAGGGTGGAGACAAGGGTTCTGACTTGTCTGTGGGTGGAAGGAGATGACAGTAGTATGGGCAGAATTTGTTTGTGACCTGTCATTTAAAGTGAATCATCCCATTTTGCTATTGGGCACTCAATACTACCCCCCTGAATATATAATTTGACAAAACTGGATGTCTCCAGAAACATGCATGGCCCTTTTCAGGGGTAGTTGAGTTTTGAAAGAATGCTTGTGCTTGGAGAGGCAGATCTGCCAAGCTCGATCTGGTCAGGTTTTGCATTGTCCCATCGTGCTATGGGGCCTTTATGAGTGCTTATATTCGTCATGCTTGCAGAGTCTGTTTGTGCCGCTCTACATTTAGAATTCTATCTAGAGAACCTTATACCCTGATGTCATGTCATCAGGACGATGCCCCGACCCCACGAGTTTCTTGAACTCAATGAGCTCCCCAAGGCCTGGGACTGGAGGAACATCAACGGCACCAACTACGTCAGCACTACCCGCAACCAGCACATCCCCCAGTACTGTGGCTCCTGCTGGGCACACGGCAGCACCAGCGCCATGGCAGGTAGCCTAACCTCCAGCTCGCCTTTCTGCTGTCAGACTTGTACAGCTCATAGAAATGAACAAAGCATACAGTTTACTTGGTACTTTACAGATTATTTTGCATCTGAAAGGAACACGGCACAAATGGACAGGATGAAGATCAGACTGTAAAATGCTATTCTATTTGGCCATGGATGTCTGCAGACTTTTGACAAGTTACAACAGTGTTGCAAAGCTTGGTAATTCATCTTCAAGATGACTGTCATAAAGATGGTTTACCAATCTAAAGTCACTTGGAAACTAGATTTTATAACGTAGATGGAGTAAATATTGCAATTGTTCAAACATGAATACCTGTCAGGCATTTAACACGACTCACTCACTGACTCAAATTCCGGGGGGGGGGGGGGGGGTGTATGGCAGGGAAGTTTGTGGCAACCCCTGAATGTGCTGGCATGTGCAGTTGAAGCTTCATGGTTTCCTGTAAATCAGTTTATTATTATTTTAGAATGCAAAGGTAATTTCCTCATTTGCACATACAAGTAGTCCTTTATCATAATACAATGACTTCAGAATGCTGGAGTTGTCCTTACTACTAAGTTTGGTGACTTGCAACATTAATGAGCAGATTCTGGAACAAGTACTGAATTAATGGACTGGTTTTTGGTGTGCTCCTTTTGTCAGATCGCATAAACATCAAGCGGAAGGGAGCCTGGCCCTCTGCCTATCTGTCAGTCCAGAATGTGGTGGACTGTGGCGAGGCTGGCTCCTGTCATGGAGGTGATCACTCTGGGGTGTGGGAGTACGCCAACAAACATGGCATCCCTGACGAGACCTGCAACAACTACCAGGCCAAGGATCAGCGTAAGGCCTCAATAACTTATCTCCCAGCTGATCATTCACTTTACTTGGTTGAACAGTCTTTCCCATTATAGATTTGGCCACAAGACTTTGTCACACAATTAAGATTGATGTGGTTAATTTGCCATTTCTCAGACTTCCCATGTTCTCCATATTGTCTTGCAGAGTGCAAACCGTTCAACCAGTGTGGAACCTGCACCACATTCGGGGTCTGCAACATCATCCAGAACTACACCCTGTGGAAGGTCGGAGACTTCGGTGCTGTCAGTGGGAGGGAGAAGATGATGGCTGAGATCTACGCTGGCGGACCGATCAGGTTAAGAACTGGACTTGGTCAACATGGGCTGTGTCCCAAAAGGCACCCTTTTCACTATATAGTGTAGGGAATGGGGTGCCATTTGGAACTGGACTGAGTCAACATTGTGACTGTTTCTCTTCTCATGAGCTCCACCTGTCCGGACGGTGTATGGATTTGCATGAGAAGTAGAGCCAAGTCAGTCAAACGGGCACCTACCTCTACCTCCGTGGCAGTTTGCCCATGTCTGACGTGAAACAAAATGACTGTAGTAGCACTATGATTTAAGTTAGTGAAGGAGCCATTCATTTTGTGTGGAGTTGGCGCTTAATTTTCATTGGCTTACTGCAGAAATGCAACTCATTCCAAGTATTCTCTTTCCCTTCCTGCTCCTCCAAAAACATACACAAAAGTGTCGCTTTAACTAAATAGTCGCCATATTTTTTTTTTGTCCTTGGTAGCTGTGGGATCATGGCGACGGACAAGTTGGATGCCTACACTGGAGGCCTGTACTCTGAGTATGTAGAGGAGCCCTACATCAACCACATTGTGTCCGTTGCCGGCTGGGGCATGGATGAGACTGGTGTGGAATTCTGGATCGTCCGCAACTCATGGGGAGAGCCCTGGGTAAGATCCTTATCAAATGAACACTATGCATGCCATATTATATCTATCTGGTAGTCTGTAGTGATCTTGCATGGAAACTACAACAGATAATCCTGTTCTGCTACAGAATTGCATTGTGATCAAGATGAGGCAACAAACCTAGCCTATAGCTTTTACAATGAATAGCAAAATCACAAGAATGGCTTCAAATCAAAGTCTACGTTGAGACCGACGGGAGCAAGGGTCTTTAAATTAAAGTTCCAGGCAGCCTCTCGTTTTAACAATAAGTTGTTGAGGTCACCCCCTCTCCTAGGGAGGGTGACATGTTCGATGCCGATATAACGTAGGGACGAAATTGAGTGGTTTGCTTCCAGAAAGTGGGCAGCGACTGGGTATGTCGAGTTTTTGCACCTAATGGTGCTACGATGCGCCGAGATTCGTACTTGCGCTTTGTTTTACCCACATCATTTTTACCACAAGGACAAGTTATAAGCTAAGTAACAGCCTTAGTGGAGCACATAATAACACCTTTGATTGGGATCCGTTTCCCTGTTTGGGGGTGTTTTGAAGGATCTACATTTGTAAGTGCCATTGCATTGAGCGCAGCCGTTACACTTGTAGTTTCCATCCGGTAGAGGCGCAAATAGACGTTGTGCAGGGATATTTAGGGGTGGTAACTTGACTTCTTCAACTTGACTTTCTATTGCTCATGTACCTTAAAGCATATTTATCTAGCTGAAACTCCAGATTTGAGGTAGTTTCTGTTTTCTTGCCAGGGTGAGAAGGGCTGGTTGAGGATCGTGACCAGCGCCTACAAGGGAGGAAGTGGCAGTCAGTACAACCTGGCCCTGGAGGAAGACTGCATGTACGGAGATCCCATCGTTCCCAAGGCCTACCTGTAGACCACAGGCAGTGGGGCCAACCAGTTTATTTTAAAGACCAGAAGCTGTCTATTCTATGCATATCTACAGTTTTCTATGACTATCTCAGGCTACGTCCACATTTTAACACTGTACTACTGTAAAATCAGGAAAAGGGAATAAATATCAGGTTCTTTTATTTTTATATATTTGCATTGAAAAGTTCTTCCTTTTTTTTTTACATGTTCGTTTGTGATATTTTTCTTAAACAATGTGACAGAACAAGCCACTATGTGCTTTGCCTTTGGAACAAGTACAAATGCAGATGCCCACAATATTAGGTGCACAATTAGCCAAAGATCTCAATGCCAGTAAGAAAACAAATTTATGCTGTAAATGTTGGGTGAAGTGGTAGTGTTGCTCAATTCAGATGCCACATGTCTTTTGTTCTATGCTAATTAACTGAATGATTGTATCAGTATTCCCACAGGAAGGCATGACATCTATGGTGTGACTTCAGTGCCAACAGATGTTATTTGAATTACACAATTTTGTATTAGATTATTGATTTTAATGATTCAACTTGTGCATTCAATTCAAATATTGACATCATAAATTGAACTTGTATTTTAAATTGAGTTGAGTCAATATTGCGCTTTAAAAAGTAAATATTTGAGTTTCAAGATGGTAGATTGCTTTCATTGTCTGTGAAGTTTACAAACTAACACTTCAAGTTCATCAGTTTCATATGTTCAACATCTCAGATGCATTCAGATTTAAAACCAGAGACCACATCCTTTGCCTGCCAGGAAGGGTAGCGAACCGAGCGACTCAAACACTCACTGTGGTAAACTGACACTTCTGGCGGTTTCTGAAGCCAATGTGGCATGTTGAATTTTCTTCCTAGCATTTGAACCGTTTAGGCTATTATGACCCCATTCCTGAAAGCTAAGACTCTCTGGAACATGGACCTGCATTCTAGTTCCCTCTGATCACAGGCTGCGTCAGAAGGGAGTGTCACAAACTGCAATTTGGCCCCAGAAGGATAGCCTTTCCACTCCCTATTTAATCTTGTGACTGACTGGGTTCGAACCAGGTCTCCTGCATGTCACAAGACTGTTAGCCCACTTAGATAAAGCCTATAGGGATAAGTTCATGTAAAGGACAACATGCTGCTTGCTTAACGAGTCCCGCTTCCCCCTGATTCAGCGCATACCGACACTCGAACTCAGGACCTCCGCCTCACAAACACGCATGACCACCCTCCTGAAGTGTTCTAACCCACCGTACTATTGAAAATGGCGTTCTTCAGTTGCGCAAGGGTCGGCACTTCAGGCTGAGTGAGTTTCACAGATCCACATCTGCGACACAAGTCTTCAACATCCAGCAAGGTTACTCATCAAAAGAGCGTGGTTTGGTGATCCAAGCTTATGTGATGAGAACCTTGCCTGAAGACGTTAGTTTCACGTCTCTGGCAAAGGTAGTCATAAGGTTAACATGTGACTGACTGGGTTAAGACTGTTAGCCTGTTGAGCTAAAGGCATTGGTCATGTGACTTAGATGGGTCTCTTCAAGGAGAATGTCAAAGGGGGTTGAAGTGTAACAGGTGGTTCGGTGACCATGATCATGTGATGCATAACATATCGGAGACCTGAAAAGTTGCATTGTCTGGCACACAGGAGACCTGAGTTAGAACCCCATCAAACTAACATGTCTTCAGGTCTCAGACAAGGTTGCTCATCACATGCATTGATCACCAAACCACCTCTGTTGCACTCATTAAATTAGGTGCACTGATCCTTCTGCTTGTTTGCCACAAAGTGTTGCGCAGTAGGCCTGATTTTAGAACCCAGTCACTTATATTGGTGCTGTGATCTGAGTATGAGGTCAAAGGGGGGTGAAATGTGAGGTGGTTCGATGAACCACACTTATTTAATGAGTAACCTTGCTGGAGACTTGAAGACTTGTGTTCGCTAAAGCCCGTAGGGATGAGTTCAGGAAGCTAAGTGGGCTTACAGTCTTGACATGCAGGAGAACTGGCTCAAACCCAGGTCAGTCATAAGAGCAAGATTTAATAGGGAGTGGAAAGGATATCCTTATTAGGGCTATTCAACTGTTTTCTTATGGGGGCCAAATTGTGGTTTTTGTGACTCCCTTCTAAATCATGAAATACAAGTTCAATTTATGAATTAAATGATAGAATTTGCATTACAAATTCAAAAATATTAAATTCAAATCCAAAATGTTGGAATTTAAAATACAATTTCTGTTGGCACTGAAATTGCTCCATCAATCTCAATGCAGTTTACTTTTTAAAGGTAATTTACGCTTGTCTTCCATGGCGTTTTTCGCAAATGTGATCTCTACTAACATCAGAAATTGTGCAATGTGTTGGCACTAGTGATGTGCTTGAATAGAGGCCAGATGGAAACTTGTTTTGATATTTGATTAATTTTCTGAAACTTTAACTTTCCTTGAACCACCTCAAAGGAAATGATGCAGAATGGTGGATGAATGGAACTCATTGTCTTGTCGTATAAATACACCGGTGATCTACACTTACCAATGTACAATTAACTGTCACTAGGTGTGACACTAATAAAACCAAGATTTGTGTCAAGATTCTTGTCAAATTGAAAAAGGGGAACTATGAAACAGGCCCAACCTTTAGAGTGTAAATTTCAACAAACCTTTTGAGCAGTCAGTCATATTTTAACATTTATAAAAAGCAACAGAAAATGGACAGTGAAACCTTGGCACATACCAATGGAAACTACAATGAAACCAATGATGGAGCAGCACTGTAAAACAAGTTCTCCTCAAACCCCCAGACACTTATTAACTGTGATAAGCAATGATACACTACTACATCCTTTTAATTCTCAAAGTAATTTGTGTTTACGCCACATTTGAAGAGAACTCAATCGCAAGGTCAAAGTCTATATGCAAATTGCCTCAAATTTGACAATGTTCCATTCCTCGTCCACCAGTCCAGAGCAGAACACGTCCAGGGATGATTGGCTCATAACCAAGAGCATCTGCCCCTCCCTGGTCTTCCCGCTATATCCTCATCCAAGGTAGACCAACCATCGTCATTCTCAGTTCATCATGATGAAGTTGGATTTGCAGTGAGCTGAAACAGAGCAGAAAGATAATTATATTTAGTCATATAATCAATATGTAGATAGTTTTGGGCCATGAAAAACATGGTATAAGAGACTGACCTATGAATTCAGCAACAGGATCGTGTTCTCCCTCTGTGCGGATGGTGCCAGCGATGCTGTCATTCTCCAGGATGGGCAGGAACAGCTGGACAAAGTCTGACGTGTACGGAGGGGCAATCACATCCAACACCTGATAGGGCAAACAGAAATATAAATATTTTCAATTCCACTACCAATTCGTCAAGCGCAACTACGTTGGACCGAACGTTTTTTTTTTTTTATGTTTCACTTCTCTTTAAATGGGACCTCAGTGCCAGTCGTTTCTGGCTCAAAGTGGGCCTTACCTCTGTTACAAAGTAGCGGATGAGAGAGATGTCCGTGTTGAGCTTCTCCAGGCACTTGCGGATATATCCGACCACAGGCAGCACGTAGCCTCGACTCAGCAGGTGGACCATACGATCCAACAGGGTTTTCTTCAGCTCCATCTGACAGGGACAACAACACTCATACAGTCAGCTAAGAAGTAATCCACTGAAAGTCTATGGGGTGATTGCATGGGCTCAGATTAAGCCTACGCACGCATGCAAAACACACACACACCTGCTCCATGACATCGAGCTGGGAGTGTTCTGTCTCAAATAGCTTGATCAGTAGCTGGAGGACCTGTGGGTGCAGGAGCTGGTGACAGGTGCTGATCTGGGGAATAAAAACAAACATGATGTTCTCATTACTCTCTGTCCTTAACACCTGATTGGGGATCAGTCCAAGGCCAGGACTCAATCCGGACTGCAGAAGATCCGCGTTGTAGTGCGGTTAATGTTTAAAGGTAATTTCCGATTGAGCCGACATCTGCAGCGTTTACTTTGAACGCGATCTCTGCGACTGCGGTAACATTGCCTTTAAATGGTGCATAGTTGAAAAGGGGTGATTGGATTGAAACCTGGCCCTAGTCTTTAACCACCAAAACAATTCCAAGAATGACAGTTAAAGGCACAATCTGTGTGTGCGTCCCAAATGGCACCCGATTCACTATATAGTGCACTACTTTGATCCGTTCCAAATGGCACCCCATTTCCTATATAGTACACTACTATCGACCAGGGCACATGGGGCATTAGTAGTGCACTATATAGGTAATAGGGTGCCATTTGGGACTCACATATCACAGGTACTGTGAGTATACCATAATACCACAACAAAATCCTCCCTCAACCAGAGGAAAAGCGCAACCCCTACCTCGTCCAAAAGTGCTAGGTGGACAGGGGTGTGGTCTGTCTGGAGCTGGAAGTAGCGGGGCTCAGAGACCGTCCAATCAACCCACTTCAGTACCCCCATGGCAACAACTGGGAACCTGAAAATGGACATAGTGACGATGGTCACCCAAAGGAAGTCTCAATCGACAGTGGTAACCAATTATATTCTTGGAATCCTGTTAGCTACATATTGGAGACCCATGGGCTCATTAGGTTGGCTGCTGGGCTCACCGGATGCACTGGTACAGGGTGCTGAGCTCAGCCACCAGTTCTGTGGCTCCTTTATTCTCATTGCAACACAGGTTATGGACCGTCTCAATAGCCTTGGAGGTGGACTTGAGCTCGTCCTTGTTGATGTTCACTCGCTTGTTCTGTGGATGGATGAAAAGAGAGCCATACTGTTATCTGGATGTTTTTACTTGGGGAAAAAACAACGTGTCATTGAATAAAATATTCTCACATACCGGTAAAAAAAACATTTCACATTTTGCACACACGTATGAGCTACGACAGAAAATCTGATAAACTTGCTAGTATGAGGGATTTATGTCAAGGATGTTTTTGTTTCTGGTACCTTTTTCCATGTTTCAACCACACTGGCAGCGTAGGCCAGGATGTGAATGTATTTGTGTTTATGGTCCTGGTTGATCTTTGAGCCTGGCTTGAACAGCGACTGCATGAACAGGTCCAGGAACGCAGGCACTCGGATCTGAAGAGACAACAGAAAATACTTCACCCACTCCATCTCAAAAGACAATAGCAACAGCTGAAAGACAAGCAATTCTCTGTTTAGCATCTTGGTAAGGCTAGCCTAGTCCCACATCTGTTTGTGTTTACTGTCACATACAACATGCAAGGCCGTTGAAAATATCCCTCCATCTATTTAACTTGGAGAATAGCACCTTATTCCATATGTAGTGCGCCACTTTTGATCAAAAGTACTGCACTATATAGGGAATAGGGTGCCATTTGGGGCGCAACCTAGGTTAGAGTTTATAAAGTGGCTTGATGCTCCACACTAACCAGCTCTACGGGAGGTGGGTCCATGCTGCTGAACATCTTGAAGAGCACAGTGATGTCGGCAGGGTTGAGTGCCCCTTTGGACAGCATTGCGCCCAGGGCCTGGCAGGCTCGAGGGTAGGCTGCTGCTGTGCCCAATGCCAGAGTGATCTGACTGGCATCATGGCCCCTGAAATTAAAACAACATCACAAGGAACAGTAAAACACTCAAATGAACTTACGTACTTAAACCGCTTTGTTCCTGGAGGAACATATAGACTGTAATAAAATTAGCTACCAACAATATTACAATACCCATTCAGTTGAGAGTGTGATAGTTGAGACCATAATTTCATTACACAGCCTGTTCCACAAAGCTGCTCACTCAATGTTTATTGTAACACTGAATTTTACAAATAATAATAAAATAATTTTAGAAAACGCAGGAATCAATTAAATTAAATACAGTACCAATCCAAAGTTTGGACACCTACTCATTCAAGGGTTTTTCTTTATTTTTACAATTTTCTACATTGTAGAATAATAGTGAAGACATCAAAACTATGATATAACACATATGGAATCATGTAGTAAACAAAAAAGTGTTAAACAAATCAAAATATATTTTATATTTGAGTTTCTTCAAAGTAGCCACCCTTTGCCTTGATGACAGCTTTGCACACTCTTGGTATTCTCTCAACCAGCTTCATGAGGTAGTCACCTGGAATGCATTTCAATTAACAGGTGTGCCTTGTTAAAAGTTAATTTGTGGAATTTATTTCCTTCTTAATGCGTTTGAGCCAATCAGTTGTGCTGTGACAAGATAGGTTTGGTATACAGAAGATAATCCCTATTTGGTAAAATACCAAGTCCATATTATGGCAAGAACAGCTCAAATAAGCAAAGAGAAACAACAGTCCATCAATACTTCAAGACATGAAGGTCAGTCAATCTGGAAAATTTCAAGAACTTGAAAGTTTCTTCAAGTGAAGTCGCAAAAACCATCAAGCGCTATGATGAAAGTGGCTTTCATGAGGACCGCCACAGGAAAGGAAGACCCAGAGTTACCTCTGCTGCAGAGGATACGTTCACTAGAGTTTCCAGCCTCAGAAATTGCAGCCCAAATAAATGCTTCACAGAGTTCAAGTAACAGACATCTCAACATCCACTGTTCAGAGGAGACTGCGTGGATCAGGCCTTCATGGTCGAATTGCTGCAAAGAAACCACTACTAAAGGACACCAATAAGAAGAAGAGACTTGATTGGGCCAAGAAACACAAGCAATGGACATTAGACTGGTGGATTAGTCCAAATTTGAAATGTATGGTTCCAACCGCCGTGTCTTTGTGAGCCGCAGAATAGGTGAACGGATGATCTCCAAAATGTGTGGTTCCCACCGTGAAGCATGGATGAGGAGGTGTGATGGTGCTTTGCTGGTGACACTGTCTGTGATTTATTTAGACATCAAGGCACACTTAACCAGCATGGCTACCATAGCATTCTGCACCGATACGCCATCCCATCTGGTTTGCGCTTAGTGGGACTGTCATTTGTTTTTCAACAGGACAATGACCCAACACACCTCCAGGCTGTGTAAGGGCTATTTGACCAAGGAGAGTGATGGAGTGCTGCATCAGATAACATGGCCTCCACGATCACCCGACCTCAACCCAATTGAGATGGTTTGGGATGAGTTGGACCGCAGTGAAGGAAAAGCATCTAACAAGTGCTCAGCATATGTGGGAACTCCTTCAAGACTGTTGGAAAAGCATTCCAGGTGAAGCTGGTTGAGAGAATGCCAAGAGTGTACAAAGCTGTCATCAAGGCAATGGGTGGCTACTTTGAAGAATCTAAAATATATTTTGATTTGTTTAACACATGATTTTATATGTGTTATTTCATAGTTTTGATGTCTTCACTATTATTCTACAATGTAGAAAATAGTAAAAATAAAGAAAAACCCTTGGATGAGTAGGTGTGTCCAAACTTTTGACTGGTACTGTACATTTCCTCTAATCAATATGTAATTCTGGCAAAATGCTGCCAAGATGGATGACATTCGTCAACGGCCTTTGCTGTTTATAAGAGCCAAGATAAGTCAATGCTGGAAAAATCATGTAAAGGACAGGATACCTCTGATGTGCAGACTTCTGTACTTCCTGGCCGATCCTGCGCATGGCCGACCCCCCCTGCTCCTCCTGAGACATGATGGACATCATGGCCTGGGCAAACAGGTATGTGTGCTCCCCGTGACACACCATCTTCTGTGGAATGCAGAAAAGGAGGAGAGAACAGTTCAGCTCCAAACCAACCACACCAACAGAGACACTCATGCCAAAAGACAGGTAGCCTGTAATATCATGTTGTGTTACCCATGTCCATGCAATTCCATATTGTAGGATCGCTTTCAAATGAATCAAAACCTCAAATACATCACATTTTCAAAACCATCAAACCAAGGATTTTGTATTGAGTGAGAATGACAGATAGGCCTAGATCTTATTCTTGGGAACAACAGGGCCGGTATTCATAAAGTGACTCAGAGTAGGAGTGCTGAACTATAATCAGTATTGACTTTTACATCCTAATCAATATAAATATATGGACAGGGGGGACCTGATCCGAGATCAGCACTCCTTCTCTACAGGCCCACAATCTGCATGTGGCTGGGTGAGACTCACAGCGAATTCTGGCAGATTCTTCTCTAGGTTATCCTCTCCTCCATCCAGCAGCGTGGCCAGAGAGGTCCTCAGGACCCTGGAGAACACCTCCAGCTGCTGGCAAGCCGTGGACACACTGGTGATCTCCCCCTGGTAGCCTGCGTCTGAGATGAGCTGAGGACACACACACACAGTCAGCAAGGAGAGGAGGAACATGGCACTGTTTGACCCATAATTATAGAAGTTATTAACTGCTGGGTGATCATCAGTACCTTGACAGTGAAGTTGAGCATCAGACAGTCAGGGTGGGCCTCGGCCAGCTTGTAAAAAAGGTCTCTCCAGGTGGTGTGGGCGATCATCTGTTCCAGCCAGGCAGGAGTCTGAACAAACACAGAAGGACAGGGTTACTCTGTATACTATAGGGTTACGACTATCCTCTGAGGGAAACAACAGTAAGCGTGAAAAAATACAGTAAGAGTGGGAAAAAACAGCAAGCAAGCAGGAGATCGCCACTTTTCAGCCATCTGTCACTTCCAAAGCATTAGTAGTTTGTCTATCACTGGCGACAGAGATCTCACCTCTCCCTCCACAGTAAAAATGGAGTCTGCCTTCTGGGGGTCAAAGTGCTTGATCAGGAGACTCTTCAAGTGATTCTCTACCCGCTCCTGCACCTGAGCTGGCTCTACACCTGAAATACACAGAAAGATGGGCTGTGTGTCTCAAACAGTGTGAGAAACCAAAACACATTTTCAGTGATTGTGGACGAGTCCAGGCCTTGGTCCCAAACGGCCCAAAACATAGGGAAGAGGGTGCCATTTGCAGCTCAGTCCAGTGTTGTTTACCCATCTGGATGAGCCACTCTGCCAGCAGGTTGACAGTCTGGGCCACAGCTGAGTAGTTCTCTGACAGGAGCTGGATGACATGTTCAGGGGAGCCACCAGCCTGGAAATATCTGTGGAAACAGAAGTCTCTTCAGGAAATGGTTTGACTCTTCACACACTACTAGACACACACAAATGCAATAATGTGTTTACGTTTTGAGGGTGTTGAAGACAGCAGGCTCCATGATGTAATCTCTGCTGGAGAACTTCTGTAGGCAGTCCTCCTGAACTTTCCCATCGTTCTCCCCTTCAACATAGTCGTCCTGCTAGATGAAAGTCACATCACTTCAGCCAAGGAAGGAACATCCTAAGATTGTAGCAATCACCATATACATTTGCGATTTGTCTGTCAAGCAATGAATCAACAGTCAGCAACAATGTAGAGCTAGCTCCCTTAACGTTACCATTTTGTTGTAACATTGTACATTCACTAGCTACATTGTACAGATTATACTTACATTGCCATCCGGACCATCCCAGTCTCCAATATTCCTTTCGTAATATTCCTCGTCCATGATGACGAGAGAGTGAGTAGCTTTACAATGTGAAGCACCCAGCAAGCTATAATAAAGCAAGTCTCGCTAATAATTTTGAAAACAAAACAATTAGACTTTGGCTAAGATAGCTAGCTAACTGGCTAGTTTAAAAAAACAAACAAGTTCTCAGTCGGATAACTGAAGATCTATAGAACACACGCCGCCTTGTGGCTCGGCAGAATAAATGCATGTTTCTGTAGACAGACCGAGACACAAATACTGATTAATTCCGGTTGATTTGCCCTCTAAAATAATAGGCATATTGTTGTGCGCTTACTTTAACTAGAGATGCACGACTGGGGGGTAAACAATGGGAGTAAAAAAAATAACGATATGGAACAGTTTTGGTAACCGGTTTTAGGACGAGAGAAAACAAAATGGTGGAAAATAGAGCATTGGGGAATTAAATGTCCTGTCTTCACTCGCAGCGGTTAAAACCTCAAGGATTGGACCCTTTTTTTTTCAATTTTCGCCTAAAATGACGTACCCAAATCTAACTGCCTGGAACTCAGGACCTGAAGCAAGGATATGCATATTCTTGATACGATTTGAAAGGAAACACTTTGAAGTTTGTGGAAATGTGAAATTAATGTAGGAGAATATTACATTTTAGTCATTTAGCAGACACTCTTATCCAGAGCGACTTACAGTTAGTGAGTGCATACACCCACAACCCTGGCGTTGCAAGCGCCATGCTCTACCTACCAACTGAGCTACAGGGGACTATATAACACATTAGCTCTGGTAAAAGATAATATAAACAAAAAAACATACATTTTGTATTTATTTTTTGGTTCCATCTTTGAAATGCAAGAGAAAGGCCACAATATAATATTGCAGTTTAGGCGCAATTTAGATTTTGGCCACTAGATGGCAGCGGTGTGTGCAACGTTTCAGATTGATCCAGTGAAGCATCGCAATACTGGACTATTTTGTATCAAGTCTGTCCAAATGTGCCGAATTGGTCAATTGATACATTTTCAAGTACATAACTATAGAGAACATACACAAATGATATGGTAATACAAAACATAAGTTTACACACTCCCAGGAAAGTCATACATGATGGAACATTAGCTTATACAGTTATGGTCAAACGTTTTGAGAATGACACAAGTATTGGTCTTCACAAATGTAGGTGCTTCAGTAGTCCCGTGTAGCTCAGTTGGTAGAGCATGGCGTTTACAACGCCAGAGTTGTGGGTTGTGGGGCCAGTATGAAAATGTGTGCACTCACTAACTGTAAGTCGCTCTGGATAAGAGTGTCTGCTAAATGACATAAATGTGTTATGATATATTTTTGTCAGATGTTACTATGGTATACTGAAGTATAATTACAAGCATTCCATAAGTGTCAAAGGCTTTTATTGACAATTACATTAAGTTTATGCAAAGAGTCAATATTTGCAGTGTTGACCCTTCTTTTTCAAGACCTCTGCAATCCGCTCTGGCATGCTGTCAATTAACTTCTGGGCCACATCCTGACTAATGGCAGCCCATTCTTGCATAATCAATGCTTGGAGTTTGTCAGAATTTGTGGGTTTTTGTTTGTCTCTTGAGGATCGACCACAAGTTCTCAATGGGATTAAGCTCTGGGGAGTTTCCTGGCCATGGACCAAAAATGTAGATGTTTTGTTCCCCGAGCCACTTAGTTATCACTTTTGCCTTATGACAAGGTGCTCCATCATGCTGGAAAAGGCATTGGTCGTCACCAAACTGTTCTTGGATGGTTGAGAGAAGTTGCTCTCAGAGGATGGGTACCATTCTTTATTCATGGCTGTGTTCTTAGGCAAAAATGTGAGTGAGCCCACTCCCTTGGCTGAGAAGCAACCCCACACATGAATGGTCTCAGGATGCTTTACTGTTGGCATGACACAGGACTGATGGTAGCGCTCACCTTGTCTTCTCCGGACAAGGTGTTTTCCGGATGCCCCAAACAATCGGAAAGGGGATTCATCAGAGAAAATGACTTTACCCCAGTCTTCAGCAGTCCAATCCCTGTACCTTTTGCAGAATATCAGTCTGTCCCTGATGTTTTTCCTGGAGAGAAGTGGCTTCTTTGCTGCCCTTCTTGATACCAGGCCATCCTCCAAAAGTATTCGCCTCACTGTGCGTGCAGATGCACTCACACCTGCCTGCTGCAATTCCTGAGCAAGCTCTGCACTGGTTGTGCCCCGATCCCGCAGCTGAATCAACTTTAGGAGACGGTCCTGGGGCTTGCTGGACTTTCTTGGGCGCTCTGACGCCTTCTTCACAACAACTGAACCTCTCTCCTTGAAGTTCTTGATGATCCGATAAATGGTTGATTTAGGTGCGATCTTACTAGCAGCAATATCCTTGCCTGTGAAGCCCTTTTGTGCAAAGCAATGATGACGGCACATGTTTCCTTGCAGGTAACCATGGTTAACAGAGGAAGAACAATGATTTCAAGCACCACCCTCCTTTTAAAGCTTCCAGTCTGTTATTCTAACTCAATCAGCATGATAGAGTGAACTCCAGCCTTGTCCTCGTCAACACTCTCACCTGTGTTAACGAGATAATCACTGACATGATGGCAGCTGGTCCTTTTGTGGCAGGGCTGAAATGCAGTGGAATTGTTTTTTTGGGGATTAAGTTAATTTTCATGGCAAAGAGGGACTTTGCAATCAATTGCAATTCATCTGATCACTCTTCATGACATTCTGGAGTATATGCAAATTGCCATCATCAAAACCGAGGCAGCAGACTTTGTGAAAATTAGTATTTGTTTCATTCTCAAAACGTTTGACCACGACTGTACACTAACTTTCACACATCTAGATGGCCGGGCGGGGTGGGTGTGGAGCCAGAGACAGCAGGGGTTCAAACTGTAGAACCCAGTTCCTACATTTGAATATAAAAATTGATTTTATCAAACAAAACTATGCTACATTTTATCTCTGGGACACTTAGGATGACAAATCAGAGCAAGATTACTGAATGTAAGTACATCATTTACCTTCAGAGGTGAATGTATCAAACCAGTTGCCGTGATATGTTTTTTGTTATGGCGCACTCTCCTCAAATAATAGCATGGTATTTTTTCACTGTAATAGCTACTGTAAATTGGACAGTGCAGTTAGATTAACAATAATTTAAGCTTTATATAAGACATGTCTATGTCCTGGAAAGTTTGCTGTTGTTTACAACAGTCATGCTAATCACATTAGCGCACGTTAGCTCAACCGTCCCGTATACGGGACACCGATCCCGTTGAGGTTAAAGAAAAGATGCTGGGAATGAAATTAAGTATTTATTGGGATACAAATATGGAAGGAAATAGCCCAGCATCATAGCGTGCGCTTCATAAGAATACATATTGTAATATTTTCATTCATTTGAATGTTTACTGATATTAGGGCTTATTTCAAGTCTTTGGACGATATCCAATATTTCCTTGAAAGTAATAAATATTACCAAAACAAATGACCCTCTACTCACAGTACGCCACTATGGATTATTCTAATAATTCTCAGCCATTATAATCCCATTATTCTTTCTATAATTAAATATAATTTGTCCATGAGAGAGACTCACAGGTATTAGATGCCTACTTACTATGAGTTAAGAGTTTAGATAGCTTCCAAAAATAAAAGGACAACATACACTTGTGGGAAAAATTATTTTATTCCTTATGCAAACTGCAACATACGATTCATATTTACCCAAAGGAGGAAAAAAGTCAAATGATACCATGTGGCAGTTAATTCGCACAGTTCCTTATGTTAGCTAGGTTGCAAGTCAAACACGCATCACTTTCAACCTACAGCCTAGGAGGGTATTTTCTATGTTCTAGTATAGAACCATTTCTAAGCACAAACATAGCTCAGACGAAAGCTGAACTCCAATTATTTAGCAGTTCAGTATTTGCTCAGATAAATAATATTAGCTCTACATAAGAAAAAAATGGTTCACATTTCAGATGCATGTACAAAAACTGGGTTCCAAAAATGTTGTCCAATTGACTTATTTTGGTTGAAAAATCCCTGCATTGTCATCTTGTTACACATGCAAGTCAAGTCAGTCAAGTGAAAAAGTATTGTTTCCTCCACTTTATTCTCCGTAAAAAGTTGGAACCTCATGCAGTACAATCTGCATCATGTAGTTGATTGGAAATATGAAATTGATTGGCTGTAAAGCCAGCCACTATAACAAAACAGTGATGGAAGAGCCTCAATAGCTCTGAAAAGCAGTCTGGGCTGGGAACAAGGAGGAAGTAGCACCGTTGTCGCCAGACCAGGAAGGTCAATGAGGAGGCAGTGGGACCAGAGCACAGCGAAGAAAGGGAGTTCACTGGGTGGTTATGCACCCAAAGCTGTGAGTTAAACTAAACTGATGATCCTTCAAAACCTTTCCTTTTAGTCTTCACTCCCTGGTGTGGTCTGGCTGTGTGCAGCTGATACAGATGTAGTCCTCTTTTTCAGCCTGCTCTGCAGACACTCCCACGCAGACCTGATGGAACCACTGCTGGCAGCTTCCGTCACACTGGACCCAGTTCACCTGATAAAAAGAGAGGGAAATAGACACTGGTCAGCTTCTGTATGAGTTCTTGTTGCTGTATATGTACTTTATACAAATTATACTACATACTATTTTGAATATACAACAATATGTCTTAGTCGATCTCTAAAACAATTTGATATGAGGGGAGGGAAAACACATTGAAATGACCCACAACATAACGCAGTGGAGGGGGGTGTAATGCTAACCTGTTTCCCCTCTGGCTCTCGGCACCATGGTGCAGCGCACAGGGTGAAGTCTTCATCCGAGTCCGACAGGGAGAGGTCAGAGTGGGTGGCGGTGGGTGAAGAGGTCCCCTTGGACTCCTGGCTCCTCTCCTTGTTCATCTTGGGCTTCTTCTTGCGGGGCTTCTTGGCTTTGTCCTTGCGCTCGGGGCCCTCCTCCTCTATGTGCCGCTTGGTCCTCTTTCCGTTCACAGCCTCCTTTTTGGGACAGGCTACTCCGTTCTGGTGAAAACAGTAACCACACATGAAGGTCATACACATATAATTAAGAATTAGAATACTAGAATGGACATAAACCTTCTTATGATGGTCCAAAGGTCAGCCATGTTGGTCAGGGAGTTGGTCAACCATGATTTGCCAGTGCTGTAGTAATGCATCTGCACTGTATGTGTGTTAGCTAGCCAGCCAGTTTTAGAGGAATAATTCCATAAATTTTTCAAATTAACTGCCAATATGCCAACATTCCATTCAAACAATGCAGTCAATCCACAGCCATACACTGGCTGAAATCAGTTGATAGGATTTAGACATGTTGTAAATGCAACAAGTACTGATATTGTATCATTATAATAGCACTCTCAGCTTTCCAAGAAAACAAAAATCAGACTTTTATGGTCTGTTTACATATATTTTACAGGCTATTTATACAGAAATGTGTATATAAAACCTGTACAAACTGCACATATAATTATATGACAATATTTTAGGTTGACTATAATTCCATTACACAATTTCTGATCCATCACATGCCTTACTTTTATTTTCCTGCATAAGTAAAAGCAGGAAATGCTTTACCAATGCCTCTACTGCCCTCCATTCCAATTACACTGGTTTTGGACTTCTCGCTGACCAAGATGGCTGCCATTTTCGCCCCCATTATGGAACTTTGAGGGTTTGTGACATATCCCCTCTAGTAATTTAATAGATGCGGTAAAGAGGTCAATCGAACTCGACCAAAACAATGGAAATGCCATGGAATCTTGTGGGGTAAAGATCCAGAGTCTCCTCATTGCCAGTCTCCTCAGAGTACCACATTAGGAGTCATAATACCAATAAAACCTAGCGGTCAAACAAGGAAATGTTTTTTCCACCATTCATTTTTCCCCATAGGGGATTTTAGAAACACTTAAAATAAAGTCTGTGTTTCGTGTAGGCTTAACATGGCGTGACGTTTTGATAACCATGTAAATCTCTCTAGGACAAGGTGACTTTTATCAATATATTTGTCTGTATTTACCCCCCCCCCCAAAATGAAACGCTAATTAGCTGCTAATGTAGCTATCATAAAGAACTACAAATGCCATGATGATCTGGACGAGACTGCCGAATCAAGGCAAAGGTAAGAATCTCTGGAAATGTAGTAATGCATAAATTGGCAACATTTCTTTAAATTGTCAATTCTGTGAACTGTCTTGTGCAAGTTTTAAATTGACAATACCTGTTAGCAAAAGTGTCAGCTAGAGATGACGTGCAGGAGCTTGCAGGGATTTGTTGTCTTGCATGATGTCCAGTTTGAGGCTAATTAGCGTTTTTTGAGTCAGAGTAAATAGATCTGAATATATTGATAAAAGTCACCTTGTCCGAGAGAGATTTACATGGTTATCAAAATGTCACGCCAGGGTAAGCCTACACGAAATACAGCTCCTATTTTAAGTGTTTCTAAAATTCCCTATGGGAAAAATGATTGGAACAATTTCCCTGTTTGCTCTATTGCACCCCAGCAAAATTAGTCTACATTTTGGCTATTCTTTATACGTGTTTTCACACTATGTTGAAGTAAAAATTGGAGTATAATGCTTGTATGGATGTCAACCCCAACACATGTTCATGTCATCGTTACCAATCAACTGCATTAATTAAAAATGACTGACTACCATCAACGAGTTCTGTATGCTAGCTATGCTAACCAACTGATACGAGCGGGAGTTAGCATTTAGCAGTCACTTCTTCTAAACCTGAAAAGGGACAACTTCTACATGTTATGCAGCGAAAACAGCCAAATCTAACTTGTGGGCCTGTTACAATACATAAATCATGACAGATTTGATGAATATCCACTTTGTTAGATCAGATTTGTTGAATGTGGGCCAATCTGGTCAATGGAACATTTACATTTTAGTAATTTAGCAGACGCTCTTATCCAGAGCGACTTACAGTTAGTGAGTGCATACCGTACTTTATTTTTTTATACTGGCCCCCCGTGGGAATCGAACCCACAACCCTGGCGTTGCAAGCGCCATGCTCTACCAACTGAGCTACACAGGGAACATCTGCATTCCATTGACTCCTTTACCACTTCTATAGGATCTCTAAAGTCATACATATGAATGTGTTGTTTTGGTTTGAATAATGCTTGTTTTGTAACTGTCATCTTTTAATCATTAGATGTTTGTTTTACCATCGAGGACCACTTTGGAAATAAGTAGTTTAATTAATGCTTTTAAGTGCCATCCTCTGGGATCCAATGCACATCTTGTTGTATTATTTATTACTCAAATAAATTATATCAAAAAAATTAATGTCAACATGAAGGACACATTTTCAGAAACTTCACAAATACATCAATATAACCATTATATCAAGTGGTTAGCCTGCTACCTGAGATCTGCTTTGAAGTAGTAGACTAGTATGTTACCTGGTTGTGAGGGGGGCTCCCTCCCTGAGAGTTGTGCTGGTGTTGGTCCTGCTCTGCGCTGTGCTGTGGAAAGGGGCTGTCTGTGTGGTGGTGTTGGAGGAGGGGGTCCAGTCTAATGAGGAGGGACCTGTACAGCTGCTGGGTCTCAGGCAGAGTCACCTGCAGCAGGAAGCCCTCCACCATCAACTCCTCCAGCCCAGGGCTCAGTCCTGAAACACACACCAATAACAAGGTTCAACACTGCCCTTTCCGGATTTTTTAAATTTTTACGTGTCATTAATTTGATAAATATGATAGAAATGTGACTTGTTTGATAGAACTATTCATTGATAGCAATTAGAATTGTTATGAGAGATTGGGGTATTAGATGTTGTTCCTAGTCCGACACTGACCCTGCAGAGGAATGCACTGGTGCTCCGTGTAGAACGATGTGCTGTTTGTTTCCTGATTCAGAGCCCATGTGGGACTGGACGAGGCCCAGCGCTGATGTGACGTCATCACGGCCACCCCCTCCCCCAGCTCCCCCTCGGCGGAGGTCTGCTGCACGCGGTGCTGCCAGCGGACCGTCCTCTCGATGAGGAAGCGTAGGGCGTCACCCTCAGGCAGCCGCACCCGGATGCGCTGCAGGGAGGCCAGCAGGGGAAGCACCCGGTCCAGAGGGGGTTTCTCTGAGAGTTGGCACGGGGGGCACAGCCAGGCCTGGTTGGGGAAGGAGTCCTGGTTAGAGCCTAAGACGCAGTCGCGGTGGAAGGCGTCACGGCAGAGCTCGCACTGCAGCATGGCGCCTGACGGAGCCTTGTGGCACACGCACACCCTCAATGCCCCGCAGTCGCCGGCCGGGAGGAGCTTGGACTCGTTGGAGGCCCTAAGGGCCAGCAGACTCTCCATCTCCTTCTGACGTACCTCGGCCAGAGTGGCCATCTACAGAAAGGGGAACAAGCACAGGTTGGCATGTCAACACGCAATACTCACTACATCAACATACATGTAACCAGACAGTAACCTACACAGCTACAGTATATGGAATTACAATACTGTATCAAACCATACATTTAGTCATGCACCTTCATATCATCGGTCCTCATATCAATTTAGAGGGGTTCACTGATTGCAATAGTTGGGTGTAGTGAGTGTCTTTAGAATATAGTGGAACTTAATAAGTGAGTTCAATGGTCTGCTTTTTTTTATTTTTTTATTTTTTTTAAACATGTACATAGACAGAGATAGAGAGAGCAGCACGTACAGCAGAGGCGGAGTCCTTGCTCTCTGAGAGGGCCCTCTCCACATCGCTCAGGCAGTCCAGCCTGGCGCCATTTCTCTTGCTGCACTGGGCCGCATCTTTTGCCCTTTTAGACTTGGACTTCTGAGGCCCCGTCCCAGCCTCACACCGGGGGCACAGCACCTAAACACACAAAAGACACAGCCACATCCCAAAAACCTCAGGATCTCTGGATATTATATTATGAGTGATTCTAAGACTAACTCCCAAATGGCACACTATTTCCTTTATAGAGTACTACTTTTGACAACACCTAAAATGTCTGATTATGTGTATTGGCATTAGATTGTTGTAGATAGTTTACCTCCAGCAGGGAGTAAGGGGAGTTCTTCATTAGAAAGGTCTTGGCGGCGCTCTCCTTCCAGGCCTGCACGTCAGACACCAGGGAATCCAGTCGAGCCAGGGGGTCCAGCCAGACTGGGATGGCCTTGGCCCGGAACACCAGGTCAGTCAGGGTATCCAGCACAGGGATACGGCTTCCCAGCTACACACAAAAAACAGACACACACAAGCATAAAGATAGACTTATAAGAGTGTGTCTTTCTTTCCTTTTCTCTTCTCCCTTTCTTCTTTTCAGTCCGGCTAACCAGAAGCAGTTGTATTGTTATTTAAAAAGATACCAATATAGAATATAACTATATTCAGAGATTTTCAGATTACATGGGATCATAAACTAGAATGCAGTGCACTACTTTTGCCTAGGGCCCTTGTCAAAAGTAGTGCACTACATAGGGAATAGGGTGCATTTGGGGCACAACCTAAGAGGCTCATACCTGTAAGGTCTCTGCCTCCTGAAGCCAGTCTTTAGCCTGGTCCACTGTGTCCTTCAGCAGCAGACAGTTGGGAAGATAGGCAGGGATACTATCCACCTCCTGCAGAGCTGCCACAAGAGTTTCCACACAGTGACGGGGCCTGGAGATAATAGAAGCTAGGTTTAAAAAACACTAAAATATGCACAGTACTGCTTTTATCTTCAGTGTCAAGTTCTGTCATGACCTTTTCATAACTTCCCCAAACCAGGTGGTACAAATGAGTCACTAATTTCACAGTTCATATGGCTCTACAGTAGTCACTTAACACATTAGCACTATATGGAGTTCGAGTTCAACTTGTCTGAAAAGAGCTAACTAAAACAATAGACAACTCTTTGAAGCAATGTTGCTTATAAACAGTGGAATTAGTGCTCCGTGCACCATGTCACTATTCAAAACGTTGACTGAAGTTCAGTTGTCAAATAATGACCTTCTGGTCCAAGATGTCTCACTACAGGCCACTGCCACTGCCACAGTTTACCCTAATGGCTATGGGCCCATGCAATGCGACTACCATCTATGTGTAAACTGTGGCATAAGCCAGCAGAGCAGAGCACTGTCCCAACCCACTGATCCAGTTAATACACCAGGAAGCAGCTTTCAACTCCAAATGCAAACCTTGCACTTTTCACTCTCTGCTGGTTGAACTTCTAAGCAGCTTTTGCAAGGTAGGTGTCAGTGCTATTTATGTACTGTGTCAGTGTGCCTTATTTTGTTTTTTATGTGTCCATTTCATTTAACTTGTTTTGTGTATCTCGTAGCCATTTCCTAATGAAAACATTATTTATATGGCTTTACTACTAAAGGGGGGGATGAACTGACTGATTTAGCCTCGGTTTCAAACTTTCTCATTAGGAAATGCAACTGAGAACAAGATTTGGGTCTTTGAGGCGTCCGTCTCATGTGTATTCGAACGTGGGAAGCGTTTGTACATTCACTCTGCCAAAACAGAGTTATTCACTCACCCTTCTATACAACTTGAAACAGTCTAACCAGGTCCCGTATCCACAAAGCATCTCAGAGTAGAAAATTGGTCATAAGTGCTGAGAAGAGACATTTGACTTCACTCTTATCAGTAAAATATAAAAACTATGCATGAAGCCTCTTTAGTCATAAGAGTCACACCTAGTCGACAGATATTTAGGAGACCTCATGAGCTGTGCTACCCAGTTAAGAGTTACCAGCAGGTGTCTTGATTATAGAAAAAGGCAGCGAGTCAGTGGTTCCAGCGCAATAGACAGGAAATTGCTTTGGAGCTGAAAGAATGTTTTGATATTTCTATATGATCAACTCATAAATAATCTAGACCTACACTACCATTCAAAAGTTTGGGGTTACTTAGAAATGTCCTTGTTTTCGAAAGAAAAGCAAATTGATCAGAAATACACTGTAGACATTGTTAATGTTGTAAATGGCTATTGTAGCTGGAAACAGCTGATTTTTAATGGAATATCTACATAGGCGTACAGAGGCCCATTATCAGCAACCATCAGTCCTGTATTCCAATGGCACGTTATGTTTGCTAATCCAAGTTGATCATTTTAAAAAGGCTAATTGATCATTAGAAAACCCTTTTGCAATTATGTTAGCACAGATGAAAACAGTTGTGCTGATTAAAGAAGCAATAAAAACTGGCCTTCTTGAGACTAGTTGAGTATCTGGAGCAACTGTGGGATCGATTACAGGATCAAAATGGCCAGAAACAAATAACTTTCTTCTGAAACTCATCAGTCCATTCTTGTTCTGCGAAATAAAGGCTATTCCATGCGCGAAATTGCCAAGAAACTGAAGATCTCGTACAACGCTGTGTCCTACTCCCTTCACAGCGCAAACTGGCTCTAACCGGCATAGAAAAAGGAGTGGGAGGCCCCGGTGCACAACTGAGCAAGAGGACAAATACATTAGTGTCTAGTTGGAGAAACCTCACAGGTCCTCAACTGGCAGCTTCATTAAATAGTACCTGCATAACACCAGTCTCAATGTCTACAGTGAAGATGTGACTCCGGGTTGCTGACCTTCTAGGCAGAGTTGCAAAGAAAAAGCCATATCTCAGACTGGCCAATAAAAAGAAAAGATTAAGATGGGCAAAAGAACACAGACACTGGACTTTTTCTTTGCAACTCTGCCTAGAAGGTCAGCATCCCGGAGTCACCTCTTCACTGTAGACATTAAGACTGGTGTTATGCGGGTACTATTTAATGAAGCTGCCAGTTGAGGACCTGGGAGGCGTCTAAAACAGTTGTGTAAAGTTGACACCAGTGACCAGTAACACTAAGACTACTATTAACATCAGCAGGAACAGTAACACCAGTGACAAATCTGCAGACAAGATAGCATAGCTAAGATGGCAGCTACAGTAGCTCAAACCACACTTCTTAACACTAGAACCGCCAAGACAGTCAATCTGACTGTTTTCAATGTTGTATTTTCAATAACTTCATTTCAATAAAAACCTTGAACCCAACTGTCCCTGACTTTTCCTAAATGTGTTTTTTACACTAGCAGTACTTTGACATAAATATCATAAAAGACAAAAACTTTTAGCATTTCATCCTTAAAGCACACATGACGGTCAAAATGACCGTATGCAAATTTAACAGTAGAATAGTCGGGCCTCGACGAGTACCAATAGTCGCCAGTCTAATAAATCAATTTAAATATACACAAAAACATCCATTAATATTTGGTTTAGGAAGGTCATAAAAAATATGATACTGTTACGTTCCCCAGCAAAAAAAACAAATGTCGCTCAAACAGAAGGGGGAACTAACAAAGAGTCACTGACCAACAACCAAAATGAAACAGGTGGGGGTTTTAGGAGGGGTTCTGAAAGACACTCATGGAGGTGTCCACTAAAAGTTGACTAGCAACAACAACTGGAACCTAAAAGACACCCACCATGAGCGCCCACTAAATTTGCCCAACTTAAATACAGGAAGCAAACCAAAAAGGTGGAGCAAAACGAAATCAAGGAAATCAGATAAAGGATTGTTTGTCTAGAAATCAAAATAGGGAGCTCCAACTAAAAAGGTGTTAACCCTTCGTGTCTATCAAGACCCTGGAGCACTGGGCCAGCAGCTCTTAAATAGCACCTGGACCAGGACAGGTGAAACACACTGACTAACGAGGTGACACCAATCGGTGCACCCTACGTGCTAATGTGCTGAAGCCCAACCTCAAAACATAAATGGAAAAACCAAAGCCTGTAACAATACTAAGACTATTTATTTATAAAAACAGAATAGTATGTTTTGAGTTTTATTTATCTGAGCTTAGTAGCCGAGGCTATATATGGCTGCACCATGCCAATGAAATCAACTTGTTCATTTAGCAGACAGTCAACATAATGTAATAACAAAATAGAAAGGATATTTTTCCCAAATGGCTATTGCCGATTGTCACCAGTAGTCCTAGTCACATGAGGAACGCATGGAGCCGCGGTTGTTAAAGGAAAAAGTTATATTTTGAAACAGAGACCATCCGCACAATTTGTAGAGTTGTTTGGCAAAACTAGGTTAATTAGAAACCTTAGAATATGCTCTTTCCGACGGGGTATAGCAAATAAAACCTCTGGCCTGCATGGACCGCTGTAGGATAATCTGGAAGAAGTGCTTTTTTGTAAAGGTCTTTATCAATGCACGCTGCCCTGGTCATCAGTCTCTTCATTCTCAATTTGACAATTGATAATATTGTCTATTGTCAATTTAATCTGGTCTTTAGGCCACTATTATTATTAGAATAAGTGAAATTAGTTTCAATAAAGTTTAGGTGTAGTTTGGATGGGCCAGTTGGGCAGGCAACTTGTTTTACAGTCAGAAAATACACTATCGTCTTATTTTAGTATTTTCAGTCCATGCGCTTCTGGCTCAATCAATACATTTTCTGACTAATTACAATTTACATTTGGTGTCCTGAGGTTTCTTATGACCTATTTTAACTTAATAAATGCATTAATTTAGCAATTTATTATTTATGGAATATTACACAATTGAAATATCAATGTTCAGAATGACCGTCAAGGCCATTCTAGTAGTTATAGAATTCCGGCATTCCGAATGTTAAATTGTATACTGAACAAAAATATAAAACGGAACATGTAAAGTGTTGGTCCCATGTTTCATCAGCTGAAATAAATGATCACAGAAATGTTCCACACACACAAAAAGCTTTTCTCTAAAATTGTGCACAAATTTGTTTACATCCCCGTTAGTGAGCATTTCTCCTTTGCCAAGATAATCCATCCACCTGACAGGTGTGGCATATCACGCAGCTGATTAAAAAGCATGATCATTACACAGGTGCACTTGATTTTTTTGTCATTTAGCAGACGCTCTTATCCAGAGTGAGTGCATACATTTTCATACTGGCCCCCCGTGGGAAACGAACCCACAACCCTGGCTTTGCAAGCGCCATGCTCTACCAACAAAGCTACAGGGGACCTTGTGATGGGGACAATAAAAGGCCACTCAAATTTGGTTGGGGGTTGCTGAGGGGTATTTCTGTCTGTAATAAAGCCCTTTTGTGGGGAAAAACTCATTCTGATTGGCTGGGCCTGGCACCCAAGTGGGTACGCCTATGCCCAACCAGGCCCACCAACCATGGCTGCGGCCCTGCACAGTCATGTGAAATCCATAGATTAGGCCTAATGAATTGATTTTGACTGATTACCTTTTATGAACTGTAACTCAGTAAAATCTGAAATTGTTGCATGTTGCGTTTATATTTTTGTTCAGTGTAAATTATTTTAAATCAAAATTACTATAAACTGTAACACCAGTGATGCATCTTAAGGCCTCGCATGAAATTACCAGTGTTTTTCCTGTTGGTTAAGGCCGGGACAATTTTTGAAGAAAATAACCGAATTTGTACCCCAAAAAAGGATTATGCATGGACTTATTCGGCAAGAATTAGGAGTAGACAAAGGGATCATGTCAGGCAAAAATTATAGCAAACGTTTTACCATTACAATGTTTGATGACTCTGCACCTCCTCACTCACACACATAGAACATGAGCGTCTAGACTGCTGTTACTGGACTCCTATTTATTATACTGCACAATGCCTTGCCTACTATCATTGTGCAATTCCCCGGCACATGT